TCTCATTTCTCTTTTTTGTTTTATGAAATTAAATCTTATTCGTTCAGGCCTCTACTTGATATAATGCTATTCCATTACCCATTTACACAAACACAATTATCGTCCCACCTCCCGTCGCAGCCGTCCCGCAGCCGTCGTAGGTCCTGGTTCCGGCCAGCTGCCCACTGCATCGTCAACCTCTTCCAAGAAGGTTGTACTGTTATGAATGGAAGTACCGCCTAAAACGACTCGCACACCGGGGGAGCTGGCATTGACTTGCGCTACCATCTTGGCCTCCTCATACGTGGTACCACCAACCATAAAGATGATGATGTCTTGCGGCTTGTCCCGGGTGTGTCCACTGCCCTCGAGGAAGGGGTATTGCAGTTCCTTCAGACGGCCTTTGATGAGATTCTGAAGAGTCACTTCCAGTCGGGGGGAGTGTTGCGTGTAGACATTCTCGACGCCTTTAAGACCTTTGAAGCGGTCTCTTGCGCCGGAGAAGAAGGAGGTGGATTCAAAAAGGTCGGAGAACCCGCCTGCGACTGGAGGGGCTTGGAGGGAGTGGTGATAGGCAAGGAGCTTGGGGATAATATTTACGCGGTTAGATGGGACTTCGCCGGCTGTGACGAGGAGATCAAGGAGAATTGGTAGCGCGTTGTTGGGTTGCTTCTCGTAACGAAGGGCGTAGAGAGCGACTAGGCGCAGCTTATTGTCTGATGGCACATTTGGCAGCGCGATGATTCGTTGTAGTGACTGGAGAAAAGTGAGTCCGTGAGCAAAGCATAGTCTGTCTGACGTTTGAACATACCCTAAGATCATTGGAGTGGTTATCATTGCATGCCAAGCTCTGCTCCAACTCGCTCACGTCGAGGAGGGTATCCTCACCGACGCGTCGACTGAGCTCACCCACCAGGGTAACGTGCTTGCTCACATTACCTGCCAGCTTGCGGAATTCGGGATAATCCTCCACAAAACGTTTCATGTCCGCAATAGACTCGATATTCGCAGTGCTTTGAGTTTTGGTCTGGTACTGCTCCACATATTCTTTAATGTTCTGGCCCAGATCACCGAAGTTCTGATACATATTCTTCTTGAAGAATGGGTCCTGGTCCTGAGCCAAGACAATCTCTTTCAGTTCTGGTCGGATGTCTGGTACATCCTGCAGATCCACGCGGCCATTGTTGATGCCAAGCATCTCATGCACCATCGCCTGGTACGTCCATTGAGTCAACAACGGAGTAATAGGATCATCGCGGCGGTCAAGAACGAGCAGGATAGGGGGTGTATCCGTCCGGCGGAAATTAAATAGCTGCTCCTCCTGCGTGATGTGGTATCGAACCTCCGTCGCCAATTTCCGGGCCAATACGCTGTTCTTCTCATAGCGGATAAGTGGGTTCTTCTTCAAGGCGAGGAGCAGGGCCAGAACCCCCTCGGTGGCTCTTTGTAGTGAATCCGGATTCCATAAGTCCGGCGATTGACTCCATATCCGCTGCAATGGGAAACCCATACCCAAAGAGCAAAGGTCCGGGTTGATCACAAGGAAGTCGGCAAACTGTTCCTGGACCGACTGGACGACCTCGTGGCTGTCCGCTTCCGCAAGCCGTTCGAGGGCGGATTTGCGGATAATGTTACTAAGGTAGATGTAATATTCGCCGTATTTAGGTTCTCGGAGCTCGTCAATCAAAAATTGAATAGAAGTGGGTGATGGTCGCACGAAGCAGAGGCATCGCAGATGTCGCATCTTCTCGCGCGCGGTATTGTCCAAGCGGTCGATAAGGTAGACCTCGTGATTAAGGAGGGCAGACTGGGTAATGGCTGTGGAAACAATAGGGACCTATAACCATAAGAAGTTAGCGATCGAGCTCAATATATTGCTAGCAAGGTAAAATCACCCACTGTCTCACTGTCAAGAAGCAAGATCTTCATCTTTGATGACGAAGCTCCTGCCGACTCACCCACGGTGACCATCTTGGAGATGTACCCCGAGGCAGCCGCAACGACGTCCATGGTGATCCAGGAACGAACTGAATTGGGTCGAAGTTATAATAGCTCCTGATTGAAGCTGTTGAAGCTGTTGAAGATCGAGGGGTTGAATGTGGAGAGGGCGGGAAGTTGTTGGGGGTGGAAATTCCACTTTCCACATGACAAGCTGTTTTTCTTGTCTCTCTCTTTTTTTCTTTTCCTTTCCTTGCTTTTTCTTTTCACTCTGATCTTTTTTCTTCCTTTCTGTTTTGTCTGTTTTATTCCCTTTCTACAAGGTCAACAATGTTGCCCTATGTAGATCAGAGTATGCCAACTCCCCATACAAGCTTAAGCTCCTCGGTCCAACTGACATTTCTCTCCCCGCAGTATTTGAGGTGCCAGCTCGACTCACTGGCGCATCGACTGATGAGCGTACGATCTTCCATTTCCATAAGCTCCCGGTATTTCTAGTTTCTGACCCCCAGCTCCAGTCAAGTTGATCGGCTCGTTCCTCATCTCCTACCCACTGGCCGCCCTCCTCAAACGTATTCCCGACGGCCAACCCTGGAAAAAGAATGCCTTCATTATCGCCGTGTCGTTGTTCTATATTGTCGGACTCTTCGACCTATGGGATGGTCTCCGCACCCTACTATACAGTGCCGCGGCCACCTATGCAATCGCCTACTATGTGGATGGATCACTGATGCCATGGATTGGGTTCCTTTTCCTCATGGGCCACATGTCGATTAACCACATCGAACGTCAGAGGGCGAACGAGAGCGGGGCCGTTGACATTACTGGGGCGCAGATGGTCCTTGTCATGAAACTTACCTCGTTCTGCTGGAATGTTCATGACGGCCGTCTGCCCAAGGACCAACTCTCGGACTCGCAGAAGTACTCTGCTATTACGAAGTTCCCGGGTATTGTCGACTACCTGGGCTATGTCATGTTCTTCCCTTCTCTCTTTGCCGGTCCTTCCTTTGAATATGTGGACTACCGCCGTTGGATCGACACTACGCTCTTCGAAGTCCCGCCCGGCACTGACCCATCCAAGGTGCCACCCACCCGAAAGAAGCGCAAGATCCCTCGCAGCGGAAGACCTGCCGCAAGGAAGGCTGCCGCCGGGTTGATCTGGATCTTCGCCTTCATCCAATTAAGCTCATACTTTACCGTCGACTTTGTGCTTTCGGACGAGTTCTTGCAATATTCCTTCCTACGTCGCGTTTTCAATGTGCACATGCTTGGTTTCACCGCTCGCACCAAGTACTACGGCGTCTGGGCTCTGACTGAGGGTGCCTGTATTCTATCCGGCATGGGATACAACAGCTTCGACCCGAAAACAGGCAAGGTCTTCTGGAACCGACTGGAGAACGTTGATCCATGGGCCATGGAGACGGCGCAGAACTCGCACGCTTACCTGGGCAACTGGAACAAGAACACTAACCACTGGCTGCGCAACTATGTTTACCTCCGCGTCACGCCCAAGGGCAAGAAACCCGGCTTCCGCGCCAGCATGGCTACCTTCGCCACTAGTGCGCTCTGGCACGGTTTCCACCCAGGATACTACATGACCTTTGTTCTGGGCTCATTCATCCAGACCGTGGCAAAGAGTAAGCACGACCAAGATCCATCCTCGTTTTTCCTAAAACTAACCATACAATAGACTTCCGCCGCTACGTGCGCCCCTTCTTCCTTACACCGGACGGCACCAAGCCAACACCGAACAAGCGCTACTATGATATCCTCAGCTGGCTAGCAACACAGCTAACCCTCTCCTTCGCCGTCATCCCTTTCATCATCCTCACCTTCGACAAGTCCTTCGCCGTCTGGTCCCGCGTCTACTTCTACGGCATAATCAACTGTGCTGTCTCACTAGTCGCCTTCGCCTCTTTCTCCCCACTCAGAACCTACCTCGTCTCCCAGCTGAAGCATCGCAGCCGTCCCCAAGTCGGCCGTACCACTAGCGCCGACTCTGTGCGCGGGCCCGTCCTCGGCTTGCCGAATGATCCTGAGCGTGACTTTGACGAGGCTGTTGCTGAGATCAAGGCTGAGATTGAGTTCCGGGGTAGACGGGGAAGTACGGTTAAGATGCCTACGGGTGAGGAGTTGAAGGCTGCTGTTGAGCAGAAGGTTGGGCGGAAGTTGTAGGTGGTAGTTTTGGTTAAGAATTAACTGTGAGTGGTGGATTCATTGAATAGTAGGGGATCGAAGAGCCGATTTGGATCGGCTTTTGGGTGTTCTCCGCTTCGCTATATAAAATAATTAGGAATGATTGGGGTTTTATGCTTTTTAATGGTGGCTTAGTCGAGATTGGTCTCGTCTAGGTCTGTGGATGTATCTATAGATTCCAATTTGGAAGGGATGGTTTGGGTCCCGGAATAGCAAGCTTTATTGCGATTACAAGTACTTCAAAGTAGAGTGAACAATTTGAGTATACCAAGCCAAGTAAATTGTGATACAATATAGAACGCTGAAAAGATTAAAGTAGCAGAGAACGAGTATGCGTATGTGGTAAAACCCAAATCAACTTCAAATTCAAGCAGTAAAAATCAAAATAACAATAAGAAACAATATATCCATTACACGGATGTATAGCAGAAATGCAAACAAAGGCAGTCGCCATGCATAGGAATTCCAGCAAACATATGAAGCCATAGACGAGTCTGAAGGCAAAAGTTGAAATGCACAGAAAGATGTAAAACAGAAGAGGATATTTATGTGCGTTGAAGTCGTGAGTCGTTGAGTAGAAATGTGCAGCCAAAGGCGAATGCAGAGAAGGAAAAAAGAACAAATGTAAAAGGGGAGGCTGAATAGTCAATAGTCAAGAGAAAAGAGAGAAAAAGATCCAGATCACAGTAAGGAGATGTCTGCAGTATTAGTGCAAGGAGAAAAGAAACCAGTCGACTGGTTGAGGGCACTCAACCCTCAAGAAAAAAAGAAAAGAAAAGCAAAGGATCAGGTTAGTCTGAAGCAAGCGATGAAAGAAGTTTCAAGTCGTAAGAGCGTAAGAAAGTAAAGATCGCAATGAAACGCAGTCCGAAATGCAGTAAATAACCCTAAAAACCCGTGGTAGTCCCAATAACAGCCAACACAATAATAACAACAATAATAACAACCCCAAGGGAGATCATCCATCGATTAAGATTCCTCCACCAACGCGCATTATCTCTCCTCCTTTGCTGCAAATTAACACATTGAGCCTCAAGTGCCGCACCAACATCCGAACCAGACTCATACTCGACCATCTGCGACATCTTGGGTTTCGGCGGCAGTGGCAGGAACGCCGCAACACACCATGCAACAGGGAAAATGAACCCAACGCAGAATGAATAGACCTGGATATTTCGACGGCCGAAGACGGGCTCATTGCGGGAGTCGAGGGATGGCGCCCGCCACCGGCTTGTTGAGTGCTGCAGCACACGTCGGTCTGGGAGGAGGTGTGGTGACCAGCTGTGTCGGAGGCGGTTGAGGTGGCTGCCGGTGAACTCGCCGTCTTCGGGCTGTGGGGAAGGGACCCAGTGGGCGCGTGGATCGCGCGGGTCGCTTTCTAGACGGCGTTGAGGGATGGGTTTGCGTTGTGGGGAGGGAGGTCTGCGTTCTGGGGAGCGGGGGCGGGGGACGTTGAGAGGGCCTGGGACGAGGTTGTAGACGCTTGAATTTGAGGTTCCAGTTCCTGGGCGCGTGGATGGTGGGCGGGTAGATGGTGGACGGGTGGACGGTGCACGGGTAGTGTCCATCATGGATAGTGTTGAGTTTAGGCCCATTGGTTCGCGTAGGTAGTAGACTTTTGCCCAGGTTGGGAGAATGTTGAGGATTGTGCTTGTCCCCGTGCCTGGGCGTTGGAGGCTGCGGGTGCTGTTGCTTCGTTTTGAGCCGGAGGAGAGACTTTGGGAGAAGATTGGGCGGGTGGGGAGTTTGGTTAGACTATCGAGGCGCTCATCGTCGCTGTCGTTGGAGTCGACGAGCCAGACGGAGGATCTGGTGGGTTCTGGGCTCAGGGCTGCTGGTGGGGGTAGGGTTGGCTCTGCCATGTCGCGGTCTGAGTCTGTGTCTGTTTGTCCAGCGAGGTTGGTTAATTCATCGGCGGACCAGATGGATGAGACTGTTGATAGATGCGGGTTCCAGCGTCCTGATGCCAAGTGGGGATTGCATCGTCCGGATGGAGGGCCAGGGGTGAAGTCGCGTTCTGATGTAACTGATGTGCCGGCGCGGGAGCTTGAAGACGATGGCACGCGAATACGCGGGTATTGAATAGGCACGCCATTGTCGATGGCTGCCTGCAAGTCAGAAGCGGAGCGGAGGCTGCGCGAAGAAGATGTTGCTGATTGGGAACGGCTGCCTGATGGTGCCCTGGATGACGAGCGGAATGAAGCTATTGATTGCGCGGGTGGGCTGGAGTGGAATGAGGCAATGGACTGTGCGGGCGGGCTGGAGTGGAACGACGGGGATCCATAGCTTGAGTGCTCGGATGAAGCTGGTTGGAAAGCATTTTGGAACCAGGGTGCAGAGCCGACGCGTCTGACGACGGTGCCTCGTGAGTTATACGAGGAGAGGGAGTTTGTTCGCGGATCTGACTCTGAAGCTGTAGCCGAACCGTGGAAGTTCATGCTCGAGTTATCCAGCATCACAAAGTTGGGACTTGACGGGGCGCCGAGTTGTTCGAGGACAGGGCTGGAGTAGCCAGCGACGGACTCCGCAGAGGACTTTGGCGACATGGATGGCTCAGAGATGACGGCTTTGATAGTTGGCGTAGTAGTCGGCAAGACCATCATCTCGTCATCCGAGTACTCTGAGCTCTCGGACCCATAGTCTGGTGCTTTCCCCGTGTCTGGCAGCGATGACTTGCTGGAGGATGGGTCATCATCCCACAACTGCGGAGGCGAGTTGCCGGTATCCACGGTGGAGGATACATCCCAGCTCTCGCCAATTGAGTGATCTCTCGGGCTGTTGGGTCCCGGTTGGGTGAAGGCCGGTGGGGAATAAGCTGACGATCCTGGGTGGTCTGAATAGCTGAAACCGGTGTCTGATATGTATTGTTGTTGTCCTTTGCCGGGGAGAGGTAGCAGGATCTGCTCGGGTTTGGTCGGGAATGGGGTCGCAGTGTACATATCAAGTTCTTCGTTCGGCACCATGCGTAATGACTGGGTTGGTGATCTTTCGTTTGAGTGAGAGGGGGTACGCTCGTGCAATGCCCTTCGCGCGCGGGGCGAGGTCGACCGAGCGGTAAAAGACATTATTTGGACCTTATAGCATTGGTTGAAACGGAATAAAGCAAAGGCGAAGGGTTGTCAGGTGTCAAACCAGAACGTGTAAAGATATCAAAAAAAAGAGTGGATTGTTCAATGTTGTTGTTTTCCGAGTATTCGAGGTAAGGAATGTGGTACCCTTGGATCTGGGTAGTTTCTATAGGCTGATGTTCATCAAAAGAGCGTGGGTAGACGTGCAGAAGTTCGTCAATTAGTTTGTTTCAAACAAAAGCGATTAAAGAGCGACAGGAAAACAATCATTAGAACGTTTCAAAACAAAAAAGGGACACAAAAAGCACAGGAGTAAGAAGCACGAGAAGCAGAACTTGAGACACTTGGATGAAGGGGGGAAAGATTTTTGTTGGCCAGCGGTGAGCGTCTAAGCAAGTGAGATTCGATTGAGCCAGACCGCAGGGGGTTCGATGCAAGCTGCATGGGCTGGTAGGCTGAAAAACGTTGATAACTTGGTGGCTTTGAGTGATTGGTCAAGATGAGAGCAAAAGTACAAGTCAATTCCTTTTCTTTTTTTTTTCTTTTCTTTCGGAGATGTGTTCATGAGTTGTTTATATCTTATATCGGACTTGGTACCTGGGCTATCATGTTTAATATAGAAAATCCATATTAATGCGGAGTATCCGTCAATTGAGAACCACAATTGACTCCTTCAAACATGTTTACTCATTTAATCGCGTGTTTTAGGTGGATCCTGTGTGCGTTGTCCCTGATCCTGATGAACTGCCACTAGTTTATAGCGTCTGACAGGGGCACAACCGAGTAGAGAGGAACAATATTCATATGCCAATAAATAATGTCTCCTCGTGATCGGAGAATAACTACCCACGATCCCTCGCATTTGACTCACATTTGAAAACTCAATGGCTTCAAGGGGTGCTGATTTCAAATGTTTCCTGTTTTCCCGATTTAGCACGGTCCACTAGTTCGAATCAGGTTTTGACATTTTAAGGAGTTCAGGGTGAAACCAACCTTGTTTACATTCAGTATATAGAGATATATAGATATATATATACATGTACTTGATATAGAAGGATATATGTCTACGTCTTTAGAATATCAAAAAGAACAATCGTAAGAATTGGCATTGATTCGATTGTATCAAATAACAATACCATACTGTATTATATCACTTCCAACCAATGACCACCATTTGATCCGTATGGCAGGAACAAAGAAGACCTTTCCTTTCTCTCTCATAAAACCATAAGAGACCACATAAATAACCTCCACCTCTACAGATGGCGCCGGTAGGGATAATGGCTCGACTCAAGAGTCTGTACTCCAAGCAGGGTAAGTCAGGGGTAACCCCTAAAAATAGTCTCAACTAACACGAATTCAGATGAACCTGCCCTGTCAGAACAGACGGTCGCTTTTCTGTCTGTATGTAGAACTCCTAGAACAGAAAAAAAAACAAAAAACACACTTCACTCTACATCCTCATATCTAACTCCCCATTCAGGTCATCCTCACACTACTCTACGTGGTGCCATTCTATCTCTCCCCAACCACGCGCCCATCCCCAACTCTCAGTCGCGATGCCCCGTCCGTGATTCGCGCCCGCATCCGTGCAGTCACGGGCTCCTGTATCGTGAGCTCAGTCTTTGTTCTCTGGCTCATCGTTGAGGAAGGGAATTCCTCCCTCGGCGCCGGTACCAGACTCCTTGGCTGGTGGCCCGTCGGTGTGCTGGAGACCCTTCGGAGTCTTCTCCTAACCGCCATTCTGTTCCTGGGCCCACTCTTTGAGCGTGGCATTGTCGAGGGCGAGTGGAAGTTCTGGTTCCGTCCTAGTAAGCTCTCCGAGAGTCTCGGTGGCTGGATTGGCTGGAGGAATTATGTCGCGGTATGCACATGCACCTGCATCCTTTTTTTTTTTTCTTTTTTTTCTTTCAAACCCAATCTAATATACTCCCAGGGTCCCTTAACAGAAGAAGTCATGTTCCGATCCGCGATGGTCCCGCTGCATTTGCTAGCACACACCTCGCCGGGCCGAATCGTGTTCCTCGCACCGCTGTATTTCGGTATCGCGCATGTGCACCACTTCTATGAGTTCCGTCTGACACATCCGGATACACCGGCTCTGGCTGCGCTGCTGCGGTCGCTCTTCCAGTTCGGATACACGACTATCTTTGGCTGGTATGCGACTTTCGTCTATTTGCGGACCGGCTCGTTGCTAGCCGTTGTTCTCATCCATAGTTTCTGTAACTGGTCTGGATTGCCGCGGTTCTGGGGGCGTGTTGAGACCGGTGAACCTATCGGGCCCCCAATGACAAGGGGAAAGGAGGATTCTGATGATGGTATCGGGGCTCGGGGTAATGGTGGTTTGGGTGTTGGGTGGACGATTGCTTATTATGTGCTTCTTGTAGCCGGGGCACTTGGTTTTGCTCGGGGTTTGTGGCCTTTGACTGAGTCTTATCATGCTCTAGTTTCGTTTTCGGGGAATTCGAATTAGATTGGGTGTAGCCCGTGAGTTCCGTCTTCGGTTGGTTTGGTTTCTTTCCGGCATCTTCTTTCGTGAGGCTTTTATATGTGGTGTTCTGTTGCCCCCGTCGTGAACCGGCCCTGGAGACCCATATATATAGAATTGGGGGGTGTTCCCTGGCAAGAAAAAGATGCATGTGCATGTGCATGTGCATGTGCATACCGCGACACATGCTGGGTCTGTATAGCATAACCTAGCACTTCGAGCCGATACATATCATCAGCCAGTACAATTATTTCACTGTCAACTTGCTAGGGGTATGGTCTGGTACTTACCTCCAAGACCTGTAGCTTCAATTTTGGCTGTTGAGATCCTGACGCCATTTCTGTATGGGACCACCATATAAAAGGTACTTGATGCCCAAATCTTGCACCTTGCATCTTGTAACCATCATATTGAATATTTGGGAGATATGTTGATATTGAGAATCGAAACTGCATTTTCATTTAAAACGAAGCTAAGCTGTTTTCTTAGTCGGTTGCTGTTATGTTAAGGGGGGTGGTCAAAAACTGCACTTTCAAGAATCCCCCCTTGACTATATATATAAGAATAGTCGCGGCCACTTGGTATATCTCTCAAATGTCCTTGAAATTATTATCTCCCATTCTCATTTACAGATGTAGCGAGAAAAATGAAAAGGCAATAAAAACCCTAAACTGGATAAAGTGTGAAGGGTTGGGTGGGTGGTGGACTAGAAACCCTCGTGCACAATCCGTTGTGTATAGAGAGAAAATCATCAAGTAGCCCTGGTTTCCTCAACACAAGTTTCTCTTACCACTATGAAGCAAATTGGCATTTTCAACATTGCTCGAGAAAGTAAAAATAGCATACGAACAGTTGATCAGGATAGGAACGTGACTTTGATAGCTTCATGTTGAATTGACTGACAAGAAGATGTTCGATATCTACCTACGAGCAGGCGCGGCGCGAGTAGATCGGTAATCTGAACTGTAATACCATTACAAGAGGGCGAGAGATGGATTATGTTCGTCAAACCCCTGCTTCCTCTCTAAATTGCTGGCCATTAAGGAATGCACAACGACTGAACAACATTTCCCAATGAAGCGCTTTCTCTGCGTCAGTCATGACCTCCATGTCAGCTCCAATACCTTCGCTACATCTAGTGGGTACTGAGCCATGAGGCCCACCAAACAGCTGTACGGAGATATGACTGGGCAGGTCGCCTATTGAAGATTTCGACAACTCATCCGAGAACGCAGGCGGCCATGACTGAAGCCGATCGTCTGACCCTTTAGGGCTGTTATGCACGAACTGAATAATTGTCCGACTGAAATCTCGAGCCAGCGCAAGCTGAGCGTCCGAGTTATCTGCACCGGCCCCTAGGTGGTCATTGTTGAACAGGTAGGGGATATCGCTGAGATGAGCTACACCCCACATTGACACGCCCATGAAATCAAAGACTGGCGCGTATCTGGTTTGGTTGAACTCATACAGCCGTACCTGCGAGGCTTCCACACCCCCATTTTTGACATACTGCCACGTAAAGTCAAGGACTGGGCAAGTGAACCAGATATCGCGATTCAGCTGGGCAGCGCGGTAGTACTGCGGTGAAAGCTGACCTTCATGCTCTGGCTTGATCATGTGTTCAAAGTCCTCCAGAGGATACAGGTGTAGGAGCTTCTGTTTCGTGGATTCTGAAAGTTTGTGCAGCCATAATCCGAAACTCCCTAGAACTTCGTCGTCCGTCGCAGTGGTTGGAAGTGCGTACCAAGCGCCATCGTTTGTGACCCAGGAAGCTATCAGGGGGATTCCTTTGGTAAACTTTCCATCGCGCGTCAACTCCGAGGGTCTATCTTGAATGAAGTCATCATCGATCGTTGGGTAAAAGTACCCTTCGCCGAAAGGGGGACGAGCTGCGCGAGATGCAGCAACGGATAGGTTGGCCAGTCGTTCAAAGGGAACACCTCGGAGACACTCCACCGTCTGCAAATCTTGGTTGTCGCCGCATCCTACTTGCTGTGCAATAGCAGCCGTGTTACTCGCAACCAGCTCTGGCTGGCTGTTGAAGTTCAGCCCTGGACCGCCAGACATCATTCTAGGGCTGCGGATCAGCATTGCACAGTTTCAGGCCTCGATTCACTTACACTCCTTGCTGAAATGGAACATCTTGACCACCGCCAAATGCCGTTAGCTGCAGACCAATGTCACTGGCCCCCACACTTTGTCCGATGACAGTCACTGGAATATAACCTGTCAGCATATTGGGGTTTGAATACAGGAAACGCTAGTTGAGTATACCTCTGTGAGGGTCACCGCCGAATGACTCAATATTATCGCGGACCCCTGATTTCTCGACGTTTCAGCTTCTCATGGTGAGATAAAAGAGCAGCGAGATACATACACTCTAAAGCGGCACGCTGGTCCCGAAGCCCTGCATTTGTGTCTTTTCTCTCAATCAATGCTTCGCTAGTTGCGAAGCCGAATACTGAACAACAATCAGCAATCAGTACTCAATCTCAGCGCAGAGTTTCAAGAACTCCTGGTGAACCACTTACAGCCCAGGCGATAATTTATGCCAACATACACCAGCGGCTGCCCATCAGCAGCAGCCAGATTTACCAAGCCATCAGGTTCGTAAAGAATATCGGAAGCTGAGCCTAAAGCATGGCCACCTGTCTGCTTATTAGCGTCTTCAGAGCTTACTCCCAAATAGTAGACTAACCTCCATGGATCCAAACCACAACTGGAAGCTTAGCATCTTTCTGCGTTCTTGCGGGTCTCGCAATTCTCAAGCTCAGGCAGTTTTCGCTAATGTTGGTCACCCTACTCGTGAACGGAAGTATATCCCCCGTGGCCTGCGGACACCAAGCACCAGCCCGGGTTGCGTCAATGATAGATCCCTTGACTGGCCTCGCTGGGACTGGCGCTGCGAAACGTCGCTGCCCTGTGGGTTCCTCAGCATAAAAAATGTTTTGGAAATGCTCAATTCCAGCAGATGATACACTGCCAAGGTAAGTGATGTCTCGCGCCGAGTCCACTACCTTTAGGCTGGAACTTAGAAAAAAGGTATCAAAAAGTTCCTGGTAATATATTGCGATAATAGCCAGAAGCAGGGCTACCCCAGACGCAAACAAGCGGTTAGTCATAACTGCTGGAGAGATGTCAGAGATATACAGTCTCCTTAGAATAGATATCCCTCACGATAGAGCGAGAAGATAAGGAAACCTGAGAGTTGAGGTGCAGTAAGGGGGTGATGGTGTGTACCAATGTGTTCCCTACCACGGATGATCGGGTGTGACGATCATGCTTAGGTGCCTATAGCTGCCTACTAGTTGCTTCGGTATTTTTGTTTTTTTATTTTTATTTTCTTTGTTTGCTATTTATGACGGGTAGTGACATTGAAATCATAAGCCCCCCCAGCATAAATGAATGTATCGGTTAAACCTACTTATGATTCAGTACTCCCTGGGAATTAACAAGGGCACGCATTACATTCATTAAGAACCTAAAGAAAACTGGCTCACAGACTTTAGCTATAGTAGCATAAGATAAAATGACAATCTGAAGACAGACCTCCCTATACCTTGCGGCCTAATTCCTAATATTACATCACCCGGGCTCTGGCTAGCACAACTCTATGTCCGAGCTCTGCCTCACGGGCCATCCAATTTTCCTTCGTAAGACACCTGATCACGGTGTGCATATGACCCGCTTGAAGCGCTGAAATTTGTGAGGGGTGTCTTCCCGTCATTCGTTGATGCCGATGTAGAATGCCCGAGGAGACCAAACTCGCCATCCTTTGGCTGACCAAAGCGACGGTACAGAGTATCGCGACATTGACCAAGAACAGGCCCAAAGACTGGCATGCAGCAAACAATCATAGCCACATTCACCTCGATCTCCGACCACAGGATAAAAAGTGTGAAATCGGCAATGAAATCAGGGTTATCCTCCTTGTCATAAGACGTCACAAGATAGATGTATGTCCTCGCAACTCCTGCGCCGATCGTGCTATGAGAATTCAAGGTTAGCATCCAGCTATACACCGACTCTCCGCAGGATGAGATGAGAAAGAACATACAATATTCCGACCATAAACACACTTGTAACCCCGATCTTCTTTTTAATCGACATTTGCAACTTCCAGATGATCGGCACAGGCATCAACATAATCACAAAATCCGTCAGCAAATCCGTCCCACAAAACACCGTCAGCATATTCAGCGTATCAGTACACTCGGTCAAAAAGAACTTGATCGGTGCCCAATTCCAGTCCCAGTTCGTCCCGCATTGAAACAAGGTTGCAAAGAAGAAAGATATACTCCAAGCAGCAACAATCCCAATCATAACCCAGCAAAACAGCTGGAAGGAGCGGATGGGACTTAACATCCGCTTCCACAGGAACAAGATGGAAAGTTTGATTAGTCCAAAGGCGATCTTTTCTGTTGTCTGGAAAGCATATTTGTATTTTTGGACTAGGACTTCGAGTGCGCTGGGTTGGGGCCAGTTGTTTAGAACTATAGAGTGGCCGGTTATTGCGCCTTGTATTATGCCCGAGAGGAAGATTCCATTTAGGGCGAGGACGAAGAACTGCTCGCTTCAACATCAGTATAGCGTCTCTGTAAATTCTGGGGTTGTTGTATAGTAGGAGATGGACACACAAGAGAAGACAGTGCAAACCAGTCATCAGGCCCCAAGGGTATTTTCGTGAGTCGTCTGGAGTAGAAGCGGAGCAGTACTGCAAATATCCCTGTCAGGAAGAATATAGATGTCATGACTATTAAACCCGGGCGGTCGTTGACGAGTGGGAGGGCCCGGTGGTATGCCATTGTTGGCCGCTTTTCGCCGAAATGCGCTTGCGCTGAAGTTTGTCTCTGAAGCCTTGCTGTATAGTATAGTAGATTTTGATGTAGGTCAAGTGAAGCGAGAAGAATGAGCTCGCATACCCATCAGGCACTAAAGATGACCGAATCGAAAAAAAGTCTCGCTAGTAAAAGAGATCAAGTTGATGATTTCAAAATGATCAGCTAAGGAATGGCTATATGTTGTACAGACACTAGGGAGGCATCCAGGAATGACTGCAAGTTCGGCATGCTTACTAGATCGAGACGCTTACAGGTAAAGCTGGCCCGGAAGGGCAAAAGCTCAGTTGGTTTGATTTGGAACATGTCGGGGCAAGCCGTTCGAGTAACTGCAGGGGGGCGTGCTGCAGCATGCCGGGGGTGCACTTGATTTGATTTTCTAGGACTCGCGAACTTTTAGCGTGGGTGATTGTGTTGCCCCTCTAATCTACCTAGTTTTGTAATCCTTAAGATCTAGTGATTAATTTTTGAAGAGTCTGCCCACGATGGGAACACCATCTGAGGACAAGGAAGAATGCACTGGTCTTCTCAACGATATCGACAAAACCAACCAGGATTTGGACATACCTGCAAATGGCCCTGGGAGCGAGAAACCCTACAGGCGTCGATTCCTCATCCTAGTTCCCATCCTGCTTTTATCCCTCACTGCCAACATAATCACCCTCTCTATCATCGCCTCGACCCCCAAACCTTATCAACTCCCATCAAAATACGCCAACCTTCACCTCACCCACACAGAGCCCTACGTCCTCCTAACCGATTACTCCTCCAATAACACGACCCTAGCCGACACTCTCTGGCACTCCATCAACATTGACAGTGGTGTCGTCGCTCTCCCCGACTCCTTTGCTACATCCCATAACCTTCGCACAGCGCAGCGATTTCCCTGGGACACCAGCAAAGGAATCTACATCCTTCACGGCTTCCACAACCTGCACTGCCTGAAGATTATCTACATCAGCCTATTCGAGTTTCGGACCGGCCAGGAACAGTCGAGGACCTGGCACCATATCGCGCATTGTCTTGATGCGCTGAGACGCCAGATGCTATGTGATGCGGATGATACGCCTAGGGCTACGGAGAGGAGGGCCGAGGTTGTTAGTGGCATCGGGCAGCATCGCGTTTGTAGGGATTGGGGGAAGTTGGAACGTTGGGCGAAAGCTCATACGGCTTGTTATAAGCGCCCTGAGAAGCCAGGGGATGAGGTTGGGTTGAAGAGGTTTATGCATTGTCCGGAGGGGAGTGGATATGTAGTTGATGAGGGGTACGTGCCCATGGAGGAGGTTTTGGTGGGGTTGCCCGAAGAGTCGATTGCAACGGGACTGGCTGGGGAGGTGTAGAGGGAGTATAGTTGTTACGATACGGATTGGGAGATCTCTTGTATGCTGTATAGAGTAGGGAGTATTAGGACTAGAATTGGCTCCACTGATAATTTAACGATCAAGGGAACAAGTGTTGCGGATCTTAGGTACATGGGTTGAAGATAAAACCCCTCAATTCGCCAGAGAAGGACCTTCTAAAACCCATCTGCGACAACCACGTCGTTGCCATGCCCCTTGATATCTTCCTTGTTCTCTTTGACTCCCTTGTCCGCTCTGGTGACCACGGACCTGACAACCGCAGTGTCTTAGTAGCATCTGTCAGCCCAGTCTAATTGCAGGATGTGTCTCTCCTTGGGATGTACTCACTTTCAATGGGTGTGGGTGCAGCCAATGCTAAGGCGGCTAGGAAGGTAAGGAGGAGGAGGTATGTACGCATGCTGGGTGGTTGGGGGCTCGTGTGTTGTAAATTGGAGGATAGAACGGTAAAAGATGATGGTTCTGAAAGCTGGAGATTGTTTTCACTAGACCCTGGCCTAGGACAAGTTGGCTTTGCTAGAAATACCTACTCGAGAGCGGGAAAGGAATGTCATAAATATAGTAGTTTGCTTATCATAGTACCGCATACTTTCAGTCCAACCTAGATGTATGTTGATCAACCAGTAAAGGGCGTCTACGGGGTACATGATTCACACCCCTCCTCAACCTACAGGTGACCAGTATAGTAATAGTATGTAGATCCCCCAAAAGAATATGCAAGGTGCTACGCCTTACAACATACACTCTCAGCCCTTCTACCCTTGCAAATGTGATCCGAAGTGATATAACCCAAGGAGGGCGCTTAGATCAACATTCACCGGAGGATATAATGTTTAGAAGCAGAGTCCCGCATTATGATACATTCCAGCGCCAACAGTCCATTTCCAACTGGCCTATGCAGGTTTCCATTAAATAAATGACATAATCTGTGATTAACACCGCATAGCCCACGGCCCAACCCGCGTTGACTGGGTTGGCGTTAAGCAAGGGATACACTGACTTAACCCGGACATCCGAGTCAGCCTTAGAGATGCTCAGTTCCAGTCCGTACCTTCAACTCTAACGTCCTGAAACTACGAATTTACCTTTTCTTTTAAAAAAAAAAAACAAACTTGCTCTTAGTTAACACAGTAATGTTGTTGATGACTGCAAAAGAGCACGAGTATAAGCCTCTCTCAAATGCCAATGGGGACTTAGACCGAGAGGAGCCTCAACCTCATCTCGCAGAACCATCAAAGACACAGTTCACAGTCCCACATATGATATGCTTCATCGTCTCTCTCATAACCGCATTCACAGCAGGTGTATTACTCATCCTCTACATCTCCAACACAACCACAACGCACTGCTATGAATCCGGGACTGTAGAAGACATATCAATAGCACCTCACCTCCCACTCCCCCAAATCGCAGGCAAATTCAAACATAAATCCCCTTTTACAGAGGAACCACCACGGGAAGGGAATGCCTCAGAGCCTGTATGGGATGCGTTAATACCTAGTATGTTCTCTCCACCTCATCTCACATCTAGTATAAGATATGGTAGTAACAAAATCTACAGACGGCCTGGGATACTTCATCCCCGCAGCCACAAACACCTCGAAGCCAAAGTCCTCTTCTGTGGTAATCCCATCCGCTTTCCACCAGCTCCACTGCCTCTATCTCCTCCGGCGAGCATATTACACACCTGAATCAGAACTCCAACGCTTCGACTTCGGTCGGAACCGTTCTGTTCATGTAGCGCATTGCTTTGATTACCTTGCCCAGGCGATCACCTGTTCGGCGGATAGTACGCTTGAGCCGGCAGTTGATAAGGAGCATGGATTTTTGGGGGCCGGGTTTGCGAGACGATGTTGGGATTTTGAGTACTTAAAGAGCGTTGTGGAGAATAGGAGAGCATTTAATGCGAGTGGATTTTTGGCTTGGGGGGCTGGGAAGGACGGGAAGGTTGGCTTGGGCTGATGGGTTTAGTAAAATGGACCTGGAGTACTTAGACCTTTGAATTTGTATGCAACTATTATGTGCCCTCGACTAAAGATCTAAACTCCGCATAGCAAAATACTGATCACCTATATATGGTGGAATCTCGGACACATTATCCAGCCCTGTCTGAATATCCGCAATATCCAAACCCTTAGTTAATCCCATGAGCACCAACATGATAGAATGCTGAACCGTATCAATCCTGATAGCCTCATAATTTGCATTGTCATATTCAATACGTAGAAAAAGGGGACCGTCTTTCTGAGCGCAAAATTCCATCATTAAGTTGAACTTTGCGCCCTGACACCAGGTCCTCAGTGGTAATACTCCGGGAACGTCAAAGTCACGGACTGCTCGATGATCATGGAATGTCACAACTGCCTCGATAAAAGGGACATTGGGGTGATTTGGATGAACTTCAAAATGATCTAACAGAGAATGCCATGGGATCGAGTGGGAGAGAGAATCTCGGCTGGATTGTTGCGTGTCACGTACATAGGCGAGTCCAGTTCCATCAGAGGGAGCATTGACGCGGATAGGTAATGGCTCAAGAAACAAGCCAACTACATCGAGATCATCCAATCCTCGGTTGAGGAATGGCGCTCCTAACACCACTGGTTGATCCGAGGGTCTATTCTGACGCAGGCATAGTGAAATAGCGGCGAGACAGAGCTGATGGAATGTGACTCCGTACCGCATACTATATTGTGTCATACTAGACATGACCTCTTGGGGGAGCTTATACACTCGGGATGCTCCATGGAATGTGGTTCGTTTCGGGGTTGGATAGAAAGGCAGACCACGCAAAGAAGCATTCCAGAACTCGAGGCAATCTGGATTGATAGGTTGATTCCAGCGTGTGGTATCACTATAGCGCCTGGTAACTGGTGGGAGGCAACCGCCCTTGACGACTAGTTCTACCTCTCGTAGAACTGTCTGTAGAGATGTCAGATCTAGGATAATGTGAGAAGCAACCAGGACGAGCAGATCGAGTGAGAGATAGACGCGGATGGGAACATCTTTAGAAAGATCGAATTCATAATTGATTGTTTGTTGGATGTCGATATCCGAGACGTAACGCACTTTGGGACGCGAACTACTCATAGTCCGGACTAACTTCGATCGCTGTGCGCAATAAAGAGACTGGAAAATGTCGTGCCGCGCAAGGACAGTGTTCCATGCCTCAGCCAAGCTGACTATGTCAACCCCTCTGTTCAGGTGGCAGACATAGTTCACGTTAAAGGCGGTTGATCCTTTCCGCAGATTGTACTTCTGCCACCACTCGACTTCAATAGGAGATGGATTTGTATCTCCTAATGGAGTCAGAATTTGGGCTACGTTCCCGTTCGTCACGCAATTAGGTGCACATTCTGTATAAGCGGTGAATAGTGCCACCTGGTCACGGAGACGGGGGGAGTCAATGACGTGACGGGCACGGATTTCCTTCGAGAAGGCAGAGGATAAACGACTTGCTAACGCTAACTGCTCAAGTGAGTGGCCCCCCATGTCCACAAAATGATCGTTATCACGAATTGGGTGACTGAGGTCAAGCTTTAGGACCGTACGCCAGATATCGATTATTTTGCTGCGAGAGTCTTGCAAAGAAGATGAAGCCACAGGCCAGGTGCTTTGGTCTGAACAAGAGGCGAACATGTTCACAATAGCCGCGTAGTCTGTCTTTCCACTACGGGCTACCGGGAAGTCAGAAACAGCTTTCACCAGACCCGGGATGGCGTATGATGGTAAAACATCCCGCAGTTTGGCTCGGAAACTATCAATGTTGACGTCTATCGGCTGCACGAGTGCAACTAGTGTATCGTTTACACTAGCAAGGGCAACTGCGGCGGCTGAAGAATATCCACGGACCATGCGAATTTCCAGGTCGTTGAGATCCAAGCGAAAACCGCGCAGTTTAATCTGTCTATCTGCTCGCCCAAGCAGCGAAACCTCTCCGCCTGTTGTCCAGTATCCTCGATCTCCAGTCTTGTACATCATCTGCCCCGGTCCAGGGCATACACTGTCTGTGAAGAAACTGGCGTCGGTCTCATCTGGACGCCCAACATAACCACGAGATACCTGAATCCCAGCGATATAGACATCTCCAATCATTCCTGGGAAGAGAAGATTGCGGTAAGTATCTAGGATGTAGATCCGGGCACACCGAGTTGGCTTTCCAATTGTAATTGCCACTCCTGGATATATACGGTTGTAGGCTGCCCCAATACTGGTTTCAGTCGGGCCATACATATTGTATGTCGGGAGAGCAGAGGCCCATGTGTCAGCGATTTCTCGTGTCACAGGCTCTCCTACTAGCCAGACCTGCGTAACACATCGGCAATATTAGCATACTCTCTTTGATTCCATTAGAGAGGAATTTCTAATCGAGGAATACTCACCGCACGCAGATTTGGGTAGTCGATTGGATCCAACATACGAGCGAGAGAGGGTGTCAATAGAGCGACATCCGAATGCTTCAGATTATCAAACGGATCGTCCGAATCGTTCAGCACCAACGTTCCACCATATGACAGAGTAGCAAAGATTTCGTGAATGCTGCCGTCAAATGCAGGAGACATCACTTGGGGAACCTTGCGACCCGGCCCTACCATCATTCGGGCCTCGTAATCTTTTTCAAATGCAACGATCCCCTTATGGGTGCACATCACCCCTTTAGGAAGACCGGTTGAGCCACTAGTAAAACACAAGTATGCATTGTTTTCGGGTTGCACACTGTTATGCCATCTCCTTTTTGGAACCTGCATGGCGAGTATCTCGTCCACTGAGTAGCATATCTGACAATAGGATGGCTTACAGCTCTTGGAAGCCTCGCTCGTTGCCAGGAATACACGAGCGTTAGCGATAGAACAGAACGAGTCGCGGAGTGCAGGAGGGGAATTGGGGTCCATTGGACAGTAAGCCCCTTGGGCCTTCACTACCCCCCACGCAGCCACAATCCAGTTGGTGGAACGATTAGCTTGCACGCAAACGACATCCCCCGGCGCAATGTGCTGCAATAAGACTCGAGCCAATCTTGTACTGAACTCATCTATTTGCCGATAACTCAGCTCCGTTGACCCTTTTCTCACGGCCACGCTTTTCGGTGTTGCTCGACATTGCTCTGTGAACAAACTGACCAGCGTCTCGCTCCCATGTGACTTTGTATCCTCTGATGCGCAGTTTCCAAAATCCATCAGTGTTTGTCGTAAAGATGAGCCAATGAATTGAGTGACACACAATTCTAGCCTCTGGCTCGGGATGAGAAGTGCCTCGATGGCGGATACGAAGGCGCCACACACGTGGCCGATATCTCTATGATGGAATCGGTCCTTGCTGTAATTAAATTGTACCCTGTCTTTAGGTCCAACAAAGATATCGACTGGTAGCCCTGATTGAATTTTCGTGTAAGAAGAACGTCCGTCTGGGGGCTGCGGATGATCCGCTTCGTAGTCGAATTGTATGGCCATCGCGGATGAAACATTGCGGCTGAATCCATGCTCGGCCTTGCTCCACTGATAATCAGAGAGCATATTTAGATTATTGGACACCGATTGCAGAAATTCCAATGCATGTTGTCCCCGATCAATTTGTAGACAGAGAGGCAACATATTCATCAAAGGACCAACAGTCTCCAGTATGCCAGCGATCGGCACGTCTCTATTGGCCAACACGACGCCAAACATGATGTCCTTGCATGCAGTGTATTGAGAAAGCACGAGGGCCCAGGCAGCATAGTAGACTATTGAAGGGGAAATGCTTTGGGTTTGGCAGAAGCCTTGCACTTTTTCCAATGGTAATTTCCCCGTGACACAACCCGTCGTACTGCGCATTGGGTTCCCTTGAAACTCGGGCAAAGGCAATAGTATGGTCTCTTCAGCTGAAGAAGGTTTGAAATATGTCTTCCAGAAAGATCTCGCCCGGTGTGCATTGTGATCCTGATACCAAGCCAGCTCCCGCACGACGTCCGTGAAGGGCCGACCCAGTTGGAGGGCACCCCCAGTGAGCACCACATTGACTCTGGCGAGAAGAGTGCCACCGGAAATTCCATCAACCAAAGCGTGGTGAACGTGCCAGATCAAGGTGCTCTTTTGGGGTCCCTGGGGTCCATTCAGCGTTACGACGGCAAACTCCGTGGAGGGTATGACCATAGGGGGCGATTCTGTCTCGTCAATCAATCTCTGGTATGCATCTTCATCATTAACAATTGTTTCAGACCAGGAGAGCATGAAGAACTTCCTCTCGAGAAGTTGGTCTTCGTCAAAGGCGGCATGAAAGATGGGCTCCGTTTCGATGACGGCTTGCCACGCCTGCTTCAACCGCGGAATCTCCATAGGAGCTACTTCTTGGTAGTAGCTAATGACATTGGTTCCCGGGGCTCGCTTGGAGCCAGAAACCAGCAGTATCTGCATCTCGGTCTGTGCAATGCATTGTGTGGGTCGCTGGTAGGGGCTTGAGATGAACTGGATCTGCCCTCTGTTTCGAGGTTCAACCTCACTCGAGTTTCTGGCAATAAACTCAAACGGCGAGGCTGAAGATGAAGTTTCGATGAGTGTGGGTGATTGCACGCTATGGGCACCGTCGAAGATTAATGTGGACTTTGCGGCTCGAACAATACCGGATACCGTTTCGCTGGACAGAATGTCCCCAACGGTGAGAGCTATTCCCTGTTGGCGACATGCGGCTGCTGTTGAAAGTGCAATGATGGAGTTGCCACCTAATTGGAAGAAGGTTGAGTCGGGCGTAATTGAAGTCTTTGGAACACCAGCATGATGTGCGATAATGGAGAAAATCATCTCCTCCATGTTTGGTCGGTGGAAAATAAAGAGCAATTACACTGATGTTGAGTACCGTACAGTTCCTCAAATCTTGCCCTAGATCTCTGACAAATGCCCTTCTATTTGTTTGTTACAGATCGGATATTATTGAACTGATATTTAATTCTTAGCTATTTGCTACAGTCACATTCCATTGGTGATATAATGTATTGTTACTATGCGTAGCACGCATCTAACCTCTCATCTGTTAAGAGTAATCTTGATTCTCATCTGCTCATAGGACTTTATGCAACTATAATCTTTTCAACTGTCTAGTATCGTATAGCGTACCTCAAAGACATGGTTACTCAAGAATACCGAACAGGAAAGCGCTCAAAAATTTGGGGTCTACCCCGTCCTGCTGCAGTACGTTGCACGAGAAGAACTTGCGTCTCCCTGGTAAGACTTTCTGAGTAGATGATGTCTATTCCTTCCTGATTTTCTGTCAAGTAAAATCCCCCAAGAGAAACCGTGCTTATGTAGTGTATTAGCATGAGATAATCTTCAATATCGATCCGAGCCCGAGTACCAAATACAGAATAGATCAAAACGTGGGTAGTCCACATTTCTGCGTAACTAGGACGTGACACACCTTCGGCCAGTAAGCATCATTCTGCGGAGATGGTGGCATCCTTTTCCTTTATCGGGTTGTACAATTTATTGTAAATCTGAACTGGAAATGGAAACACCACGGTTTATTTTCCTCCTTGTGCCTGTACTCTAGTATCTTCCTCATTTGGTGCAATTCTTTGCTTATAGGGCATCTAACAACATGGATAAGATTGAAGAGACACTCACAGAGCTTGTAAAGTCGCTGATAGAAGCAAAAAATGTCCTCCAATGCGAATGTCGTGCTGAGCTGATGGCTCGACTGCACAACTCTAAGACTCTGCCCGAGCGAGAACTTTACGAACTGTCCAGGCAGGCAACCCAATTGCTTCATGAAATTGAGCTACTGTTGGAACCTCGGCCCATGATCCTGGCCAATTATTTCCTTGGTGCGTATCGGTTTTCTTTACCAAATTTTCGCCGAAAACCTAACCTGTCTAGGCTCTGCAAAGACCAAGTGTCTCAATGCAGCTGTGGAACTGAATATTCCAGACCTCCTGAAAGCCGGCCCTATGGACGTTGCCACGCTAGCATCAGTGAGCAAGGCGCGTCCGGACCGGCTTAAACAGGTGATGCGGGTGCTTTGCAGTGACTCGGTGTTTGAATTTGACACCAAATCGCAGTGTTACTCTCTGAACGAGTGCTCCGAATTACTGCTGACGGATCATTGGACTCGCTGGTGGCACTGGGTCGACCTCTATGGCAATGAGTTTTATGAAATGGCACGTGGAATCCCAGCGGCGTGTCGTGAAGAAGAGATGCGGATGCCTTCACAGATCGCTTTCGACACTGAGCTCAACATGTTTAGGTGGTTTGCCGCGCAGGGCTCCTTGCATCGGGTCCATCGCACATTGGGAGGTGGAGCTACTGCGCAAGCACCAGGCATTGTGCAGGACTATCCCTGGGGGAGGTTGCCGACGGGAAGACTACCGTGATGGACATTGGTGGAGGAGGTGGGGGCCTGATCTCGGCACTGCTGCGGGCCGCTCCGAACCTTCAAGGCGGGGTTTTCGATCTTCCCGAGGTTATTGACCACGCCACTGAGAATTTTCATGGTACTGACGGAATATACCGTGATGTTGGAAGTCGGGTTGCAGGTAAAGACTTGCACAAGGGGGATTTCTTCCAGTCTATTCCCTCATACGAAGTATACACGATGAAGTGGTGCTTGCATGACTGGAATGACTGCCAGGTAGTCCAGATTCTCTCGAATATCCGCAAGGCAATCATCCTAGGACCCAAGTCGCGACTCGTCCTTCTGGAAATAATTCTTCGGGATGGGCACGCCGGTAACTTGTCTCGGCTTGCTGACTTGTCAGTCTTCATGGCTGCATCTGGGATGGAGCGTGACGAGGGGGAGTGGCGTGATTTGGCGCGAAAAGGTGGGTGGAAAATCCAGAACATTTACCACCTGCGCAGCGCGTGGCCTGAAGCAATGGAGCTTATCCCTGCCTAGTTATTTGCAAGGGGCAGTCATATAGGATGAAGTCACCAAATCATTGTAGGAAGCTTTAAGTTGGCGACCCTACCAAACACTCGTGCACTAACTTCCTGTATTATTCAAGTGAATTGGGAAAGTTGACAAGACAAGAGAGGAGAAGAAAGGAAAATGTTTTTGATTCATAGTGGAAGCCTGACAAACCAGGCACCCTTGCATAACTACTTATATCTCAAAAGGGCTATCCATGCCAACCTACTTGAAATCACGAAAGCCTTGTACATATAATGGGTTGAATAGCCAGACTGATCCATGTTTCTGGCATTTTCTCCCAGTCTTCCAGGTCATGGCCCTCTTTACCCAGGGGGGTCAGCTGGTAGTTTTCGATCAGATACGCCACAATTGTCTTCAGTATGATGTCAGCTACATGTTTGCCGAGACATTGACGAGGTCCAAAGCCATATCGCCAGAAGCGATAACGCCGGTTGACTGCATTTTGATCCAGGAAGTGCTGGGGTTGATACTGCCCTCGATGTGCACCCCAGTTTGCGTCGCCAATATTGAGGCCATGAGAATCGACCACAAACTGGGTACCCGCAGGAATGATGTAGTCTCCCACAACACGTTGCGTCGGAGCAGCTTGTGGTATTGAAAATGAGGCCATTGGCTTGAGTCGAGCAGTCTCAAGGATAGATGCCATCAGCATAGTGGAAGTCCCTGCAAGGTACGCTTTCCACCCATCGTCACCCCGGTCTTCGCGCGCGCGTCTTATCTCTTGGCGGATCTCTTCCTGCACGCTCGGATATGCCGCCAGAAAAACAGGATTCCAGGAGAGATTGCCAATCGTGACATCCAAGTTCGCAAACAGGATCTCGTCCATCGTATGGAGGAATTCCAGTTTGGATATCCGACCAGCCTCAATTTCACTATACATCTTTACAATGGGTGGCGGATCTGGTAGTACCAATGTTCTCGCTCGCTCATATGCCTGGTCATTGAAGTCATTCCACATAGGCTTGAACATATTGAGGGTTCTGAGTCTCGCTCCTGGGACAAAACGCCCGATTGAATACCGAGCCAACCCACCAGCGATGCCATCTTTCCACAGCTCATGTCGCAGTTTTTGCAGCTTGTCCAGCTGTCGCTCCATCCGCTCATCAAGCTCTCCATACAGGATATCGCCGAGGATCCAAAACGGGAGGAACATGAGATTTTCCGCAGGTTCAAGTATCATGCTGTCTCCTTGACACTTCTCACTTTCGATTTTCTGCATGTATCTCTTGACTCGCAAGTCAATTAATTTGATGTAGCTGGGAGCTGTGTGCTGTTGGAAAGGCTCGACCACAGCTGCTTTCGCACGGGTCCAATCATTTTGATTAAGCAACCCAAGGCATTTACCGAGAAGCTCCCCAACTACCCATCCGGAGTTCATGTTGACACCCTTCAGATGCGTATTCGAGTCACGGAAGACGGCCTGAATGTCCTCCGGGCGGCTTAAAACACTGCGTCGTATATAGACATACGTTATCACACTGTATACTTTGCCCAGCATCGAGTGGGTTCACTCTACTTACATCTCTGGCGTCAACCCACTCCAAATTCGAAAAATCGGCCCGTACTCCGTTCTGCATTTTTGGCCCAAGGTTTCTCCATTGAGAAACTTACCCACGTTGCCTTGGCCGTTGGGATATACGTATGGGCAGGTTGGAATGGTTGTGCTACCATCTCTCGATTTGATGGGGTATCGTAACAGTAAATATATCTTCACGTATTTAGCCTTGAAGTGTAGCAAAAGAATAACTGAATCATCTTACATTAATTATATAGGATAACACGCGATTCGGTAGTGTACCATTTCGAGAGGCTCGCTGAAAAAAGGCCACCAACAGGACGGATAGGGAAGCTAGGAGGAGAATCATGTTGTAATTTGGGAATCAAATGAGCTCGACAAGATTCAATCTATTTTGAGGAACCGTGAGGGGATCATGTGCAGCAAAGATACTTTCGTTTGAACTACGCTGATTCAAATGTGTCGTACATATTTGTTTGTACGCCCACTATGTTCACCCTTACCATCGGGCCATTTCGCGGCTAGGTTCTTCTCTCATTGGTATATTTATCTTCCGCATTCATTACTAGAATTTTCTAGGCAGAGAAACAAAAGTTAAGAGAATGATCAATTGTTTCGTTTCTTAAGTTCTCTTCCTTCAGGCCACACACAAATAATTCCCCTATGTCATAGGAAAATGACCGCTCCAACTCAAGCACCCTCAACTTTCATCTCCTCGGAAATTGGCCTAGTCTGGCAGAGGCCAAAGGGAGAATATTATCTCGCACATCACGCGGATGAGGTTGCACGTCTAGCTGCTCAGCATGAAGTGTTTCTACAATCGATGGGGAGGCTGGTGATTGCTCCCGTCGATCTAACTCGTTCAAACCTTCGTATCCTGGACACAGGAACCGCCGATGGTATGTTGACCCTGTTTCTAAAATAGTAGAAGGCTCCAGGCTAACCCCATAATGTGACAGGTCGGTGGCTTCTGGATCTGCATGCTTCCTTGCCGTCCACGTTAGGACACCAGTATATCGGAATTGATTGTCTTAGCAAGCTGTTCTCAACCAACCTACCATCGCAGATTACTTTGAAAGAGAAGCGAATTGATGCTACCTGGCCAGAGGAGTGGCAGGGTAGCTTTGACTACGTCCACCAACGCTTGGTACTACCTGGATCGGAGCATATGACCCATGAGGAGACGGTGACAAACCTGTGCCAGCTGGTCAGGCCGGGCGGGTGGATTGAGCTTATTGAGCAGGACCATGACACTCCCAATTCAGGTGGGATGGCAAAAGCCGAGCAGGTAGTTCGGGAGATATTTACCAACGCCGGCTGTGGCTACGACTATCCACACAAACTGCGGGAGTTCTTGGAGAAGGCCGGTATGGAGGATATTAAAGTTGAGATCTTCGATGTCCCGATCGGCGTACTCAACCCTGATCCTGAAATGGCGGCCAAGAGCACCTGGCAGGTCCGCTCCGCTCTTGAGGGGTTCATGCCGACTGCCAGAGGTATGCCGTACAAATATAATTCATATACATGATGCTAACCACCGACCACAGGAATTAAATGCTCGTTACCTAAGGAGGAATTGGAGGATATGCCGGCCTTTACTGAGCGAGAGTTGAAACGCGTTGGTGGATACCAAAGGCTTTTCATTGCGTATGGGCGCTGTCCTTCTACTTTCACGTAGATTGCGAAATAATACCAGGAGATCTTGGGACAAGTAGTATACCAGTCACGAATATGAATGCTTTCGAGTTTCTCTCGGCTATGGTATCTATCAACTCATTATAATCGCCGTCTTGCTTGCAATCTTACATAAAACCCAAATCTCCAGCTGGGAACTTGTGCCTACATAGACTAAGAGGCACATAATTTGTTCGGTAGACTCTGCAAACAAAGATTTCGAGAGATCTTGGAGAGTGACAATTCGGAAGAGAGGAAGAATTTTCATGTCGCCGTCCACTCGAGAGTCCATGCTTCTCTACCTTTGGGCAGCCGGGATCGCGGACAATAACACTTCCCGCCGGTCTTTTTAACTTATCACAGGTAATAATTAGTAGGATAAGCACTAATTCTGGTCAGATATAGGTTATATATTGTGGAAAAGGCAGAGCGTATGTCACTACTGGACCACAACACGGGTAAAAACCAGGATAAATGTTCAGGGACTAGAGGAGCCATATCTGTTCTGTGTCTGGGGTGTAACAAATAGCCGTCTCTTGCAGGAATTGTCCTTTTCACACCATTATACAGTTTATGCCGGAACATCCCAAAATAACCCCCAAAATAACATCCAAAAAGACATCCAAAAAGGCCTGTCTCAGCCGATTATCAGGACCTGCTTAGAACTTTCCTATATATATTCTCTTCTCTCTTTCAACGTAACCATGTATCCATGTCATCCTTGAGCATAGAGGCTAAGCATCTGGCGGACTACTCTCGTCATCATAAAATGATTTGATATCCAGATTATATATCCAAGTTTTATATAGTTAAGTTTGGATCCCGCATAAGCAGCCGCCTATTCTGCTTCTATATAAACGACTTACCCACTATGAATCTATATCATCAGGCTCAGCAAGAAGTATATAAGTCGAAGAAGGAGCGAAAAATATAAATATACACACAGAATTGCGGCAATCTCAGGCCCGGAAGCGATTATCAGAGCAGAGGAGAAAAACGGGTCTAGGCGACAATACAAGGATGAAATGATAAGCGAAGGAAGGTACTAATAGGTGCAAATCAAACATCCACATGTAAACAGCTAGATCTTCATATTCCTTCCATCATGGCGATGTCTGCATCTGAGGAGATACTTCACGCTTTCAATGAAGTGCTGAATTTGAGGGAAGCCTATACCTGGAACTGCCAACGTATGAGTTGGTTAGAACCTCTATTTTCACTGCTATCTCCACCCAGGAAAGACGATGATTGGAATTACGAGTAGATCCTCAAATTTCTCCGGCATGTTGCCACTTGTGGATACATCTATGATATCGAAAGTCACCAAATACCATCTCTGAGAGATCTGGTCCATCAAATTGAGATGCTGTGGTAAGTGCACAACTACTATAGTAGGCCCACACATGATCTAATTCTTTGCAATTTGTATAGCCCTCCCGATGGCAGCACCTTTATCTCGCCTGGCCTAGACCCAAACCAATCGATCAAGCGCTTTCTTAACCCGGAATGGGACTCGGCAATCCCATTGAGGGCCGCCAAGTTCTTGTTAGATCCAGTTACCTACGATGGAATACCATTTCGTAGCCTGTTCGACCTTGTAGGACTATTCATCTCCTCAATTGGATATGCTCCACACCACGCAAATGCGCGCAGCTTCTACCTACCATTGACTGCCATGTATGGTAAATGGTGCACTACGTTGGGAGACACCGCTCCCACGGTATTCAACTGCACGTGGATAACGGCAGGAAACGACCAGGATCGATTCTTTCTCGGTGCCTCACTGGAGGGATACAAGGATATCCATCGAGCTGGGGAATGGACAGAGGCCATTATGGAAGCGAGGTTTTCCCTCATAAACGACACGGCTGTGAGAACAAGCGGATACAAGATGTACGATTGCCCATTGGCCCTCACAACCGGTAAAGTATATCCATTGATTCACATATCGAAGTAAGTTTATCCACAAGTCTAGATACTACGTGATTGGCAAAGATTGAAGGTGATCAAATAGGCAAAATATCAACCCAGTTACCCACGGGATCACCCTGCACAAACGAGGCCTATTTCCCGCAAAATACGAGGATCACCTTTCTGGTAAGATTTGGAGTTCTGTGAAAGAGTTGTGTGCGAACTGTCGGGAGCTGATTCGGATGTGGGGCGGATTTCCCGCCAACTTTAACCCCATGGCCGATGCTGAGGGTGCACCACCATGAAATCCATATCAATCAGATTGTTTGTTTAACTGGAATGTACGAGAACGCAATACGATGGGGAGTTTTTGATGAGAGAAAGAAACCGTAGGTTGCATTCAGCTAGCTAAGAGTAGAGCTCCGCAAAGCTCATGAATGGGCCCGAAGATAGAGCCCAAAACCCAGCCCATTAGTGGGTTGGGCTAGGTTGGGATTTGGGCTTTATGGGCTTAGGGGAGCTCTAGCTAATAGAGAGGAAGCAAGATCGAGGTGGGGAGTAAGGTCCTATGAACCTGAGGAAGAAATGTTCTCAACAGTTTCCCCATGCCATAAAAAGATAATTTAGTGCTATGATCTAGCGGTAGAGTATTGTATTGCTAGTAATGAATTAATTAGAATAACGAATACTCGTGGGAATTTAAATAGCGAGAGCAGAGAGGACAGGCTGCCCAGATCATATTCAAGCCTAGTCATGGTATGACGGCTCTCTTAACCATTGGGATGTTCAGGAAAGAGAGGGATGGCTTCCCTACGTAGTTCTTTGAGTCCTTTTTCAGCAATGATGAGAGCAATCTCGCGGATATCTCGAAAGATTATTTTATAAACATCATCACACATTCGATCCCAGAGATAGAACTTGTCACCAGATTGGAAAATTGTTTCATAGGCGTCGTCATCCTCCATGATTGGTCTTCCTGGCCCAAGACAGAGTACCAAACAGTAGACTGACCCTCTGATTCGGGACCCTCCCACTCTTTGTACACGGGGCTTGTAGGATTCGTGGTCCAGCCCGGAGGAACGGGAAACTAGTCAAAGCAAGTGGTCTTAGTAACTAAACTCGAACCCGGCAGGCGACTGGGATATTCTTACCAGTGACAGAGAGGCACTCTCAGCGGGCGACTTGGTGAGCGGGATGGAACCAGGCGTGACCTCAATTTGAGGGGAAATTAGCGTCAACTCGAACCCGGCAGGCAGCTTGGGTATTCGCACTGGCGACAGGGAGGCACTCTCAGCGGACGACTTGGGAGGTGATTTAGGAGGTGATTTAGGAGGTGATTTAGGAGGTGATTTGGTGGGAGAGGTGGAGTTAAGCGGGATCTCAATCTAAGAAGAATTTAGCGACATGACTTAAGCCAGTAGCGTGCGGTATACTCACAAGCACAGTGCGCATGTTGGTAGCAGGTTGAGTATCAAAGTATTAAGAGAGATGAATGATGGGATGCGGGCAAAAATATGGAGTAGCGAAGAGAGAATTAAAGAAGAGGCTCTGGTCTTCCTCAGAATATGAAAATGAAATTGTATGGAAGATGTACGATAGATCTACGATGGATGTCCAGACCCACGTGGATCCCAGGCCTTGGGGAACCTTCATCATTATGTCATTCTTATGCCTAGGCAAGGCATCAATAATATGGCTATAACTAGTTACACACTTCGATCTGTAAGGGCAACATTCAAATTCCCCATCATCCGACTCACTTCTACTCATCTGCTGCCGGACACCAATCGTAGTGCCCCTCCGCGTTGTTTCCCCACCACGATGGGAACGGATGCGAGACTCCACCAGCCCCGAAAACCGCAAATGAGAGGATAAAGAGAACTGTCAGACTAGCGCCATCAAAGGCTCCCGCAATTAGATAGGAATAATCCTTGAAAATCCGTGGCCGGTAGTTTCGGAGATAAAACTGCACATAGAACCCGGCAAGGATCCAGCTGAAGAGGACGCAGGTCTGACTTTGGTTGTAGGGAATATAACCGGCATATTGAATGAACTGCGGTAGATTGATTTCTGAGGTGTCAAATTTGCCAATCTTGGGCACGAACTAAAAGTAACGGGCGTCAGCTTCATTTAGAATAAGGAAGGGCGAGGATACGTACTCGATGAAAGACGGCGTGAACCATCACAGCACCAGCACCCGCAATTATACCAAGAGGTACAGCCCCATATGGGGTACCGATCTTATAGATGTAAGGAGCCAGAGCCCATGATGCGGCATTGGTATTGAAAGACTGGATAGTTGCACCACTCCAGGAGGAATTTCCATTGCCATCGACGAGAAGCGCTCGATTACCCGACACAATCGAGATCATAATGGCATAGTTGATAAAACCACCAAGAATTGTGCCATAGATTTGTGTCAGGAACATGATACGCGGGGGGATTTTGACTAAAAGAAAAGTTCAAACATAAACGTCGGCTTCTGATTAAATGGATGAGGGAGGTACTCACGATATTCGCCCATCTTTAGATCATTGGAAAGATTAACGGCATTGTTAATGACGTTATGCGACCACGCAGCAAAGTACATGTTACCGATCGGGCGTCCAGGAAGAATGAGTCCAGCCAGCATTTTGGACAAATTGTTGGTAGCAATGCCATTACCGAAGCGAGAATAGATGATGGTACTCTATATCACGGCCATAGTCAGCATCGCTCCATGAAGATTAATATCGAGAATCGTGTACTCACAAAGGGTGAAATAATGCATCCGAGCGCGAGTGAAACGACATATTCCCAAGCCGACAAGGTGATGTTCTCTTTCGTGACGACAATGATACCCAGAATAAAGCTGCCAACGAGCACGACGATATACCACCACCACGGAGCCTCTTTATAATGCTTGGCCATATGGGCGTGGTGTACATCATCGTACCTACCTTCTTTCGCGCTTTTATATGCCTTCCAGATATCCTTGCCCCAAAATAGAATGCAATGAACGATCAGGGCACCAATTGCTGCGTTGGCCATAAACATCGCGAATGCGAACGTTCCAGTGAGTTTCGGCAACCCATGCTCAACCAGGGCGGCTTCACTGAGGACACCATCGGGGAAGACCTCATTCAAAGGATATGTGGTGCCGTTGCTCATAAGCATTCTCGTCGACATGAATGGAAGCGATTGCGCATTCCACGCATTGCCATAATATATTCCCATCATAATAATGAAACAAGTAGCAATCCCTAAGGCCTGATGAATTTGTAGTTTGAGAGGGAGGGAGGTTTGGAAAGATGTGATCTGTTTCTGTTAGAGACCTGCTAGATCAACACGTGGGTATAGAGGGCATTATCTCACATATTGCCAATCGAAAGACAGCGTGAATAGGCCAAGACCCTGATTGTTGGTAGCACCACCAAAGACATTGTTGAGTACCTTGCCGGTTTCACCAGTGGCCTTTTGTGCAGCCAGGCACTAGGAAGTACGAAGTCAGCAACTTTCGTTCAGGGAAAACCCGATAAGCTAAAGAGTTTAAGAACTCATTGGAATAAGCAAACCACGTACCGGAATAGAAACAGAGTTAAGCCACGGGAAGATGTAGGCAGGAATGATCTCGTATATTCCCATGCCACTGAATGCATACCAAAAGTATCTAAGCGGTTTCGAGTTTTTTACTTGCTGCCAATGAAGTCCCTGGAGAGTCTTGACTGTAGGTAAAGTGCCCCAGTACACAGCCTCGGTGTGCCAGACAGCGATAGGACGCATAACTCCACAGATCCCGTAGCCAAATAGGCCGATAGAGATAACACTCAATATCACAGTCGCTGGGTTCAAGGGAAGGTTGTAGAATAGATCCTGTGCTGCAAATACCGTCGCGGTAGTAGCAGCGTTCGAGGCCGACGTAGCAGTGATTGAACAGATTGCGTGCTCTTTCAGACCCCATTCCCCATAATTGAAAACTTTCAGCGCCGTGATCCAGAATGGTAATTTTCCCTCGCCGTTTTTCGCCCTCCAGCGAGCCTCGAATTTGTCGCCACGGGGAAGGAATTTAGCCCAGGCATTGCCGAGGAAGTAAGAGATGAGCACGATGAAGGTTCCCTGGATCGTAACCAGGGTCGGTTTGAACTATGGATTGAGTCGTCAGTATCTCAGTATCTGTGCAAGCAATAGATATATTTGAAGTACCTGATAAATCTGGTACATCACAGCCTGGAAGCATGCAAGGCCAGACGAAAGGAATATACTTCGAAGGGTTAAAACACTGTCAAAGTCATCTCGAAGAGGGAGCAGATGAAGAGCTGCATCAGCACCGGTAACGATGATCGCGTCCGGATTGCTGTCGAGGCCATCGTCACTGAGTGCATGCTCATCTTTCGTAGCAAGCACAGTAACAGCATTCTTTTCACCGATGGCTTCCTGGCTAGCCACAGAGATGTCACTGGTCTTCACAGGTGACTCGGCCATAATCGGTGATATATCATGTATATGATTATCTGGTCGAAGAAGGCTGGAGTATAGCTACAGAGCTGGTCGCGCATATTTGTTCCTAGAAGGGCCTCTTATACTACAATAAAGGAGAAATTGCATTCTTATCGGACCACTGGCGCACATGTTCTCATGATACCATGTAGCCCTAAAATGAGCCACGAGGCTTGAAGCGATACAACCCTGGTTTGCCTCACACCTCAATTATTTAATTGAACCCTGATATCTTCTAACTAAGTCCCGCTTAGTCCCGATGGTAACATTTCGCCGAAGATGATAACATACCAGCCCTAGAAAGCTCGGGCCCTTCCCCAACGCTTGTCTAATGTTGCAATTGGTTTCGATTTATCCTAGTCTTCCCAGGTCTCCGTATTATTGTAATATCCGCCCTGAGATAATATCACCCTCGAATCAGAATATAAAAATTTACCTTATCATATTGAGCGCGTCATGTGTATGCACAGAGCTTTGGGGGGCGTTTCCGAGATAAGGTATGTAATGTCTCGGCCATTTATGCCAATTTGTTGGCGCTAACTTATGCGTTCTTTCTTTAGCCAATGCATGCCAATCTAATACAAGATTAACTCGGAAAGTCCGTGGTTTGGTCAGCTGGTAGGCACTTGGCATGCGGAATTCCGACGGACCCCCTACGATAGGGTCGCCGCCGCTTAGCTAGGGTAGTAGAATTCTGCTTTTTTCGGACATTCCGTGGAATATTTGGACCGAGCCGGGATGTTCGTTCAACCTTCTTTTATTTATCAGACTTCTCGGCTCGGTAGGCTCTATACTCTTGATAAAACCTAAACTGTGTTATATTTTGGGCAAAAAAAATAGGGAAATGGGCATCCGCTGCGGAGAGGAAATATTGGAATATATTTGACAGGAGGTCTTAACACATCGCCATCAGGCTATTACCGCGATTTCGCCAGTTCGCCAGTCCTAATTTGCGTGCGCAGTATAACTTGTAAAATGAGTATTTTATACATCCTAATACACCAAATATCGATAGTCAAATCTTAATGCTCGTGTCCTTAAAGCTTGGCTTGTTTTGCAATGCTTGTAACAATCGCGGCAAGCCCCCACTTGGAGCACCCCCGGGGATTGGGGTTCCAACACCTGCACCTTATCAACGCCTGAGACAAGTCCGTTACGGGGTATGATTATGTACAATTCTAATACCTCAAAAATAAAAGCTCAGATCTCTAGGTCAAAAGCCATGTGCCTACTCCTATGTTTTAAATGAATTATTTTGCGTGTTCCCCCGGCTTTCTCCTTATTTGGGTCGAACGCTAAGATAAGCAGCCACCTCCTTTGAGCTACTCGCGAAGTGATATAAAAAAGTAGAAATTCGAACGAACCCATTTCACTTTGCCACAAGATGGCTAGCTTGTATACAGAAATAGCCCCGGCAGTGGTCAGGGATGCTAGGGTATAGCCCGCTATAGTCTTATCATTTCGCTTGGATACTGACCTCCGGACCATGAGACCAGGGCTTACATCTTATCACCTGCTTGACTGCTAACGGAAAGAAGGTCCAGATTCTTCTTGGGGGATTGAAGGATGTTTACGGACTAGAGTGGACAATCTCTTCGATAGATATTGACACTGAGGAGCAGAAGAAACCGTGGTTTCTGAAGCTCAACACAAGTGGTAGAATACCCCGAAATTGCGGGGTGGTATGATTTCTTACATATAAAAGAGAAATCCCCGTGCTCATTAATAACGCTGGTGAGCAGCCTTTGTCCATCCTAGAGTCATCAGCTGAGCTACTATACGCTATCGAGCCGGTGGAAAGGACCATCAGCTCGGCTCACCTTTCCCAATAGCAACGAGCAGTCCCAGATGATGCAGTCAGTGGCTTATATTCTGGCATAATTTGGGTCAGCCAAATCAAAGCCAACTGAGCCACGTTGGAAGATTTGCTCCTGAACAGATACCCTGTAAGTCTACCCCTCCAAGAGATACTTCGTGCAGGAAGTGTGGAGCAAATCTTGGAATAATCAGTCAACTAGTTAATATCCGTAGATGCCATTGAGAAATTCAAGACCAAGCCCCTCCGAGTGTATAGCGTACGTAAGATACACATTTCTGGGCGTTTGACCAGTCAGCCTGGGGAACACTTTGCGAGAAATGGTCTTGGCAAGCTCAGTATTACTGGTATCAATGCATATCCATGGGCCCAGGCGTGGGGGCGAAGCAAAATTTCAGAGGGGATGGAGAGTTACCCACACTTAGAGGAATGGATACGCCGGATTTGGTCCCGACCAGTTGTACAAAGGGAGATTGACAAAATCTACGGTGAGAATATTCATCATGAATTACTACTCACTAGCACTCCTGATGAATAGATAAATCGGATTTCCAGATAGCCTAGTCTAGTATTGAGGGAAACACATGATGAACGTTGTGTGGCTGATAGTCCAAGGATTCTTTCCCACACGCAGTAGGAAGCCATGCCTAAGATGCCGTTGTCTTCTGTGGGCCAAATATGTAGGTTCACTTCACCATTAATCTAAAACAGTTTCATAAATCCCTTCCACAGGCCCTTGGAGGTGAAGATTCCACGGGGATCCACCGCTTTCTGGATATCCTTGAGTCTTTGCAGGTTTTCTTCGCCATAACCGGAGAAGACTCGGCTGGCTTGGTCGGCAGATGCGTAGTTGATATATATATACCGATTCGCAACATCCAGCTTATGGGCTGCCAACGCGATCCTGCGAACGGCGTTTTTGGTCATCCAGTTAACGGCCACATCATCACTTGCATCCGACCAGGCCGTGGAGAGCAAAATAACTACAGAAGATGTTAGATATCATGCTAAAGATATTTCCCAACCAAAGGGGTTGAGAGATGGAGAAGTACGTACTAAAAAGAGGTTCGTCACGCTCGAGATCGATGCCTAGAGCATTACCGCCTCTGTTCTTCATGGCTGCGATGGCATTCCTTTGCATCGGATAGCAGATCAAGTTCGTACTTATACCGGGAACAGACTTGATAGCTTCCACCTCCTGCCGGAATATTTGAAGAGCCCGTGAGAGTAGGGAGCGGGACGGGGAAACGGTCAGGGTAGCAAATAGGTTTCTACCACACAAGAGTGAGTAAATAAAGAAAGGAAACATTGGAAAGGGTGAAAGATTAGCACTTACCGAGTTGTGCCCATTGGGATAGAACCATTCGACACACTGCTCATGGATCCTATAGTTGTAGTCCTGCTCAATGTGGGGATTTGGTCAATTTTGCGGAAGACCGGGGGATCCTGAATTGCCTTCCCGTAGCGCTGGGTACCCATCAAGGTGAAGTCTTCGCTGCCTGAGCGGTAGCTATAGTATAGATCATAACCCATTTCCACGTCATTAGTGAGATCCTTATCTGTGAATAGGTCGTAGGCCTTATCAAGGACTTGCTCCGTGTAATTTTCAGAGTAGGACGTTTGCCCAGTGAAGACGGGGCCTTGGGTAAATGTGCGGATCGTGAAGGCTGTAACAATGGCAAAGTTATTGCCCCCCCTCGGAGAGCGAAATATAGATCCGGATTGTGCGTCTCCGAGGCGATGGTAATCGTACCATTGGCGAGGACTACCTGAAAACTCGTATTTTAGCAAGGAATATATTTTGTGGGTTCCTGTAGAGCAAAGCATACCTCATATTCGAAAACGTTATCCAACCCCCATCCGTACTTGTTCGAGAATGGGGATGTTCCTCCCCCCAGTGTGAATCCACCCATACCCACACTGCCTACTCTTCCACCGACAAATGACAAATTCCGAGATTCCAGGGCATGGTATACTTGAATGCTAGTTGCACCACCACCAACACGTGCCCTGTTCCCATCGTCCAAGACCTCAACCTGTCTCAACATGTTCAGGTCCACAGTAACACCACCCACGGAATTAGAGTCGCCCGCATTCCTGGAGTGTCCGCCACCCTTCACCGAAAAGTAGCACCAGTGGTCAACGAGGACATTCAATACTTTGGCCACATCAGCGGCACTTCTGGGCTCGATGCGACAGGATGGACGAGCCTCCTGCTGCTTCGCATCCCAGATGATGAAATCATCACTGCCAGGGTAGTGGACTGCAGATCCGAAGAGCGTGGAGAGTTGGGCACACTGCAGATAGTTAATATTGGAAGGCCGAAGGGGGGTTGACAGACATACTGCTTGTTGGCAATTTGCGGGGGCTGTTGTGGACAAGTGGGTGGTTTCCGCTGCGTTTGCCGCAATAAGTAAAGATATCAACCAAACAGTGGTTCGCAGCATTGTAACGCAGCGCACGTGAAAATATAACGAAGGGACTTGGTAGCCAGAAGAACTATGAAGATATCTTTCTTATAGCTTTCAATATGGGGAGACTTCGGTCTTTATATATCGTCTCCTGCATCAATAAAGGATCTTCGCAGCCAAGAATGATAACGTAGGCCATGTCAAGAGTCGGTGCAATTATCAATGCGGGCAGAACCCGACCTAAACCTCATTCGATGCTGGAGGAATATGCATGATTCTCACAATATTATGGCCCGTAAATTTGCAGGGAACATCAGTGTGTCTAGGGTGGAATAATCCAGGGCTGTAGCCTGAAGCTGTAGACGGTGTATACACCGATCCATGAATCTCCACGGGCAAACTTCGGCTATATATTCTCTGTTCCTAATATGGATTAGCGTCATGCAGGTTGATGACAGGGTGGGTCAAGGGGGGTGTGTGATTGGCCTAACCTTACAAACTACTTGAAGGTTCCGTACAATCATATTTAGACCTTGGCTTTTTTTTCTCTCTTCACGCTATCCCTACTTCTTATGATAGCCATTTACTAGTGTCTCGAAATTCCTGTCATCAAGGTGCATAAGGAGAAAAATATCGCAGAGATGAAACGGACAATGGAGGAACCCTCTCAAAAGCGGATCATTTTACGACCATTCTTGGAGCGCCTCTGCGCATGGCCGGATGAAGATTGGTCAGGTATAACGGACCCAAAAACTCGCCGAAGGCTGCAAAATCGCCTGAATCAAAGATCTCGACGTATGTTCAATCCATACCATACCCCATCAGCTAGCACGCATCCAGTTGACCATACGTACAGGTCTACAGAATAAAGAACCGGCAAAGCGTTTGGATAGAAAGGACCAACATGATATCAACTGCCTGGTGGCTAAACGACACGTACAAGCTACGCATGCTGCCACACAGCGGAAAGATGAACATACATTAGCAGCACATACCGTGACGGATGTGACCTCACTCATCCCCTTGGACGCAATTGAGGATGTGCATATCCTTGACTCCCATTCAATGGCCACAAAAGTCACGATGCAACGCATAGAAATGACAGCACGCCAGTATTACATGTTAGGCTCTCCACGCACTGATCTTCTACTCCACCTGATCCAGTACAATTTCACCAGAGCACTCATGGAAAACACTACGGTCTTAGGCTTCACATCAGACCAGCTGCATGATGATGCTATCTCGCCATTTAGTATTGCTGGTCCATGGCAATATGACGTTGAGAGTTCGCTTCCACCCAGTCTCCAGCCCACCATGATCCAGCGCTCTATCCCACACCACCCGTGGCTAGATCTGCTTCCAGTTCCGCGCATGAGGGATAATCTGATCCGAGCTGGAGACTTCGAGGAGGAAACACAGCTATGCCTTGACATGAAGGGGAGTGGAAATGCACTCTCGGAGAGGACTGGTATCATTGTTTGGAGTGATCCTTGGGATCCGGCGGGCTGGGAGGTTACGGAATCTTTTGCTCGTTCTTGGGGGTGGGTTATTAAGGACTGTCTTGACTTGGCGCATTCCACCAATCGGTGGCGAGCAGTGCGGAATGAAAGGCCCCTATTTTATATGAATTGATCTGGTGGATCTCTGTCGATGATTTAAATGAGCCTACAAGCATGGATCGAAAAAGGCTCTATTAATTGTTGACTATGTAGCTCGATAGCACTTGTGGGACGACTAGATCGACTAGAGCGCAACGAAAGCCATGTTTCTAACTCGGTCTTATGGACAAATTCCTTGGCAATACCTGCGATAGCAATGTAATAACATGAAAACCAGCAGAATTCATATAATCGATTAAACTAGCTCCCAGTAGGTCTCGAGCCTATTCCCCAGATTTCGTTGGATTCTCGCTTGAGATACTAGACTAGTCTGGAATAACATAACAAGACTCTACCCCCTGAGTCCAATCATGTAGATATCTCATTGATGGCTAATCACTTTCTTTGGCTCATACAGGTCATCGATGCTCTTAAGCTCTTCGGGACTAAGCTCGAAAGAGATAGCGCGGACTGCTTCATCAACTCTCTCCTTCTTACTCATCCCCAGAATTGGAGCAGTAATAAAGGGCTTGGATAGGGACCAGGCAATTGCCACAGTCGCCATCGATACACCATGCTGCCTGGCAATCTTTTCAACCTGTTCGTTCACATTTTTGTCTGCCTCTGTGATAGGCTGACCAAGGAAACCCTGCCCCTGTCCCTCTCCACGTGTAGTGGCAGAGAAACTAGACCAGGGGCGAGCCAGGAATCCCATCGCAATGGGGCTCCAGGGGATGCCACCCATTCCAAATTTAGCACACGCGGGGTACATCTCCCTTTCTTCCTCGCGGTAGATAGCATTATGGAGGTTCTGCATTGAGATGAACTCTGTCCAGCCATGGATGCGGGCGGTATACTGGTACTCAAGAAGTTGATGAGCCCACATAGACGACGCGCCAATATACCGCACCTTGCCCGACTTGACGACATCGTGAAGTGCTTCCATGGTTTCCTTGATGGGAGATCTGGGATCGAAGCGATGGATCTGCAGCAAGTCGACGTAGGGTAGGTCTAGCCTTTTCAGGCTGGCATCAATGCTGTCAAAAATATGCTTTCGGCTCAACCCGTACTCATTGACGTAGCCAGAATTGTCTTTTTCGTCATCGGTCATCGCCATTGGTTGCTCGAGACCGCGACCGACAGGTGCCCACAGTTTGGTTGCGATAACTACGTTCTCGCGGCGCCAGTTGTATTTCTTGATTGCCTTGCCTAGGATCTCCTCTGAGAGCCCATTGGAATAGGCATTTGCTGTGTCGAAGAAGTTGAGACCGGATTCGTAACAGTAGTTGAGTACGGGTAGTGCTTCATCTTCTGGGATTGACCACTTGAAACGGCCCTCGGGATTCCCAAAACTCATGCATCCCACGCCAATTGGGGCGATTCGAAGGCCGCTGCTTCCGAGTTGGACGTATTTCATGTTGGCTTGTTCAAGTAGGATGGATTGAATAGAAAGATTGTTGGGGTTTGATATCCAAATTGGTGGGATCTAGCACGGTTTTATACCTTATGAACGGAGTTAGGAGATAATCAAAGTTTCCAAACGGAGCCTCTGGAAAGACTTGTAATGAAATTGTGGTATACTTCCAAAATTTATGCGACATGATGACAGATCGCACCTCATTGGCCACAGCTTTATAGTAGTGGGGCCCGGATTTTGCGACACCATTTCTTCACCTCGCAGCCGCCACGCTGACCCCGGAGAAAAACACTAAACACGGTGGCGTGAGACTGGAGTGCTGTGAGTTGCTCGGAAACGACGGGAGCAAATGGTAGACTGAACATGGACGGCGGGTGCCCGTTGATAAATTCACTGCATCAGGCGGGGCCACCGGATCGTGAAGATCCTACTAGCGCACATGGTCAACTTCAACGAGTACAATGGGGAGTGTCGGACGGCGTTGGTTCGTGCTGTCGTGGGTGGATACGACGAGGTAGTGGACCTCCTGCTGTTGCACGGGGCGTGGATCAGGATCGTGGACAATGAGCATAGGTCGGCACTCCACTGGACCATCCCCAATCGTCGGGAGAGGTTATTGGAGCGGCTGTTACAGCACTGTGCGAGTGGTAGTACCGTAATTGACGGGACGAGGAAAGACTGGGCTTGAGGTGGAGCTAGGGTATCTGCCTCTGGCTGCATCAAGGGCATACGCCCCAGAAGCCATGCCACGAGGTCCCTCTGCCATCTTTTCACAATATTCCTAATGACGAGGGCGAAGACTTGATGTAATTTCAGCATTCACTCACGATGCTGGTGGTCGACCAGAATTGGTCGCGGACAGCAGCTGGTGCTAGAGTTGCTAGGCCACAGCTTTGCAGGGCCAAAGGCGCTGAAACGGGAGTGAAGATAGTTTTCATCGTGTTCAGTCTCAACGTATCTTTCAGGCTTTTAGGATGGATGTATTAAATATCATTGTCATGAAGATCTGTATCCAACCTGCGCAAATCACAGTTGATTATATATAGTTAGCTCATGTCAGGTCAATCACCAATAAATATTGAGAGATGAGATTAATCCGCTTCCTATGGCCACTAGAGAACACAACTTAAGACTGTGCATTCCATTTGCATGTTTGCAAGACGTCGTAGATGCATCGGCTCCACGAGGAACGTGTGCTCCGTAACTACCCAGATGATATGGACCCTTCCGATCGCCGACAGGAAATGACAGGTCACATCTATATGTGGAGCCATGCATATAATGATCATCCTCAGGTTTCCACATCTTTCCATATTATGTATAATGTAGCTCTACAATTGGTGGAACATGTACGAAGTACAAAACCAAACTATTTTTCGAGGAGTTCTCCCGATTGCTTTTCTTCAGATCGAGGGTTGCTGGCGTTCGTGTACTTTAGCATGTTTCGCTAGTTCCCCCTTTTCCTTTCCTTTCCTTTCTTTTCCCTAGAAATCGAGGTTTTTCTGTACCCAACAAATTTGACCCACTCGTGAGCCAATGGAGCAAGCCCCCCAATTGCCGCGAAGGGCTCAGCTGTGGGATGATCTGGCTGAGACCAATTTTTGATTATTGCTCCAAATCTGACTGTCAAATATTCTCCACGATGACGAACCTGCAGGACTCGTCACATTTTAGTTTATTTCTTACCAGCCTCTCAGTCAATCATTTTCTCTCCTTTTTTAACTAATTCCACTTGGGTATCTCAAGAAATTCATTCCTAACCCGACCCTTTACCTACCTGAAACTACAATGGCTTCCGATACATACTCGTTGAGCGAAGTTATAAGGGTGGCCGAAATCCATCCTTTCTATGATGCCGATCGGAAGTACCCTCCTGATTCAGAAGCAATCCAGAAGGCCCTTCAATATTCACCGACAGAGCCAAAGCAGACAAACCTTGATTTGCAACCTTTGCTCAGAAAGGATGACATGTAAGGCTATAACCTCATGCATTTTTCTTTTTCAAGTTCAATTTCAATTGACCAACTTCAATAGTTACCGTGTCATCAAACAACTCACGAATGACACAGATCCGAGAAATGAATATCGGCGCAGCGCGTATATCAGTACCACAGGGGGAGGCTCTGGTGGACTACCACTCATGTTTGCGACAGATACGAGGGAAAACCGCAAGCACAGAGCAGTGTTTGGGGAATTTCTGAAGATCTGCAAAGTCATTGAGCCACACGACTGGGTTCTCACAACCCACACTTCAGGGTTCCTTTACAGGTATGTAGATTCATGCGCTGGCTAGAGATATTCAAGTGTAACATTCTATGAGATAGGTCCCTCGATCTTGTCAGTGAGATCTTGGAAAACGCAGGAGCATCTGTCCTCTGTGCTGGGAGTCGCATGGATGCCGCAGAAGTTGTCCACACTTTGATCAACTACCGTGTGAATGTTTTGACAGGGGACAGTAGTCAAATAATTCATATTGTTCACCACATTTCGACCCTGCCGGCTGAACAGAGAAGTGAAATCAGGATCAACAAAGTGATTTATACCTCCGATTTGATGACTTATACTCAGAGAGGTTATGTCTCGAAAATACTGGGCGGAGTGAAGATACTGTCAATTCTGGGAAGTGCTGAGGCAGGTCCATACGCAATCAGCAACCCTGACCTCACCGGACGCTGCACTTTATCAGCAAGAGACTTTGTCTTTGATACTCGCGCCATGCTCATTGAGATTCTTCACTCCTCCACTATCAATGAGGACTCTTCCGTCGGGAAGTGCGGCGGGAGGCCGGTTCCTGAAGGGGAACAGGGAATCATTGTCCAGACGTCACTGCAGCGCCTGCGCAATCCTCTTGTGCGCTATATAACAGGGGACATCGGGTCAATTCATACAATGCCCGAGATTGCCGCTGGAATTATTCCGGAATCGGAACTGAAACACTTTCGAGTCCTCCGCCTTGGGGGTCGGGATCGTCGGTTCAGCTTCAAATGGTTCGGCGAGTATTTCAATTTCGACGAGATCGAGAACCTCATGCAGACCGAGGGTTCAGGGATCCTACAATGGCAAGTGATCTTGGACTCTTTTGATTCGTCTCCGCAGTCTACTTTGGAGGTTCGCATGCTACGTGCGGCTGCAGGCGATGGAGTTCTGGATAAAGAAACCTTCGTGAACTTGGTCGACAATTTCTTTTTCGTTTTCCCTGAAAATCGACACCTCTTCAGAGTCAATTTCCTTGATGACCTTGAGGGATTTGAGAAAAGCAGCACAGGAAACAAGATCATGAAGCTTGTAAATAGATTTGATTAAACTTGCCAGTTGACACTTTACTTTGCGAAAATGATATAGAAATCTCCCATCGCTAAATGCGACTTATTGCAATGATTGTCAATGATTGTAATAAACAGTCAAATTATTAGTTTCTGTGTCCAGCGGTGAATAGATCGGGGTTTGATGCATCTGCCAATTATACCTAATCGTGATAAACCTGTCGAGGATACCTCTTTCAAACTGATGTAATACTCTGGGTACCCAAAAAGGTCGTAAAAAGGGCTGTCAGCCATGCGGTGTAGCATACATAAGGATTGTATAGCCGAAGGACAAGGCCTGAGATCGGCCATGACTTTTTCCAGGGTTGGGAAAGCCTAGAGTGAGTATGTAGAGGCATTGTGGCGAAGTACTAGGTTTATATTAGCTATATAAGTATATGTTTTAATTTTAAGTAAAATCCGATCGGTGGAATTTAAGATATTATAGACAATGTGAAAGTTGATATTTTAATGTTGGACATATGTTTACGATTTTGCGGGAGTACCACCACTTTCTAGAGCACCTCTATAATTTTAAAAAATTATAAATAAACGAATTTTTCGTGTTTTTAAACATGATTTAGAGAAATAACTAGTAATCGATTCTAGATTATTTAAACTAATATAATATTATATTAGGGATAAGGCTTAGAAACGATGCTAAACATAGGGTAATTAAAATGACCTAAAAAGGGGGTTCAACTTGGCATATTTGTATTGTTTGGGGGGAAATGGGCCCCCATTAAAGCCCTATGGGCTTTGTGGGCCGGTGCGGAAGTCTACACACAACTACTAACTCGACAGTGGATCGGCAGCCACTTTATATATTCTTGACTGCCCATGTTCCTAAGACGCCCACTACAAATTGAGAGTCCTCTACTTCAGGCAGCAATGACTGTAGAACTGGGATTCCGATATCACCTCAATGTGCAGCGCTATGGGCAAATAAGACCCCACGTCACGTGAGACCTGTTGTGATTCTCCCAAATGGGACGCGCAACTCAATATCAACATCGCCAGTCAACGTCATCTCAGCAAATGAGGTAGATTGTCACACCCGACCGATCTTGATGACACACACTAGTGGATGAGCGGATAATCTCATATCCAAGATCTCTGTACCCAAAGAAGAACGTAAGACTTGATTTGCGTCAAATGTCCGCGATTGGAGTGGTGGAGCACCCTACGCGACGCCCATGCGATCGCTGCCGTCATCGCAAGTCGCGATGTATACGGGAGCCAGAGAAAGACAACTGCGCATTTTGTAACTTGAACGGTCTCGAATGCACATTCCTTCATGGTCCTCGACCGCGGAAAAGGACCAGGAAGTCGCCGAGCACAACAGAAAAGTACGTTTGGATATCCGGCGGGACCATTCTTAGCTAACCCTATCAAAGGATAAAAAGACGGAGACACAGCTCTCCAACCCCATCCACTAGTGGCTCTGTCGAAGAACAGACCATAGCTGATCCAATCAATTCACGACTGGATGGTACATTAGGTCTGGAGCTTCATCTGCATTCCGAGTATATTGGTCCTGCTGGCTATCATGAACCTGAACTTGTCGATTTGCGGCCATCAGCTATGTCACCCGCTAACCACGAGAGAAGTTATCCGCGACGTGTGAATCAATTCGCCGCATTCATCACCTACCCTGACAAGGACTCGGCTTCTGAGATGCAACGCATCAACGACCTAGATCGCATCGAGGAATCGATACGTCCGCTGGGGCCAACCTTGGTAAATCTTTATTTTCGCATCATGCACCGCACATTCCCGATTCTGGACAAGGGCGTGTTCCTGGAGAAATATGCCCGGTCCTACCGCGAGTTCTCACCACCGCTACTCGCTGCTATTTACCTTGTCGCGCTAGACTGGAAGCTCTTTGATCGAACTCTGGCCACTGCATCTCAGACACCAGACACCAAAGCTCTAGAGAATCTAGCAATGCGAGCCATGGACGACGATCTGAAGCGGCCTAAGCTTTCCACATTACAGGCTGGCCTGTTGCTATTGCAAAGAATGAGGTCTTCTCACAGCACACTTCCGGCTCAACTCCTATCACTCGGGCAAACTTTGGGAATTCATATCGACTGTGCGAGCTGGAAAATCCCCGAATGGGAGAAAGGTCTCCGACGACGCTTAGCTTGGGCCCTATACATGCAGGACAAGTGGGGTGTTCTTGTGCACGGGCGACCATCTCTCATTCGTGCTCAGATTGACGAAGATGATGGGACAAGCGACTGGGATGTTGGCCCGTGTACAGTCAACGACTTTCCAGAGGAAGCGACCAGCGAAGAAGAGAATGGAGACGGAGGTGTAGACGGACACGCGGGTCGGGCGGCATTCCTGCAATCTATTGAATTAACTAAGATCTTCAGCCGGATTGTGTCCACATTTTACTCCATCGGCGCAACTAAAAAAGGCGGACTACTTGAGCGGATTGGACCGTCAGGTGCGATGAGTTTGGCAAAACCCCTGGTGATGGAGTTGCGCGAATGGCATGCGGCATTGCCCGCCAGCCTCCAGCTGGAACCCACACCCTCATTACGGCTATCGACGAACGGGGCCTTGCATCTCTCACATATGGCAACAGAGCTAACCATACACCGCGCATTACTCCGTGTTCTGACCCCCGATAGCGCGCCATCGCTTCGTTCGGCAATTCGAACTGCTGCCCGCGCGCGACTAACTTCGGCCATGAAATTGATGGAATCTTTCCAGCCCGAACATATTCAATCATTTTGGGGGTTCGCAGCTGCAGCCCAGGCAGCTTTAGTCGGTGCCTTTGCTGGTCTCTTATGGGCAACGAGTCCTCAAATGGATGAAGCAGCGGGGTACGTTGAACAACTCGAAAAGCTCCGCTGGGTTCTGCAAGTCCGGGCATCCGCTGCTCCATTTGCTCGCGAGGCACTTCGTATGCTTCACGAAGAAGTCGGTGATTTGGCTGCTGTCAAGGCAGCCACACTCCGAGACCCTTAGCGCTCGTGGACTCTTGTATTCCACTGGTCTATCAGAACGGTCGCCTACAATACGTTTCCCCTAGGGGGTTTCTTATCCACGATATAACGAATGACGAATTATCTCAAAACATTTCACGGCGTTGCTCCTTTTTGTATGTACATGCAACATCACCTATTGAATGATAGCAACAATATCACTGGGCCCAAGGATATCTCCCTCTGCGGCCAGCAGTTTCACACATTTCCCACTGACTGGTGCACAAATCTTGACCTCCATTTTGTTGGACTCGATCCAAATCTAAGTATTATCAGCTCGGCGCTTGACTATCAATGTCGAAGTCCGCTGTACTCACCAGAGGATCCCCTGCCCGAATCTGGTCTCCCTCTTCGACAGCGCAACTGAAACATCTGCCAGGCAAAAGTGCTTTCACCCGCTCTCCAGTCATTGAGTCGTCGCTTTCCTGTCTCCGACCTGGCCGCATCGTGATCGGATCGTATGGTTGGAGCAGATCATCGAAGAAGTCCGCTTCATGTACTGCCTTAGATCGCTGGTCCCGAACAGTAGTGATATCCTCCGCGTGCTCTCCCAGCCATTTCTCATATTCATTGAGGTCTAGCTCAGCGTTAGAGATTTTGATGAGATCACTGGAGGTTCCATCAGCTTCCGCTGCGGAAAGTGCTTCTTCAGTGACAGGGTAGAAACGAATCTGGTCCAAGAGTGAAAACGTCCACGGTGCCTTCTCGCCCAATCTGGGCTTGTGGAAATCATCCCAGATAGGTACTGTACGACCGACGAGCTGATACCCCCCAGGCGAGTCTGTTGCATAGATGCATAGGTATTGACCAGCAATACCCACAGCGCCACGAGGGGTGAAGGAACGGGATGGGTTGTACTTCGTTCCGAAGAGTCGGTGGCGGGGATCCAGTGGCACAGCACAGGGAGACCCTTGGTACACATCACCAAGTCCCAATACAAGGAACGCGCCTTCATAGATATTAGTTTCCACCGGATTGGGGCTGTCAAGTCCGTTCAGCCTCTGCAAGAACTCAATGTTGCTGGGTAGATACGGTGCCGAGGAACGAATAGTCGAAGTATAGCGGGCAATCGCTTTGCGGCTCCTCTCATCGTTGAAAACAAGAGGCATATGCACGACGCGCGAGGCTAGTCGGGAGGGAAGCTCCGTTCCAAGAGAAATCTCATGCGCGACCAGCGCATCAATTACTTGAGGCAGTGAGAAGTTCGCTTTCACGCGAATATGGAGGCTTCGGACCCCTGATGTGAGCTCCTCAACGCCTGGAATTGGAGAAGCTCGGTGCATCTCAATGAAGTTCATGATGTGAAATGTTTGCCGTAGCGTGAAGCCATTGTCATTACCGAAGTCGAGCAGCAAGGCTCGATCACCTGCCTGGCAGCATCGAATAAAGCGGCCAGCCTCGGAGATCTCCTTCACGATCGGACTGGAAACAGCAACAGGACTTGTCTGTCTCAAGTCTACATCAGTGAGTGGGCTGAGAGTAGCGATCGAATGCTCGAGAACCCTCGCAAGCGCCTGCGCATCACCAAGGGAAATAGGGTGGAACCGAAGGTGATCGCCTGGTCGCATCTGGCCAAACTTCCACATCTCAGCTTCAGCGACCGTGGCAAATGCAACGAACCCGCCCAGGCTTGGCCCATCTGCTGTCAAGACAACTGCCTCGTCGCCCGTGAAGCTCACATTTCCGATTGAATAAGGACTGTCGTGGATGTTAGAGGGATGCAGGCCAGCATCACCACCAGTTTGCCGTGCCCACTCTGGACGGGGCCCGGTGAGACGGACTCCGAGCCGATTGCTGTTGTAGTGAACAGTCCATTTACCATTGAACAGCTCTTGAAGCCCATCCTGTGTGAAATGAGTTGGACTACCGTGTGGCCCAGGGATTGCACCAACGACCCATTCTCGGTTCTCAACTGGCGGCAGGGACACGATTGGGGCTTTGGGCAATGGAAGTTCCCCTTCCATGACTTGTGCTAATGGGAGAAGATCACCAATGCGAAGGCTGCGTCCATTGTGTCCTCCGAGATGACCGATTGCAAATGTTGACCGGCTGTTTAGGACTTCAGGAACCTGAACACCGCCTCGAACAGCAAGATAAACTCGGGAACCACTGGTAGCTGTGCCGATGCGAAGCTTCTGTCCACCTTGAATCCTGATGGTCGTGCCAGGTTTCCTTTCTTCCCCGTCGACAGATACAGGCGCGTTAGCACCAACGACCGCAACGGTGGTTGGGGAGTGGAAGAGCAGAGTCGGGCCTTGAATTGAGCACTCGAGTCCCGCAGCACGGTCATCATTGCCGACTATTTTGTTGGCGAGACGAAACGAGTAGGAATCCATTGGGCCAGATGGTGGCACGCCGATATGCCAGAGACCTTGACGGCCAGGGAAGTCCTGTACAGCCGTATCGGACCCAGGATCAATGACTTCGACGACGTGAGGTTCGTATGGGAAAGTATTGAGTGATGCTGTCGTGAAGGCACCGGCATTAAATGACTCCCAAGCTACAATTTGCTGCAGATATCCCAGGTTGGTTTCCACGCCAGTAATTATTGTGTTTTCCAGAGCTTCTGAGAGCTTTCGAAGAGCTGCAGGACGGTCATCGCCGTGTGCGATGATCTTTGCAACCATTGGATCAAATGATGACGATAGCTCCTGGCCTGAACTGACCCAGGTGTCAACGCGGACACCGGATGGAAACTCGACATTTAGGAGCTTTCCAGGAGAAGGTCGAAATCCTTGAATGGGGCTTTCGGCATAAACACGAGCTTCGATCGCTGCACCGGAGACCGGAATCTCATTTATCTGTTGAGGAAAAAGAGTGGTGCAATCATTCATGGCAATGCGCATCATACATTCGACAAGATCAAGGCCTGTTACGGCCTCAGTCACTGGGTGCTCGACCTGGAGACGTGTGTTCATCTCCAGAAAGTAGAATTTCTTGCTATCGATGTCGAGGATGAATTCAACGGTTCCAACATTGCGGTATTGCAAGGAAGCAGCCAAAGCAGCAGCAGCACGGCGCATGTCAGCTCGGACTTTGACTGGGACAAACCCAGCAGGGGACTCTTCGATAACCTTCTGGTTCCGACGCTGCAGCGAACAGTCGCGCTCACCAGCACATATGACCCGACCAGCGCCATCACCGAGCACTTGGACCTCAATATGTCGTGCCCGATCGATGAAGTGCTCGATGAAAACCCCATCATCGCCAAAGTTTGCCTGTCCCAGTCGACGGACACCATCAAATGCCTCTCGAAGTGCATCAACATCGGCGCACCGCTGAAGGCCGATTCCGCCTCCACCAGCGGTGCTTTTTACCATCACTGGATAGCCGATCTTCTCTGCTTCTGCAAGTGCATCGTCAAGACTGCTGACTAAACCCTTGCTTCCGGGAACAACAGGAATGCCGGCGGTAATTGCGATATCACGAGCAAGGTGCTTCAAGCCCAAATCATGCATTTGCTCCGGAGTTGGACCAATCCATACCAGACCTGCAGCCTCGACGGTGGCGGCAAAGTCGGCATTCTCCGAAAGAAAGCCATATCCAGGAATGACGGCATCAGCATTAGCTTTGAAAGCCATAGCCAAGATCTGCTTGCTGTTCAGGTAGGTGTCGGATACTGTGTTACCGACCAGGGGAAGTGCAACATCTGCAGCGGTAACGTGTGGTGCGCGAGCATCGGCACTTGAATAGACAGCCACGGAAGCGATCTTCATCTCTCGTAGGGTCCGAATGATACGCAGCGCAATTTCACCACGATTGGCAACGAGAACCGTGCTGATACGCTTCTCGCCGATGCTGGTTACAGGCGTAGTAGATGCAGCGCTCGACGACTCGGCGGTGGAAGTGTCGAGTGACTGGCTGTAGCTTCGCCATCCGCCAAAACTGGTTACGTCTTTTGCATTCTCGAGGCCAACAGGCTCGCAGATGAACCCGTTAACCCACCGGCCATCTTGCAACTCAACTGATCCGATGCCTAAGGGCGCTGCAATAGTACCGAGGAAGCTTCCCATCTTATCGAGCGGCATGTTCCAAACCTCCACTTCGATGGATTTTCCACCATCAACGACCCTTTTTAGCGCAGGTTTTGATACTGGTCCTATTGTATGCAGTGCAAATAGCTGATAGCACGGGGCCGTTGTTGTAGCAGTGACCAAGGTTGCGCCTCGTGAGACCAAATCCTTGTTCAGAGGGAAGCCAGAAAGATGGGCACCAACTACCGCCAACTGCATCGAGTTGAAGGTGGCAGTAGGCTCAGAGCAACGTTCTTGATATTCCACACCCGTCGCTCCCAGCAAGCGCGGGGCATCAGACATCCAGCGCCGGGCAAGCTCCAGCAATCGCGGCTCTTCCCACACTCCACCTATCAGTGTGATACCGAAAGGAAGACCGTCTTCTCTCCAGCCAGCAGGAATTGCCAAAGCAGACCAATCCAAAAAATTCACGAAGTTGGTATATGTACCCAATTGGCTGTTTGCTGCGACCGGCTCATCCTTGAGATCTTGCATCGAAGGGAATGTGGGAGCAGTGGGCACCAGCAGCGCGTCGTATTGCCCGAAGATCTGCTCGATCTCACGGGACAGGTCTTGTCGGTGGTACTCGCACGCGAATAGTTCTGTAGCAGAGAACTTCTCGGCTTTCATGATGATACCACGAACAACCGGGTCCATGGCCTCGAGTGGTTCTGAGCGGATGAACTTCTCGATAGCAGCATATCGCTCAGCAACCCATGGGCCTTCATATAGGAGGCTGGCAAGAGAAAATAGGGGTGTAAAATCAACGGGCTTTAGCTTCCACCCCAGCCGTTGGGCTTTGGCCAATGCATCTTGGTATGCTGCAGCCTGCTCGGTCTGGCCGAACCACTCAGGATTGGAGCATATAGCCAGTTTCGGTTGGGAGGGCAAGGTCTCTCGAGGAGATTTGTCAGTCGCGCAGCCGGCACGGTCTCTCGAGTATGCATCTTGAACATCATATCCCTCGGCCAGTTCCAGGATCAGTTCGGCATCTTCCAGACTCAGAGCAAAGATAGAAACACAGTCAAGTGAGCGACATGCTGGTACCACGCCATGTGCACTCAAAGCCCCCCGCGTGGGTTTGAGCCCAACAAGATTATTGAATCCAGCAGGTACCCGACCTGACCCTGCTGTATCTGTGCCAAGAGAGAACGGAACCAGTCCCTGAGCGACGACCACACTGCTCCCAGAGCTGCTACCTCCGCTGACTCGATTTGAATCGAAGGAATTGGCAACGGCTCCATACGGTGAACGCGTACCGACAAGACCCGTGGCAAACTGGTCAAGGTTGGTCTTGCCAATGATAATGGCTCCCTGCGATTTCAGCCGTTGCACAACTGTTGAATCGGTGTTCACAGGCTGGGTGCCAAATGACGGGCATGCGGCCGTTGTGCAGAACCCAGCGGCGTCGATGTTATCCTTGGCGGCGAATGGCACGCCGAATAGTGGGAGATCTTTCCCCTGGGATCGAAGTGTTGTGATATTTTCCCATTGCGCAATGATTTGTTCGCGCGTTGCCAATGAGATCCATGCATTTGATGTGTTTGGTTGTGCTCGCTCGAGCAGCGAGAAAATGTGGGTTGGCTCAGACACAGTCTTTTGTAATTCACGCCATTGGGAAATTGTCAGAGGCTGTTCCTCGCCTCCGGTGGAGTGGCTTGAACGCATTGGTAGGTGCTATACAATCCTTGGCACGTCAGTCAAAGTAAAGATAATCAAGGTTTACGAGTATATATGTACACTGACCGATGATGGGATATAGAGTGAAGTGTGGTTCTATTGATGTCAATATCATAGATAAATAGGGCCTTATATGTCTACATATATACAAATTTTCCCTACATGTCTATTGGCCATGCAAATTTGTCTGATATCGATATCTACGCCGGTCATTGAAATTGCAAATGATGGATGGTCCTTAGGTGGGCCGCGTTATCTGCCAAGACTGCCCAGGTTGGCCGTCGCGCGCCGTCGGGCGCCGTCGCCGTGAACAATATCTCTTGTGGGTGCTAAGGGAGAGATATGTAAAGGGTAGAAGTCTCTGATATTCAATCTATAGAGAGCAGGGTATTTGTACCCTAACAAAATAACAAAAAAGCGCTCAGTCTGACAAACAATCAAAGGACAGTCTAAAGACGGTCCGGGGACGGTCTGATATCCAACAAAGCCAAGTCTCTCTCAGCCTTGCCAGCCCCGTTCATCTTCATCCTGCGGGCTTTCAAAAGTGATATATTTGAACAACAAGCTAATGGTATACCAGGTATGTTGCCCCGAGCCACGGACAGAGAATACAAGGGGCGAGTGAATTGAAACCATGGACTAACAAGTAGTCGCAGAGATGGCGACTCCTCTCAAACAATCACCCAATTCTAGTATTGACAATTCAGCGAGAAAAGCTTCAGAGAATGAAAGTGGCCCATCATTGAGTCCGATCTAGAAAGAAGTTGGGACAGGTTACCTCGGGCGGGTAACTCGCTGTGAATCGAACGAATGTATCGAATTCTGCATCGATCCTCTTTGCGAAGCAGAAAATTAGAAATTCGAAGTTCGAGCTTATCACCACGTCGATCGTAGCAGACTTGGATGATCCGCACGTTTCCAGTGCCGAAAAGAGAAATCATAAGTACCCTATATAGAAATATCTCATGCATAGCTGGAAAGGCCTGGTCGATTCAATTTGGCTCATTGGGAATAAAAGAGAGGTCCAGAATTCCGGCTGGGTTAGGCGGAATGCAATGACTTGAGCGACTGCTCCAAGCTCACTTAGTAGTAGACTGTTTTCCTCGGGGATTCCATCCGTGCAGAGAATGAAATGGATAGAGGATCCAGCGAGGGTTTCACCATCCCACCACTCTTCTAGCAAGCAATTTCTCCAGCCTAGGGTGTTGGTACCTCTACATTGTCCAGATGGAGAGTAGATGAATCCCTTGTCACCGCCATAGAGCTCCTCGTGACTATATACCATTAGCTGCCGCTTATAAAGGATCATGAATGTGAATTAATATACTTACTCAATCTCATTCTACCCGAATTTATGCCTCAGGGAAGTTTTCCCTTGGCGGCAGTAGCTGAACTGTGTCATGATAGAATGGAACACCTGTTGTGTAGCGACTGTGATATTCAACTCATGCCGATTCCGCGATGCGAGATCCAAATCCGGGATCTCTAGGTGACTTCCGACCACCGCAGCCTCAGCGGGCGATATCTTCTACGGTTTAACATCCTCTTAGAAATGGGCTGGGAATGACATTGTGTCTCGGAGGCCAAGAAGTATATGTCGTTCGGGTCAAATGTCTCAACAATGATTCCTAGACGCACAATCTCCCGTTTAGAGAAGCTGGAGCGGTCGGTCACCTCCAACGTATGGAGTATGTTGGCCGCAATATCTTTCGGACATCGGGAGAGACAGAAGGGTTTTTATTTTGCATGGCCTGTTGCATCAACGTTTAGAAATTCGGTCCTCAGGTTCAAAACATGGGAGATGAAGGTGGATAGAGAGGTGGACAGTTCTCTAGGGTGAAGGGGCAGTAGTTTGGGTAGCTTGCTCGAAAATAGGATGCCTACTGGAAAAATAGAATTTGTAGGATCAAATGTTTGAGATCAACAGGCAAGTTTTGTAGTCAACTATTTCACTATTACATTGTGTGAGAAAAATCGAAAAAGTTAAGAGATTTGCAATTTTTTGTACGTATGCTCTCATATATAACTATGTCATTCCTTCCTCTTACGCTTCTAATATAGATGGAGACTAGTTGTTATATGCTAGTAATCATTTCTTTCCTCTTTGGGTATTGCACTATAGAGAAAGATAGAGTGTACATAGCTAGGTGGTAAGCGGTGGGACCAATTTGAGGTCCAAATGAAATTTTGTGGAAGAAGTTGGCAACTCCAAGCTTGGGCGCCTCCCATACATTTCTCGAATATGTTTTTGTCAATGACCGCTGGTACTCGCGAAGCAGGGAAGAAAGAGGATTATGAGTGGAGGATTTCCCGAGTCCTTTCCTTGGGATCAATAGTGTAGGGTGAACTGTTTTGTTGTAGGTAGGCAAAGTGCAGCTGTGTAACTTGATTCTTTTAGATGGTAGAATAGTTCTAAGGTGGTAAAATCCGATCTCCGATTGGCTCTATTATCGCAAAACAACTAAAGAGCCGTACGGAGTACTCCGTACATAGCAGAGGATCATTGTCAGATTGACGGAAGAAAATTTCTGATGGCCTCGAGGCATCATGCAAGGATGAGCCGGAATATTCTCTTCCCCCGGGCAAGGAACCCGGGGATTCCTGACCCGAACGAATGATAATGCGAAATAAAAATAAACACGGAGGAGATCGTAGAAATCAAAGAGCTCGGTGGCGACCGGGTTTGATGTCACGTGAACCCCGGACCTGAGAAAAAGTCGACCCGCCCTTATCTTGTTATCGATCTGAACTTGTCAATCTTCGACCTTTACACGTCCTTCAGTCTCTTTCTCTCATTGGGAGTCATCGGCCTTCAACCTTCAACCTCGCGTCTTTCATCGGTCTCTTATCAGTCAATCCGCGTTTACATCTCCGACTCTCAACCCGCCTCATCTACACATTATGGATCACACACGCGATCCCTGCCCCTGGGTTGCCCTGAGCGACTTCGGTGGTGCATTCGCCATGGGTGCTATCGGTGGTGCTGTTTGGCACGGTGTTAAGGGTTTCCGCAATAGTCCCTACGGTGAACGCCGGATAGGTGCTCTCACAGCTATCAAGGCGCGAGCGCCCGTCCTCGGTGGTAACTTCGGCTGTTGGGGAGGACTTTTCAGCATATACGACTGTTCAATCAAGGGAATTCGCAAGAAGGAAGATCCTTATAATGCTATTATCGCCGGTTTCTTCACCGGTGGTTCCTTGGCTATCCGTGGTGGTTACAAGGCCGCCCGAAACTCTGCTATTATGTGTGCCGTCTTCCTGGCTGTGATTGAGGGTGTTGGCATTGGTTTCCAGCGCATGATGGCTGATAACACAAAGCTCGAGGTATGATGGACCCCCTGCCCTCAAATTGACCCGTTCGAGTTAGAGTCAAGACCTTTCTGCTAACCACGATCGTCTAACAGCTTCCTCCCCCACCCCCATCCGAGCACAAAGCTCTTGCTTAAATTCTCTCTCGTCTCCATTAACGATCGACCTATCTACATTCGATCGCCCTCAAACCATCCTACATTCCATCTCTTTCTTCATAACGGCATCCCGGCATTGAATCTCTCTTCCCGGGTGTTCGGTTTTGGTCATCATATTTAAACGACATATCATAGAGGTTTCTGTTTTCTTTACTCGCCTTTAATACCGCATCCAGCAGCCTGTGTTTTCAAAGCATTGTATTTTATAGACGGCGGATTTGTTCTTGTGGCTGGTACCAAGACCGGCGTGTCTCTTTTCTGTGGCCAGGTGGCTGAATAAAAGAATCTCTCCACTACTCATCCTGCGGAAAAAAAACCTGTTTATGACGGGACTATTTTGGATTCCTGTATATTAATGTATGGCTAACAAACATGAGACGCATTTCTTCTGTATATTCCGAGAACATATCGAGTCCGAGTAGGAACTATCATTTTTCGTAAACTGACTCTAGAACGATGCGGGCTTGCATAACATAAATAAAGCATAAGTTGAGTTTAGATTATCGGCTTTCACAGTTACTCTGCTTCATCTATGACTATCACTATACCTAGGTCTGTATCTCACTTCATGTTGGCCAATCATGCCCTGTGGTCTTGCTAGTTATGTTGGTACGAAATGCTGAGCATAATCTGCATTCCTTAGCTCTCTATAACTACCTCAGGTAGTTAGTTCTTCAACATCCAATCTATCTAATATAAGCAACCATTGCATCCATGGATAATCGCCCTTCTTGCTCTTCTTGCTGTATTCATTTGCCAGCATCGAACTATTTTGTGCCGTTTAACCAAAGGTAACATGAAGGGGACCGTTTCCATCATCAACAGGGCAGCCGTCGCTATCAGAATCGAATTCAATGGCACAACTACCGGATGTAATAACGGCGATACCAATAGAGTTTACATCAGTACCCCCTCCCCAGTGCCGAGACTATTTCCATCGCCGTCCTTAACCTCGCAGTTCTTTGGAGTGCCTGCAAAGCTAGACTTGCACTTAAACTTGCGTGGGGTGGCCCAGCAGTCGCCCTCAATGGTAAACTCGCGGCCGTCGCCGGTGTTATAGCAAGGTGCATGGTTGTCGGGGTGACTCTGGTAGTAGATAGCATCACCGGCCTCGTTTAGGATCGAAAAGCCACTGTTATGGCCATGCTCATTGCCAGTGGGGCCGGAAATCGTTGAAAAGCCCCCACTTGACCAGACGACAGTTAATCGCTCGGCGTGAACGGTTGCAGAGGTGGCCATCAAGCAAAGAAGAGTGTTGCGGACAGACAGCATGATCAGGGTGTGAACTTTGAGAGTTCCGGGTTGGAGGTCGTGGGTTATGGATAGAATAGGGTTTGTTGTCCTTAATGATGTTTTGTCTCAATCTAAGAGGCTTCTTATACTTGCTCTCCAAGTTATATTTACGTCCCTGATGGAGCAAGATGACATCATGAGATTATCAATAGCTGATCTATAATTTGAGTCTCACTTATCAAGTTTTACCACCTCGCCACGAGTGCCTGTTGCTGGGTCCGCAGACAGACTGCTCTAGGGGATATCCTTCATCCAGCAACAGCTAAGTGATCGACTAAGAGCCAAGGCGGGCGTACTCCTTATCGAGTTGAGCCAATGGAAATCTGCGATCTGCAACTGCAGATCACTGTAGAATATGCCAAACTAATCTATATGATGCAAACTTCTAAAGTTGCAGCGACGAAGTTGGTGCAGCCTGTCATTCGGAGAGTACGGTAGACACCATTCCAGATGTAAATCGCCTTGTTGCATTTTTAGAGACAAGATAGGAAAGTCCTCTTCTCACTTTTTACATAGACCTGCAAATCCTGATGGCGTCAACAAAACGCGAAGGAATATGTTGGCTCCACCCGTTCGGGGCCAAAAGGTGGAGTCAAGAACTGCGAGTTTTTTGGACCAAATGGCAATATTGTATGGAGTAAATTGAACCGTATAATTCTAATTGTAGGCAGAAGACACATACTGGTGTTGATATGTGTTGTAACTGTTGAAGCCCGAATATAATACAGGATAGACGAACTAAACGCCCATTGAATCCTCCTGCTCAGTCTTCCTTCCTGCAGGCCAGCGACTTGTAGCCCAATTCTTCGGCGTTGACATTCCAGAGAGTTTGCCAATGTGATCCCCTGTCCCCTTTCCACGCAAAACGGCCGAGCCGGATTTCGCCCCCAGCGCAGAATCATACGTCCAAAAAGCGTCGAAAGCCTCCCGAATCCGGTCAACTTGAAACGCAACAACCAAGACGATCGTAATAATCCCCACTGTCAGCGGAGCGGAGATGGCCCAAAACAGCGTCTGTGAGCTGGTCATATTGCGGATGTCATTGGTATTCATGCCGAGGTAGCTAGTCACAAACGACAACGGCATGAAAACCACAGTCACAATGGTGAAGACAAGTATGGCCTTTCCTTGGTCTTCCTGCCGCACGTCTACCCCACTGCGCGTCTGGTTGGCCAATGAGTCAAGCTTTATATTGAGCAGTGAGATTGCTCCGAGCTCGGCGTTGAGCTGGCTGATGAGCTTGTTTAATCGCGCTTTTTCGAGCTCGAATGCGGAGAGCCGGGACTCGGTCGTAATACGGAAAGAATGTGGGTTTATGACGCTGAGGTAGTTTGAGAGAACAAGGCGCTGTCTCTCGGACGCCTTCTGGATTATTTCAAGCTCCTCGCGGACGAGATAGATTTCCTGCAGTACGCGTCGGTGGGGATTTTGACTCGCTTTGAATTGCTAAGAGCGAATATATTAATTAGTAACATTGCTATTAGTAGCAGGGACCGAAAAAGGGATACTGACCAGGGTGCGGACGTATTCACGATAGATCTCGAGCAAGTTGACCGGATTGCTTTGTGAGTCTCTGCAACGGACGTCCCCCATAATAAGGGCGAGGACTAATCCGGGACCCACGGCTTCGTAGGTCACAACATCTGATATCTCGTCGGTATATGTCATCAAGACAATATCTCTCATGGCGCTTTCCATGGACATCTCTGCCTCTGTCCCAGCGTCCGTGACCCCATCCACTTCTGATGATATCAAGAAGGTCGACACAGGGTCGGGACCTGTGTAAATTTCTCGCTTTTTATGAGAATTATTCACGAGATGCGCACTGGTCACAACCATCATTAGGATATCTTGAAAGGCATCAACCAAATTTGATGGGATGCGATAAGTGTCCCGGTCAAACTCTCCTTTAGCTGATACCCCGTGCTGGATCTGAGCCGCCATTGTCTCCAAGCTTGTCAGAAAGTCTTGTAACTCTCCAATTATTATCCGGTCATCTTTCCGACATATATATGTCATGTATTCTCCAAATTCCATCACCCATCGTGATTGCCAGTCGTTCACCGAGCGTTGTTCGGGGAAAGCTACGGAAACATGCGTAAACAAATGGTCGATGGCATCCGACCGAGTGGAGTATTGACGGGATGCACTGCATTTCGAGCAATCCCCGACGCTGAAAGTGAGTTCATCCAGACCTTCATCTTCTTGAATGTCTGCATAATTAGTGCTGCCGATGTTGGCTATAAAGAAGGTCTCCGGCATCCGTTTTTGACGCGTTCGGTTGGCCGGTTCTTGTATGTGGGATTTGTCCCAATATTGGGGGATGGTCTGTAGATCTAGGCATTAGAAGTTGTAGGACTAGAGGGAGTGGATGTGTCTCACGGTAAGAAGGTCGTGAACCGCTCCCCAGAACTTGCCGCTGACAGCACATGGATATGAAAGTGGTGCGAAGAAACTAAAGAGTCGACATAGCCGAATGATAACATCTTTCAACGCCACCGCTTCTGACGAGAGTGATTCGGGGGCAATCTCAGCATGTTCCGCAATCAACGTGGGAAGAGAAACGGCATATATTTGTGTGATAGCCCGATCCACATCAAAATAGGACTTTGTCGTCGCTTTTCTATAAACTTCCCACCCATCCCCATCGGTAGGCTCGAGAAGCTCGTTATTGATATGTGCTGAGACGTGCTTGATTGTCTCTTCATCCACGCTCAAAGGCTCGGGCCGCTCATTTAGATACTGAACATTCGACTTCAGATGATCCGGGCTGGTGTTATCGAGAGGGATGTTTGATTTTGAGATCGCGTTATTTTCCCTAGACGGCCTTTTCCTTGTTTGCCAGGTAAATACTGGCGGGAATTCCAAGTTGATGGTGGATCGATGAGGAGGGGGAGATGCCTGGGAGGCAGATGAATTTCCGGCTGAGTCGGATGTCATGGAACGACGACCATGATCAGTCTGCTCTTCCGCATCTGCTGTATTGGAGATAATATCTTGCTCTGCAGCCTCAGTATCCCATGAGAGGATGGGCTTGGTCGGTTCGAAGTAAATATTCGAAGGAGAGGGTATCTCGTCATCGCCTGGAAGTCTTTGGTTGATTACTACACCGGGGGAATATGAGAAATATCGCAGCCAGGGGCGCGCTCGTGAGCGATGTCTTGCTCCAGTATAGCGCACCTCATCTAATTTCCCAGATTGGTAGTCCCAGTCCGCTTGGGATTCTTCAGCAGGTTCTTCTGTCTCGTGCGGACCCCGTTCATCTTCATCTGTCTCTGGTTGAACCCGTTCATCTGCCTCGGGCGGAACTTGGCTTTTCTCCGAGTGATCATGACTAACAGTCTCAGATGGGTTCTTCTTGTCTTCCTCTGTTTTAGAAGATTCATCAGAGAAGGCTGGCTTTCTCCACGATTTCCCTCTTTTCTCTTTATCTCGGCGCTCCTCTGAGCTCTCCTGTATAAAGGTCTCAATGTGAATGCGAAGAAGGGTCGATGCGCATGAGGCTGTTAGTTTGATCCAATCCTCTGCTCTGATCAGAACTTTGTCTTGGGTAAACATTTTGAAATCATTGTTTCCATGCCTCTGGGCTCCATACCCACGAGGTTCATAGCTCCGCCCTTCATAGGCACGAGGCCCATACGCACGAGATCCATACCCACGAGGTTCATAGCTTCGCCCTTCATAGCCACGAGGCTCGTACTCACGAGATCCATATCCACGAGCCTCATAGCTCCGCCCTTCATAGCCACGAGGCTCGTACGCACGAGATCCATATCCACGAGCCTCATAGCTCCGCCCTTCATAGCCACGAGGCTCGTACGCACGAGATCCATATCCACGAGCCTCATAGCTCCGCCCTTCATAGCCACGAGGTTCATAACCACGGCCTTCATAGCCATGCCCCTCATATCTGCGGTCTTCATACCGATTACTCTCATAATTGTGGCCTTCGATTTGCGGCAGGCAATATCTGGAAATCTTGTCTCTCATTGCCTGGTCGATAAACATTAACCCTCTGAGACCTCGATGATATCATATAAAAGGAAAGGAAATAGATGCCATACAAAGAATGTTTTGCAGTGCTCCACGGGGAAGAAGAACACACGCTGGTCGGGGTTGATGACACAAATATTGGTAGGCGATGATGACTGGGCTGCTGGCGGGCTTATGATCTCCAACGAGGGGCTCGCGCCATCCATAAGAGGAATCGGTGCACTCGTAATGATGAATTCTGTTGTCCCCAGGTGTCAGTATTTTGTGATTGGCTCGTAGAAAGTGTTTTCACGAACGGAAATTGACGATCACTGCCCACAATTCTGAGACATGAATAATATGGCCCTTTGGAAACACTCCTGATTTCCGGATTACCTGCTGCAGGTCACGGTTGCGGGTAGACTCCAAGTTGTAAAAATACTGCAGGAGGCTGCGAGTCGAAAAGTCGGACTTGCGGAAAGATTGGGCTGCATCCATCTTTTGGGTTGAATAGTACGGAAGACGGAGGAAGATGGCCGACTTTTCGGTGTGGTCCTGAGTGGAATTGGTGCCGACACAGCGCATCACGTAGTGCGGCTCACTTGATCCAGGAAGGTCTCTCTGTGCTCGCTTCAGGAGCGATACGACGAGAGCCCTATTTTCATCACCCAAATTCGGCACATTTGATGCAAAGCGCTGCATTCTTAGTGAGAATCATACATAGTCCAATACATAGATAAGACACATACCATGAAATCATCGAAACTCTTCGTGTCGGTTTGCGTATGACTAATTCTCAATGCCGTCATGAGTATATATATTCCAATGATCAGGGACGGTCTGAAAACTCACGTCCATGAGAACTGAGGGTCCTGTCCCTCGTTGACTGTTTTGCCTGTTCGATAAAGGATTACTTTCCCGTACCCCGGCATCCGCGAACTAACGACATCCAGCCTTTGGCCGACATGTCCCCGGTGGGATGGGTCAGCTCTGAGGCTACCCACGGATTGTTTGACAGTGGACGCTTTCAGACCGACATCAAAGCTCAGCGGCGCTCCAAATGATACGCACTTAGGCGGCTGGTAATTTGAGTTTCGGTCGGGATTCAATGGATTCACGTCTTGCCAGGGGGGCGGCTCTGTATAAGTCTCAAATCCTTTGGCTTCCTGAAGCCGTCTTGTGTGTGCAAAAAGCCCGGCTAGGACTCGCTGGCTGATCGATTCTTTGATCTCAATATAATCTGGGTCCGCCTAGGTTCTGTCAGTGTCCTATACCTATCCTTGGTATGTATTTGACTGGCCTTTGAAAACTCAAACGGCAAATCGTAGGCCTCGAGGGTTTCCGGAAGCAAGTGCCTGCGATGGACCTTCCAATGGCAAACGCATCAGATCAAGCCGCCTCAAGAATCGGGATGCTGTTTACCCTTATCACAGTGGCTTCATTATTGTTCTGATTACATGTTAAAACGTATTTCCCTTGGATGTGCCACTATTATTGTACCTGATACTGAACATTCTCCTCTCTCGTTTCTGAGTACCTCTCATAAATGTCTCCAATCATGTTGTAAGTAAGGAATGATGTAGAATGCACAGACTTTGACCAGTGTTCAATTATATCCAACAGTATCTGAGGCTAATATATGACACGTCACTTGTGTTTTACGAGAATTTCGTGGTCTGTGCGAATATGGCTAACACTGCCGAGCAGACTATTCTCACCTGGGATAAGCCTCCAGGGCTTAAGGGGCTGGGGCTATCAAGTAACGAAAGCATTCGAATGCCCAGTGGTATATCAAATACACACCACAGGGTGTGGAAAATAGAAGGGGAAGCCTTCCCACCTGAGGGACAAAGCCACCACAAAACACTTGGTAAATGCGATATTTTACAACTCATATTACAACAACCACGTTTCTAGTATTCTATTCGAAGCTAGTAGCCATCAACAAGGCTTTGCGACAAAATATATCTTCAAGAACATCGAAAACTCGCATTATCATAACGTTGAAAATTACACTCGGACCCAGAAATATATATCTCGCATAAATTAGTAATATTTTCTAAGCGCCCTAGTCAAGTTAGATATTAAAAAGAACCAATTCAACCAATTCTTTGTTGTTCTGTAGGGGAGCTCGAGCAAATAATGTTATGTCGAGCCATCCGAATTGACTGGCCAAGGGGAAAGGTCTGGGGAAGAGGAAAGGAGCTTCGAAACTATTTTATATTAACATGAATGAATATTTAGTTCAAGATGGAAAGGTATAGTCTACAATCAATCGCCAGCCATGGGGAAATCGGTGGCCTTAGCTGATTGCGCTAGTTCCGTTCAGGCACCCTCGTTCTTAGCTCTCTCAATCTTTTCGTCTTCCTGATCATCCTGTACAGCGAGATGCTGACGTTCAGCTATCTCAAAGCAGACGCATTCGAGAACCCCAAGAAAAACGGTCGAAAAAGACCCCGCGTTCGGGAGCCCCTAGCATGTAACCATTGTCGAAAATCCGAAGTCCGCTGCGATCGCAAGTCACCATGCAAACCGTGTCAAGATCGTGAAATGGACAGATAGTGCACTTACCCCCGTTCCAAAAGCCCAGCTTCGGAATCTGTACTAGTATCCCCTCGAAGCACAGATATTGATCTACCCGCGTCACAGCAGCCGACAACCCGCTCCCTCCGCTGGCGGGATCTTCTGAATCCCGATCGGTTTACCCCACCAGACCACTGTCAGTCATGCCAATTATGCGTTTAAGGGGTCGGACTTCAAAACAAGGCTGATTGGTGGCACACATTGGATGGCCGTGTGCAGCGACTTGCCAGTGATAGGGGCCATGCTGGAGAAGACTGTTGATTTCCAACCGACATGGAGAACTTTCGCGGAAGTCAAATCTCTCCTTCGCGTCACAATTTCGGTACCAGCCGGGGTGAATGGAGATGGTAAGAAGCTACTGGGTCTCCTTCCCGATCGATCGACCCGTGAAAAGTGGATCAGACGATATTGTGAAACATATGGTAGAATTTACCATGTGATCGACCAGAACTGCCTGATCAACGAGCTGGAGGAAATATTGATCGAATGTCTCGACGCCAATGAAGTGCACATTCTCAAGATACTGCTGGTCATTGCAATTGCCATGCAGACCGACAAGTCGGAGCGATTACGTGGGCACATGATACTGCAAGAAGCGGAGAGCCGTATTCATACCTCGACACAGTTCCAAAAACCTTGTGTTGGCGTCGTGCAGACTTTGTTGTTGTTGATAATCATGAAGACCATCACTGCCTCTGACACTGACAAGATTTATAGCCTCGGAGGTATCATGGGGCTCACTTCGCAAATCGCTCTGAGCATGGGCTTGAATAGGGATCCGGCCTTGTTCCCCAGTGTCACTCCTTACTATGCAGAAGTTCGGAAACGATTATGGGCGTGCTTCTTTCGATTGAGCCTCGACTATTGCATCCGAAGTGGATCCCACTTTGGTATCCGACTGGAAGATGTGGACTGTCCTCTACCAAGCCCTGTGGAGCTTCTGAGCCTTGACCTCGAAATCGTGATGGAGCCAGGTACCAGCGACTTTGCTCCACAACTCCCCAATTATCAAGCGAGGTAAGGGATCGAATGGGCGCCTCTTTCTACAAGATCCTGCGTGAGTTGCCTGCAAATCTACAAGAGGGAGCTTCTTCATACAGTCCAATCGAAAAGCCTCAGCAAGCCTTGTTATCAATGCATGTGCATAGCTTCATAATTATTATCACACCCAATTTTGTCGTAAGCGTCCCATCTCATAGTTCGCAGCGGGGTTATTGCTATGAATTATGGGGCAACTCGGTGTCCATTCTCTGTCAGTTGCAGGAGGTGTTACAGACCGGCTCTGAGTTGTCTAGCGTGGCCTACCATCTCCTTTGGACTGACCTTTCCCGCGCAGCATTGACTGCATGTCTGGTGGTTGATCGTCTGTGGAGAATCAATCTGGGGACAACTGTATCCAATGGCCCCCAGCCCACGCTGGTCATATTCCAACAACCTTTGCTGAAATATCTAGACTCTATATTGCAGATTCTAGCGGGAATATACCATCTCGGATCTGTTGCAGCGAAGACGAGACTTGTCCTTGCTGTCGCAACAACAGTCACCTCAAGCCTGATCAACGACCTTGGCGGCCCACAGCAGGATATCAAGTTTTTTAGGGTCGGCATCACAGCTGCCGAGGAGGTCGTAACCGAGATGAAACAATCCCTGAAACAGGAAGACCAAGACTCAACACTGGCCTTGCTGGGATTCAATAGCGCAAGGACATCAGCTCCACCAAGTGTGGCCACCCCTCTTGCGGCAGACTGGATGGACCATGCACAACTTCCAGATCCCTTAATTCAGACATTGTTTCCGAGCGACTGCGACTTTTACCCAGACTCAGAATCTCCGGGTTTGGGTATGCAGTCCGATCTATGTTTACCATATTCCATGGCGCCATTCAAATCTCCTTCGACAATCCAGTCGATACCTAACCTCTTGTGGGAAGACGTTTGAATTTGAATCCGCTGGCACCTATTTTCATCGCCTGCGCATAGACAAGTGGAGAATGGAGACTACGCACCACCACCCTTTTTTGTTCTTCTTTTCTTTCTCCCCATTCTTCAACTGCTACGATAACCCACCGATTTGCATGTCGACAGTATACTATATCTATATTGTCCTCATGGCCTGTACGATCCCCGCGAGCTTTCAAAGAGAGAAAGGTAGTGGTCTTTGTGGATACCTTTTGTATGTAAGACTTACTACGTAAGACCCATATAAAATATACCTAAAAATATAAAGATACAAGACCTCTGAACTACTGCCGTGACTCGCTCTTTCCGTTTGGGATCCTTTGTTAGCTAGCGGCTTTCTTGTCTTCAACGTCCGGACTAGTGGTTCAGTTAATGATAAAATGGCCATGCAATAGATCTGTGGTAGTCTTTAATGAAGTTAAGCATGCAGATTTACATTTTCTATTGCCTTCTCTATCGCACTAAGAATCTGATCTTGCCCCAGGCATGTTGACAAGTTCCGGGTGCCCGTCTTACACACAATCTCAAGCCTTCTTCAAAGCGAATCCCACCTTGACCACGCGAGCAATGATTACGCACACACCTCCAGCAAAGATGAAGAGCGTGGAAAATGTCCGCGTACCCCAGAAGACATCTCCCTCGGACGTTCCCTGATGGTCTAGAATCGCACCCGCCACAGGGCTACCGATCAACAATCCCAAACCCGACGCAAAGAGGTTCATGCCAATGTTGGTGCCCAACTTAGACAGATTGGGGCAGAGGAAGACGATGGTTGCGGGAAGCACAGCCTGGATAGAGCCGCTCGTCAAGCCGACAAAGACTGAAACAGCGATCAGACCCGACTGAGATTCCACGCTGATCCATTCGAGCATCAAATACCGGTGAGCAGGACGGATGAGATCATGACCGACAGGTTACCAATCTTGTCGGCGATGATGGACGGCATGACACGACCGGGGACTGAGCCCGCGTTCATGTTGATCAGCAATAAAAAAAAGAGTCCCGCGACATGCCGAGGTTGATACCGTACTGCTCGACATAGAAGAATGAGATATATAGACCGATGAAAATGAAGAATACGGCTAAGAGCCAAATGACGAAGATAGGGTCCCGGAGCGACTCGATGTTGATCAGCGGGCCTGACTTTCGAGGTGGAAGGCGAGGCTTCATAACAGCGACCGAGATCAGGAGCGTTCCTAACATGATGAACGCCATGACTCGGAACGCCCAGGGCAGTCCAATCTGGACGATCAAGCGCCTCAGCACGACGGGGTAGATGATGCCTCCGATGCTTGAGCCGGTGGCAGCCAAACCTAGCGCAGTGGATCGTCGCGTTGAGAAATAAGTGCCCACGATGGCAACACTGGGGATGAATGACATTCCGGCGCCAATGGGTATGCGCCAAAATATATTGCCTGGGCGAGCTTCTAGTCCACCAAACCAATCAACCTAACCAAACTGACCAAACGACTCTAATCAAACTACAACTTTTTACAACAAAGCACTGGTTGACTCGCAATGCCCAATCAGAAGAAGGAATAGACACCACATTAACAGATCTGGAAGCTCTCTAGCAGATTACCCCATCGGGAAGTGCACGGTCCGGAGTTTAATTACCGAAAAGGGAAGTAGGGCTGATTAGGGATGAGTCCGAGTCTGACTAGCTCTCTCCCGTTTCGTGCTAGACGGACTTACATTGTCACTTTGGGAATACATGTTGGCGGGTTTACGGATACGTTTACGGTAGAACTCTACTTACCTCTACTGATCAAGATTGGTGCGAATTGAAATCCCAAGGTCTCATTCTCATCTTATGATCGGCCCAGTATCTCTCTATATTGTATATAATTTTGTGTGAGGAGTGACTTTATTAGCAAGAAGAGTAGAAATTTTACTTAGTCCTGGCAAGCCCCGGGCCACCAACACCGAGGGTAAATGTAAAAAATTAAGTATCTTTTATATAATAACTCCATACAAAAGGTACCTACACACAGCATACACAAGAGTCGATTTGTCTCAACTAGATTGGTATATCACTGATCTGTCAAACATGTTGTGAATTACTTAAAAACCAGAAGAGAGGGAATAGGAGAAATCGAATCTATAAAATGAGAGTAAGGTATCAAGTCCATGATATCGACCAGCCCACAAAAAGCCCAGAGGGAAACCAAGCAAACCTAAACAGGGACCTCAGAATCACGGTAATAATTAAAAAACAAGAGTTTGCATCGTGTTGAACAATGCCAAGGTGACACATCAGTAGAATCAAATGCCTTTAGTCATGCGTTGGTCAATAATATTCCTCAGACTAGGTATTTCCAGTTCATTCAACTTGTAGCGAGGTCTCATCACATGGAATCCAACAAATCCACGGATATAGGCGTCCACCATTTGAAGCAAGGCGGGGCTTTCAGAGACCGTGGCTTTAACGTTATCAATCCGAGCGGTGTTTTCCTCCACTAAGCGATGCAAGACATCAGAAACCCGGATGCAATCGCTCAAAGCCCGATGATATACATAGTTATTTCTTTCATCACCTACGATAGATTCCTTGTAAAATGAAAGGAGGTCGTTGATTGTGTCTGTCAAATCCATGATGTCTGGAGCAGCCTGGATAAATAGGTTGATGTTCTCCTCAGACCAAAGATCGTTTGTCAGGATAAAAAAGGTATAAGGCTCAGCCAGCCCTGTCATAATCCGGAAATAACGAGGAAAGCTTGCTGCAGTTTCAAGATGAAGGAATTTACCAGTCGTCTCGAACTCTATGGCAGAGGCGTCCATAAAATTTATCAACCCCGTTGCAATTTTGTTGGAACAGATGTCGGGATAATGCTGATTGAACTGAGGTAAAAGAGCAGCGAAGGCTTCGAGCAATGGGGGTTGTGGGTCTCCCTGCATTGTTTTTCGACCAAACTTGCGGATATCATCCACAAAATCAAGACCAAGGTCATCAACCGCAAAAAAATAGGCAGAGAACAATCCGACGAGTCGTTGAATCTCGAATTTGTGCAATGGGTAGAATTGCTGGGCCACACTAGCACCATGTTTCGAGATCTGATTGGCCTTTTCATTGGCAACTCCGTTGCTTAAGCAGGCAGCAAGGATATAATCTTCGAGGGAAGGGTCTGGAATGTAGCTGAGATCTGGCGAGACACCGAGGAAAAAATTGTTGAGGATGTCTTTGTACTCATCCGCCGAAACCAAAGTTGCCATAGGAATAGTCATGTTGTGAATAGATTTTGCAGCAGGCGTCTTTTGCTGTTTTATTTTCGGGTTGTGTTTTCAAAAACTGTACAATATGATTGATGTCGGACCTTTATATAGATCATTAGACCAGTGCATCCATCCGTATACTACATGTAGTACATGAATGCTAGGGTTGGGAATTGGATGCATGCAGGAGGCCTTCTGGTTCGAGGTGCATGCCAATTCTTCGGGTAAATATCACGCCATTTGAAAAAGAAAAGAAAACTACATACAGCAAGTCTTGGAGCTTAACAGGTGTAGAACACCTGGCTTTTTGGTCCATGGGACCTAACCCCAATGCCAAAATCTAGAGGAGTGGAATAATCACGAGTAGACTTCCGCACCGGCCCACAAAGCCCATAAGGCTTTAATGGGGGCCCATTTCCCCCCAAACAATACAAATATGCCAAGTTGAACCCCCTTTTTAGGTCATTTTAATTACCCTATGTTTAGCATCGTTTCTAAGCCTTATCTATAGTGTAATATTATATTAGTTTAAATGGTTTAGAATCAATTACTAGTTATTTCTCTAAATCATATTTAAAAACACGAAAAATTCGTTTATTCATAATATTTTAAAATTACAGAGGTTCTCTAGAAAGTGGTGGCACTCCCGCAGAAATCGTAAATATATAATTAACATTAAAATACCAACTTTCACATTTTCTATAACATCTTAACTTCCACCGATCGGATTTTATTTAAAATTAAAATGTATACTTATGTAGCTAATATAAACCTAGATCCTAAATTTGAACCTTATATGACTAGTAAGAGGCCGGGCCCATAGCCCAATGCGGGTTCGACTTTGGGCCCGAGGTCCGGGCCCATTTGTGGGCTTTGCGGAAGTCTGATCACGAGAGTTCTCCGCTTGCATGTTGGGCCCCTATGATGCTGCATACCCTATAAGGAGAGATATGAGGTGGTGATATTTATTGGCATGTCGCTATCTCTCCCGCAGGTTTTACAAGTCATCGCGCTAACCGGCTCACGATTTTACTGGCTGAAAATTGGCAAGCTCCGTAACCAGGCCCAGCCGGGGCCCAGGGACTCCGGTGGTGAGCCACCGAAGGAATTATATTAAGTCTATAGAAATTCGAGAAAGTGTTGAGACCGTTTCTGCCTCAGGCTCAGATTAATAACACCTTCCTCCCTCTCTCCCTCTCTCTCTCCCTCTCCCTCTCTCTCTCCCTCTCCCTCTCTCTCTCCCTCTCTCTCTCGGCTAGCTGAATGGAACTGATGGTTTTTTTTCCCTCAATAGAAAGACGTGCGTACATGCCCAGCCGCATTAATACCGCTGTTCTACAAATTTGGACAACTGTATCATATTCGGTGTCTATGACCCTAGCGAGATGATTGATCAAACTCGGAAATCTACCTAGACACCCTCGTTCCTCTTAGTCTCTATCCCGCTCCACCACCGAATCCTGCAAACTAGTATATTCTATCCACCAAAAAATGCGTTGATACAATGACCCTTCTCAGCCCAGGTCGTGCGACACTAAAAAATTGATTCTGGACTAACTGTATTACTATATGAATTTCTTCTGCACATAATTTGATACATACGACCATAGGGTGTGGAAAACAGGGCTTCCCGTCCGCTCAGCCGTACTTAAGCCACACGCCGGTGAGTTAGTAGTTGGGTGGGTGACCACCAGCGAATCCTCACTGTTGTATGTTTTTATTTATATTTATATTTTTTGATCGTTAAGATTCTCCCACTACGGCAGTCGCCAGCCGCCCCAATCTCAAACTTAACCCCTATTTTCCTAAACTACGCAGTCCCATAGGGCTCAGGGTTAGTATTGATGAGAATCTACTACAGTGGATATCCGAAATGGAGAAGCAATGCTGTACGATTCGAATGGGAGCAAAGGGACAAAGAGAAGAAGGAGAGAAAGGGATCTTCCGGGGGGTGGCAGAGCAATCTAACTATCTACCAACGGGTTCTGTCCCATATGTTGCCTAATTCAAGTACCTCACAGATATCCCATTTATTATACGCAGTATAGTTCTCACTGCACCATTTCAAAAAGGCTCAGGCCTAGTCAGACGACAGTTATCAAACCAACGAAGACTTGATTGTCGTTTGCAGCTTCCCAAATTCCGTATGGTCCGACACCTAGGACACACTTGGACAGCATCCTTCCAATCCATCCAAGAGGTAGGATCCCATTAGCGAGGACAATGGAACAAGCGCAGAGTTTTTCAAAAAGATAACAACGGGAAGACCAATATACTGTATATCGAGCAAACACATCCAGATTGTTAGATGAGTCAATGGATATACGGATCCTCTCAACTCGGGCCTTGTACTTAGACGTAATAGGCAACCAGTGACGGTCGCTTGAGTGACCCCTAGTTAAGTGAAAGCCAGGTGAAACATAGGCAATTTGTTGGGTCTCACTAGTGAGGTTAAATGTGAAAAGGCCAACTTTGGTTTGGGACGGCGGAGTGGGTGATTTAAGAAGTTTCACAATATTCCCAAGTTCTTAAATCGTTAAGGAAGCACACAGACATATTTCAACAATACACCGACGGCTTTTGCAAGACCTTTGTAACGCTGGAATTGCGAGTGAATTCTTACAAAATTTCTTTCGTGGATGGAGGATCAAACACCATCAGCAATATATCCAGGAGCGACTCTAAAGCCGCACAAGTACTTGGCTTCATGTCACCATATAAGGATTCACACATAGTACAAGGATCCGATAGGATAAAAGTGGTGAGTATTGAGATTCCTTTTCTTTTAAAATCGTGCCGAAGAGGTCGAAGAATCGTTTACAGCTGAGCGACAGACATGCTTTATCAACTAGAGGAAGGTGTCTGTAGATATTGCATAGCACACTCTCTTGTAGAGAAAGTATTCCAGGGTCTTTTCTCCGGGAAATAATAGATGAAAGGGAGGATACTTCTGTGTAGAAACTCCCGGCTCGCTGTATTTCTCTCCACATTTGTTGCTTCTCATTCTGGTTGTTCTGGAAGCGATAGCCAGTTCCCAACCGTGTCCCTGGTATGTCTTCTTTCCACCTCCTAATAGATAACGAGATTCCTCATCTTCATCAGGATGACTCTGGCCTAGGCGATGTAGTATTGTCAGGTTTCTTAGCACTTAGCTCTTAGCTTTAACAACTCTCAATCAATCTCACATTGAACAATGCACTTCATCATACTCTCCTTCTGACAAGTATGCTAAGCAATTTTCGGCGTCGCTGCATCTTTGAGTCTTTGCCCGGATAATGGTATCCAAGAGGCTTGGATTCAAGCTTGATGGGAGTATATGTGCGAATCTGGCGTCAGAAAACTGTCAGAAGACTTTGGCAACTAAGGTCTCATGACCATGACGTTACATTTATGAGGTCTTTCGAAGCCGATATCCAGTTTGTCGATGAATGAAGGCTGAAAATCACAACTTCCCCTAACGGGTTAAGTGGAAATCTTAACTATAGAAACCTTATTACTCATATGAGGGAGCATATTGAAGAGATTTCTGCTGAATGGAGCGAGGATATAAAAGAGAAAACCAAAAACCAAAAACAGTCTCAACTGACAGACCCCTTCCGATCCAAAAGAAAAATAAAAGTGCAAGGAGGACGGCCTGCACAGGAAAGGGGGGCGAATCCACTATTTAGGTTGAAACAAGAAGTACTAGGTTTCAACCGATTCGTGTGATTGTTGGACACGCCGACGGGCTCGTTCCACTTCTAGTCTTGCGGCTTGGAAGATGTTCTGGTTCTCAAAGCTTCGGTCAAAAGTTGTAGGGCTGGGGCACGGGTACACACAGGCCATATGTGGGCTTTGCGGACGGTGAGCGAGGACACAACAACATACGGTAAAAATGGGACCACACCGTAGGGGGCTAATCGTGAAACAGGCCCTGGAGATTCTCAACTGGATCTACTTACGCTGTAGAAAATATGCCTTGGAATAAACGTCCACCCAGTATCTTTCACGATGAATCATGGTCTACACTATGGCGTTCAACAGAGTTTCCACCCGAAGAAACACACTCCGAGCGTTATTACCGACAGTAGGCAAGACCAGAATGGAAGTCTGTACCATACTTTCTTGACTATCAGTGTAGTCAAGCTGGAGGATGGCCACGGGGCTGGGCGATCTATCGTACCTCCTATATAGAAATATCCGACGAAGACTGGGCTAGAGCTATCGAAAAGCTTGACCAGGCCTGTTTGGCTGGCCTTGAGTTTTCTGAGTGCTGGTGGTCTAAAGCTGGATTCACGCATATTGAAATGATCCGCGAAGGCTATCGAAATATTATGTTTGAAGATCCCACCTTGGAAGGAGCATCAGAAGCCGTTATTCAACGTCGGCATACACAATGGGTCGAAGACCATGGCCTTTACGTGTGTAGTGCCGTCCCTCGCCTTAACTACCCTCTTTTGCTGGATGAACGCTGTGTGCGGTCAATTCTAGCTAGCGCGGAGCCAATAAGACCAACTACTCCGCAATCTGAACCGAGGGGAATGGTCGGTTATGTTAACGTCCTCGACGGTGATTTGGTCTTTGAAGATCGGCAAGAGGAAGATGGAGAGTACTACTATGGATTGGTACGGGCTCACTTGGATTGTTTGTTTCGCTTCTGTATCAATTGTGAAAACCTGGTGACTGAGCAGGACTGGGGCTCCTGGGGTATGGACAACCCTAATGCTATGCCTTACGTTGATGGCCGCGACCTCACATTCGAGATTAAGGAAATGTTTCTTTCTACTTCGGATCGAGACTTCGAGAGGACAGCTAGGATCACTGAGCTTGAGTTTAAAGGAAACCAGTAATGGATGTTGAGATACGTGGAATTAGACCTCCGCAAAGCCCATGAAAGGTGTTCAACTAACATCTTGTAATCGCTGTATTCTGGCCCTTCTACTAGTTATATAGGGTTTAAATACAGAATTTAGAATTATAATAGCTGTATAAGTATATATTCTAATTTTAAACAAAATCCGACAAGTGGATGTTGAAAGAAATGTTAATATTAAAGGTATGATAGATACATGTTTGAGATTTATACGGGAGTACTACCACTTTCTAAGTGAACCTCTATAATTTAAGACTTATCCAACGAACGCGTTTTTTCGCGTGTTTAAACGTAATATATATATCTAGCTAATTATTAATAATATATTGATTAAACTAATAAAATATCACCCTGATCTAAGGGCTAAAAACGGGATCTAAATATAAGGTCATTAAAAAAGTGACGTTTTTCGGAATATTATGGGCTTTGGGCCCATAGCCCACCGGTGGGCCCGAAGATAGGCCCAAAGCCCAGCCCATTCGTGGGGCTGGGCTGGGTTGGGCCTTGGGCTTTGTGGGCTTTGCGGAGGTCTACGTGGAATTGAACACTAGGCGATGTGCCAGCTTCTGCTTGATGTTGAGATGGCCAAAATGCTTACGGACGAATAGATATCATCTATAACGAGTTACCTGACTAGATTCTCGGAAGGATGAAGTCCCTGGTGGAATTCGAGTGTATACCGCTCTAACTAGCGACCTTTTGGTCGCCTATAACTTTCTATAAGCTAGAGTATTTCCTTCCCTAGGGTTGGTATCCTTCATAGGCAGACAACGAATTATACAAGGATATAGGCTCCGATAGTAGCATGGCAGAATTTACAACCGCTTCATACGCCTCGCAATATAACTTCTGTTTAGAACCATGAATTCTCTTACGTAGGGAGTCAATACTGCTCTTAGAAGCCGGCAAGTGTAACTGCCGGAATATGTTGGAGCTTCCTACTATGCCTTAAAAAACTCTACTACTCTCACTACTATATTACCCGATTCCTTCTCTATAGGATCCACTATAGCAAATGGTAGCGAGCTTCTATATATAAAGTCTATTTATTCTAGATTTTGAGCCTTTTACAAATTCTAATTGTACACCAGGAGGCATTTTCAATAATTATCAGAGTCAGTCTTATTTTGGAGTGGTCTTTGCTCCCACCGGGACTCGGACAGAGGAAGACGGGATCCTCGTCGAGCTTGGTCCGGGCTTTGTGGAGCAGCTTCCTGTAACTGTAGTTTGAGCTATCTTGGTCCAGTCTGTGTATGACTTGTTGGCCGCGTTTTTCAGCGTAGCCGCCCAGATGTTGTGTCCGTTGTCGTGATAATGGAGGCTAATATCAGAGGGACAGCTGGGGCTCCCCGGAGCTGCAAAGGACTGAGCCCATCCTAAGTTCACCAGACCAGCGCTCGTAGAGGCATTTCCACTCGCGCTGCCCTGGTTCCACTGCAGACAGTTTGAGCATCTGAAGATCAAGGCGTAGTGTGTTGCATTGATGGTGGATGATATCTGGGTTAGCTCGGCATTCCCAGTGTAGACGTCCGGCTTGTGGTATTCTGTGGTATAACGGAAGGACGTGAGGATATCCCCACCATAGGGGTAGGCCAGCAGAAGAAGGGAGTCGGTCATTGTACCACCGAGCGAAACACCACACCAACCGGTGAAGGTAGCATTCGTCGAGGAACATAGCTGCGAGGCTGCTTAGTAAAAAGAACAGGCAGAGCGGAAATACACAAAATGGACAGAGCCACACACCAAGTAGCCGATAAATTCGGTAGCGTCTGTGGTCAGAGCATCGGATGGCAGAGCGATGCCAAACGTAAACCCTCCCTTACTCAAGGTCTCTGAAACAGTCCAAGTATCAAAGGCGATGCCTGTATCCGGGTCTGTGTATGCCACCGGAGTCCCGCTCTGCGCCATAGATGTTGACAAGACTGGATGGAACGAGGTTAGCTAATGATCCACGCACCTCTAAAAAGGAAAAGGTGAGAGCTTACACGGCACAATGACCGCAACAGCGGCAAAAGCATGGGCGAAAAGTCTCATCTTGCTATTCGGCTTACGACTTAACTCGCAGTATCTAGCATGTCAGTATCAGGAGAAGGTTGTGTGGGACAACAGATGGGGTGAATAGGCATCTTTTAATGTCAGACATCACTCGGGCCCCTGAGCAAGGCCGGTGCCGGATAAACATGTCGGGCTTCACTTTTCATCCGTAGCCCGGTTGTAACCTCGATGGATCATCCGAGGAAGTACAGGGGTTAACTAACAGCGGACAGGATTATATGGGAGAGTTGCTTAATCAAGACGACTCTGCATTGAAAGCGGAACTGCAACCACTAGGATATGCATGCCGTTGGCCCTTGGCAGATCATTTCTTCAGTGGACCAATACACTCACTGACAAAGGCAAGAAGAGGCAGGCCTATGACTATTATCTGGATATGATTAAGAGCGACAATAAAAAAAAGAGCACTGCCCACACATTGAGTCCGTCTCAAAACCTCAAAGCTACGAAAGCTGGTTATGCCGCGAAAAGCCCGTTTCTCATCGAAAAGAAGTGAAAGGAAAGGGATCGGCAGCGCGGTATCGGAGGTATGTTTCCGTTTGATTGAAATATGTAGTAAAAGAGGGCACTAGATGCGAAATGACAACAGCCCACCCGTTATTGGTCCAGCCGAATTCGTAGGGCCGATTGTTGTATGAACATAACAAAGACGTTGCGGGGAGGAGGGCCTAATGATTTGATGGCTCCCCGATGAAAGGCCGACTAGTGCTCCTCAACAGGGGCTGGGAGACGCTAGCTATCAAACAAGGCGGCGATCATTACGTCCCCCATCCTCCCCAGTCTAGTCCCCCGGCAAAAGCCCGAGAAAATACGACATCAACTCCACTCAAATGCTGCTATATTGGTATTACTATCAATTCTATTATTTTCCTTATCTAGTATTTGAGTTAGTGATATCAATCACATCTCTGCGGCATCACATTGTATTTGTGGTACTTCTCTGTTGGTGCCCCTCCCGTGAATATAAAGTGTTGAGCCCTAACACTTTTCCTTACCCCGAATTGCCACCAAATATTTAGCAGCCAGATAGTAGAAAATAAGAAGAGAAAGGGTTCGAAACAATCACAAGCTCTACAATATAAAAACCACTGTTCTTCTAATATTTTATTTGACCGAATATTCCGGCTGCTCTACGTCAGATTGCTGAACCTCATTAGGTATGCTTTGCAAGGTCGACTGAAATTGTAACGGCACGACTCGGCAATCGAAAAATGTAGGAAAATATTGACATTGCTAATGCGTATAGTGCGTGGGGTGAAGAGCATTATTGTGCCGCGGGAGAGATTGCTGGTCTTTAAGTGTCATGGGTGGGGCCTCTGTGCGAGTTTCTAGGGAGGCAGAGGAACCTCTTCCCTCATGGGAATGAGGCCGGCTATTTGCGGTATTATACAGACGCGCTCTACCTCAGTTTCACCTCTTTACTCTCTTCAATCATTTAAATCTTTGCATGACGCCATGCCTTTTATGGTTAGTTTACCCTGACACACATTTTAGCAGTATCGCAGTATGGTGATAAATAATGCACAAAATAGCTTTCGTATTACAGGTATATGGGCTATGTCCTATGTACTAGTAGAATTCCTCACCTGCAAACCGAAGGTTCAAATCCAACATAAGCACATATAACAATGTCAGATAATCAAGGAAGGGCCCATGAGATACATAATGAGCAGATCTTACTCCAACGACAATTCATGTACTGATGACATCCACAATCAAGTGTGCCTCTCCTTAAGATGTGTTTTTATCTTTGAGTTTCTTCGCGGCCTTTTTCTGTGCTTTCGCGCGGGCTTTCTTTTCAGCCTTAAGTTTCTTCGCGGCCTTTTTCTGTGCTTTCACGCGGGCTTTCTTTTCATCTTTAAGCTTCTTCGCAGCCTCCTGCTTTGCCTTCGCGCGGGCTTTCTTTCCAGCCTTGAGTTTCTTCGCAGCCTTTTTCTGTGCTTTCACGCGGGCTTTCTTTTCATCTTTAAGCTTCTTCGCAGCCTCCTGCTTTGCCTTCGCGCGGGCTTTCCTTTCATCCTTGAGCTTCTTCGTAGCCTCCTGCTGTTTCTTCGCAGCCTCCTGCTGTTTCTTCGCAGCCTCCTGCTGTTTCTTCGCAGCCTCCTGCTGTTTCTTCGCCTTTTTTTTTTTTTTAGCCTTGAGTTTCTTCGCAGCCTTTTTCTGTGCTTTCACGCGGGCTTTCTTTTCATCTTTAAGCTTCTTCGCAGCCTCCTGCTTTGCCTTCGCGCGGGCTTTCCTTTTATCCTTGAGCTTCTTCGTAGCCTCCTGCTGTTTCTTCGCAGCTTCCTTCTGTGCCTTTGCCCGGGTTTTCTTTTCATCTTTGACATTTTGCCAAGTCGCTACCTCCCTTGAAGTTTTAGTAGACTGTTCGACTTTGGGAATTTCAGGTGAAATCATGATTGAAGTAGCTTCTGCCGTTTCAAGTTTCATTTTACCTTCCTTTTTTGCATTGTTTTCATTCCACGTTTTGTCAAAAAGTGAATAGACTAGACCTAATAATATCAATATCGGTGACCTACTGAGAATGAGCAAGAATAGAGATAGTAGTAAAATACGATAAGCAGGTTTGATAAAGGCAACCTAGATAAAATCATAAGTGATAATTCACTAGAAACAACGAAACATTTGAAATGCCGCACCTCGTGTTCTTCAAATTGTTTATACTGCTCAATAGAACAGACGCGCTGTTCCGGAAAAGCCACCAACCCCTTCAATTTCATTATATCCTTACTATGACTTACTTCTCTCCATTTTATCTTGCAATTTCCCGATCCGAATCGTTCCCTCCATTTGTCGCTTCTGTCATTCGGCCATAGCTCATATAAGAATTCATCGCTGCCCTTGCTCATTGGATGGGCTATATTGATTTTGTGAACAGCTTTTTGATCGATTAAGCCCCGGATGATAGGTTCTTCGATGGCTTGGTAATAAGACAAACCCGACGGATGAAATCGCTCTGGTGGTGGAGGTGAAAGCAGCGTAACCGTGTCACCCTGAGCTATGCGCCAAGCAAAGATTGCGGAAGCACCATGTATATAGTTACTCCACTGTCGAGGGCCCTTTCTCAATCTTAAGCAATTTGGGTTTTGAGTGTCCATAAGCGGCCCCATTGCTGTGGTTAGAGTCTGAAGTCCATGTCTATCAGCCCATTCTTGGGCTTTTTCGCGAGGGATGCCACTCCAGAGCACTTGACCATTTGGAATCCAAGCATTAGATTGAAACTGTTCAAGAATTTGGACCGCTTCTTGGACAGATAGGTATTGGTTCAATACTCTGACGAGAGGGGCTTGAGCTGACTGTTGGTTCGCGAACGATTGAAAAAATGTTTCACGATCCATCTGATTGAAAAGGAATAGAAGAATAGAAAGTCCCATTTCCTTGCAGGTTTACGAAAGCCGCTAGCAGACATAGTTGTATAAAAGGACTGAGGAAGAAGGCTTGCCACCTTGCCAAGAATTTGGGAACGTCATGACTTTGACTGCCTTTTAGACCCATAGCATGCACCCTCGAGAATTACGGGTCACCAAGCGCCTCGTATCAAATCTTGTGCAGTATGGTATAACATTATATCAAGTGATCCATCTTTGATGAAGTCAGTAGAAATCAATCTTCATTTCGTAGGCTATATCCGCCAAAAGAATGCAGTTCTTCGCTTTCCCTAAATAGAAGTTGATACGCAAAACAAGCTCTTACATTTATATTTCCCCCTTATCTGATCAAGATGTGTCAAATAAACGATTGCATGTTTCTCCCGTGTAATATTACAATACATTTCGACTAACTAAGTCAAAGAAGGACTAGCGTCCAGAATAGAGTTCAGGAAAGAGAACCTAAAAAGAAACTGATTTCGAGCCAGCGGGTGGCGCTTGCTTTATTTTATCGTTTTTAGCCAATCAGTTGTTAGAGAACTCGCGAAGTCACTTGTGTAAGTAGGACTTCCCTGGTAAATTCAATTCCATTCAACTAGTAGCGAAAGAACACCTGTGACAGAATAGAAGGAGAAAGGCCAATCTAGCTCCTAACATGTTCTTTCCCTAATCAGATCCCAAAGGTCTAATCAGCGTTGACAGTGCAACGGATGAAAGTAGCACCAGGTTTTTCAAGCATGACTCCAACAAAATTATTCTTGTAGTCGGTGACAACACGGTATTTGCCGGGTGGGCCGCCTATTCCAATGGTCAGTCTCGGTCCAACAACCATAGCCTTGATGACCTACCAGTCCAAGTTCCACCTTTAAGGATAGGATACTCGCGCAGGTCTTTGGTGACGCCGTTAAAGACCTGGCCTCCAGCGCTCTTGTTACCGAATTTGTGCGGGTAGCTGCCGACGCGACGGTCACCCCCCTTATTGGACTCCTTGAAAGCATTGGCGACATCGTTCTTAGAGAGCGTGGTGCCTTCACAGTTAGCGCTACCGATCTTCTTCTTCTTTGCGCGGGTAGCCAGGTCGTTGACAGTGTGGCTGGTGGATTCCTCGGCGATCTCAGCCTCAGTCGCCTGGACGCTGCGCTCCTTGCTGTTACCCTTCTTGCCCCCTTTATCTTTGCCGGTCTCAGGCTTGGGGGCGTGACGCGCGTGCAGGCCGTATAGGCCCCGCCAGCGGCTGCGCCGGTATGCTGCATCACACCACGGAAGTCGCCAAGGTTATTATTGTAGTCTGTGACCACACGGTACTTGCCAGGTACGCCTGCAGTCATCAGCTTGTGTCAGGGCCTTTGCTGTTTGAGAAGCTTACCGCTAGTGTACTTTCCACCCACAATAATGGGGAATTCCCGCAGAGCGGTGCTGTCGGGAATATTGCTGAATACCTTTTCGTTGTTGTTCTTGTTACCAAATTTGGCCGGGTACTTGCCGACAGAGCCGTCGTTGTGTTTGCGGCACTCTTGAAAGGCCTCGCGGATGTCAAGTTCAGACAGGGTGGTACCATCGGGGCACTTGAAATCGCCGAGTTTGGCCCGCTTGCTGAGCTCGGGAAGGGGAGAAGCATGGGCCAGAGCCATCAGTCCGTAGAGGACGATGGATTTCATGTCGAGGAACATTTTGAGAGGCTGGGGCTCTGGGCAATGGCTCAGAAGAAGAGGCTTGTCAGCCGGGATAGATTGCTTCGATGCTGGTGATCACTAGGGATCTGGTGATATTTTTTGAAATGTACAGTATGAAACTATACAAAGCGTGTATGGGATAAAGGGTTCTAGCAAAGATGATCCTGATACTCGAAGCGATGAACAGATGAATTGTAAACTGTCTATGTTCTCAATGCCTGGTAAGAAGCCCATATTTATGGGCTTCATACCCCCGTGGATACAAATGATAAATCCCTCAAATGTAAGATACAATTTGAAATATTCAACCTGGATGCAGGCTATATGCAGTAATGGGTGATGAAGCTGTAAAAGTGCATCAAAGCTGCTGATCTCGACTTGGTAGGAGGTCAATCAAAACTCGGAACACATACTCCGTAGGATGTCTCATAATCTTCAGGCTGAGTGAGAATCAATGTGCAAGGCTGAGCTGCATGCATGATTTAGCCCCCTGCGGAGTAGAAATATCAACATTGGAAGAATGTTTGTTACCTTAGACACTTAGGGCCAAGAATGGAGTGCCAAGACTGTGATGCCAAGTCTGGGGGCCAATGCGGGGGGCCAATACTGGGGCCTGGAATAAGCAATTATAAGCAATAACAGTTTGCCCCCCAAAACGAGCTATCGATCAACATAGCCAACTTCCGCCGTAACCGCTTCTGCAGATCCCAGTTGCCTTCTTTCATTTGTCAAAGTCTCTACTTTTCTTCTTCTTATTTTCAACCCCCTACTTTCTTTCATTACCACCCTCACTATGGGGAAAGAGGACTTCCTCCGACAAATCGAAAACTCCGCAGAGTTCAAACTCCTCGACAAAGTAGTCAAGGAAGAAGTCACACCGCAAGATGCAGTCCAAGAGATCATCAACATGACCATGACTGCCCTATCCATTCATGGTCCAAGCAAACAAAGCGGGGTCGGTCTCGCAGACTACAACGTCTCTCTTGCACTAATGGAGCTCACTCAACGCCTAGAGCCATCCAAACATGCCAAGCTGGTCGAGTTTATGTGTCATCTCCACAAGCAAGTTGCCGTTGATCCATCTACGAACAAGCCCCTGACGGTCCAAGACGATACCCTCTGGACTGACATGCCGTCGTTCGGCTACACGGAGCTTGAGACCTGGCACGAGTTTGGTGGCGAGTACAAAGGTGATTCCATCCTCCAATTCAAACAGTCAGGACCCTAACCATGTAGACCCATGTGATCCAACCCTAGATTCTAAGGAACGAGAGCGCTGGGCGAATCTCAACGCTTTCCTCGCGCAGCTCACTCAGGCGGCATACATTGATCGTACACCTCCCAAGAAAGAAGTGCCGTTTGCTCCCCTGGACAGATCACTACGGGCCATCTGGTGCATGACGATGGCATTTGAGAACGAGTTGCTGGTAGATACGGCGGCGATGGAGTCCGCTTGCTACTGGTTCATCTACGCTGCGGAGCGACTGTGGGCGAATGTGGTCCATAGTTGCTCGTATCCTGCGGAGTATGGCGCTGGGCCTGGGAAGAGGTATAAAGGCAAAGACTGGACGGGCTATACGCAGGAGCGATGGGGAATATGGGAGGATGCGCTGAAGGAGGCTAGAGCTAAATGCCAAGATCAGCGGATGAGGAAGCTGATGGATGATGCGTTGGCGAGTCTGAGAACTGGAATGGTGAATGAATAGTGGATAGACTCATCTGGTCCTAGTGCACTTTCATTTAAATGCTCTGGGTTGTTGTGTAGTGTGATATCTATATCTTTTCACTTTGTATTGGCTCATGTCGAGGATAAGAAGGTAGTTTCGGTTACGCCGGAACCGTCGAAACCTTGGATTTAGCTCGCTTGGGATGCATGCGTTGCTTATGTTTGTCTTTTGATACACACCGTATGATGAGAGTTTGCAATGATCAGAGTAACTATAACAGACTGTCTGGACCTCTTATAGAGGAACGTCTTACTAGATTCGGACTCAACGCCCTTTTCATATAATTGGTTGGATAAGATCAGGGCACATTACTGCTGTAGCACAGACTATGTATACATGTACTAAGCTGCAATCCTACTTCTTACTCTTATTATTTCTGCAACATAATTTACCTTTGCCTCCCTAACTTCAACGTCGGTTCTATTCCTACCACTAAGACAATCACAACATCCGTCGTCCAAGTGATGATGGATATCAGGTTCCCTGCCCCTTCATATTCCCCAAAATCCCGGGGAACCCTACTCATTCCCCAGCGTAGCCCTCATCTTTCGACTCCATTCATCCCGCTTGATCCGCAGAAGGATCAACGGAATGCCACTGAGCAGACAGAATAAACAAGCTGCCGTGAACGACCAGCCTGTGCCAATCGCATCAAATAACGGCTGCGCAATAACCGCACTCACACACGACAGACCGTTTCGCACGAGGTTATTCACCGCGACGCCGATAGTGGAATTATTCGGTGTCAATTCCGTCAACATCGTCATGGTAACATTGGTAAGAATCATTGCGCCAAACCCGTAGAAGAAGTTTCCGATGAGCTATTATTGCAGTATATTAGTCACTACTTATTTATAGACTAAAGGGGGCATGGAGTAATAAAATGAATGAACTTACCGGGACCAGCCAGAACTCATGCTTATCGGCCGTCCATCCCCACCACAAGAGTGCCCCGGGGAAGAGGATACCTGCAATGAGGCAGTTCTCACCCAGACGATCGATTGGGTGGAGAATCAACTTCCCCTTATCATTATATCGACCCTCCTCTCGAGCGGTCCGCGCCATGATATAATCCTGCCAGTGGCCGCCAATGATCGCACCGAAGAGTAGGCCCAGCCCGCCGGGGATATAGGCCACACCGACCATGATGGAGCTCCAGGAGTATGGCGGCAGGGCGAAGGTGTCTTCGATGGAGACGCAGATGAGGTAGTACGTAGCAAAGACGATGCTGGTATAATAGACAGTAATAAGGATAGGAGGATATCGGAGGAGCTTGACGGCTTCCATGGGCTTCAAGAGGAGGTTGATAGCTTTTTTGCCAGGGCTGATGGCGTCATTTCGGTGTTCGCGGCGGTTTTCTTGGAGGTTTGTGGTCGTCTCCGGCATGAAGAAGACCATCACCATAAACACGGCCCAGCCATAGATAACCATAAACCACTGTGTACTGCGCCAGCTCCAACGCATGGTGAGCGCCCCGCCGATGATGGGGGCAAACATGGGCCCCAGCATGGGACCAAGCATGAATGCGCCCATGGCCTTCCCTCGATCTTGCACTTCAAACATGTCGGAAATGGTACCGGCGCTGACGGCTTGAAGGGACGCACTGGATGCACTTCCAAGGAGTCGCATGGCGATAAACATACCGATGTTGGGGCTGATAGCAGCTAGAATGCTGAAAATCCCAAGGAAGAAGAAGGACAATAGGTATACCAGTCGACGACCATGGAGCTCGGCCAGGTATGACCACCACAAGGGTGTGATGGCGACAGCGAGTGAGCCAAACGCGATAGACAAGTTCACCACCGAGACGGTAGTATGCATATCCTCGGCGATCTCTATCAGGCAGGCTGTTTGGAATTCAGGATATCAGCTTCTTGTTCTGACTAAGGAAGGAGAAACGACTTACGGAACAAAACGCCACTACTCAGCGGAACTACCAATCCTCCCATCGCCACAATAAAGGTCAAACCCCATTTCATCCCCGAGGTATAACTTCTGGGATCCTGCAAGGCTGAGACAAAACATAACCACGGGAGAAATCCTCTGCGCGCGCATTCTAAACCATGAGGATCAATTTTTTCTCTAGTTCCGAGTTCTGCCTTGGTATTGTCCTGCGTGGGTTTCTCGGGCGAGTCTGTTCGCTCAGACTGAGGTGTGTTTTCTTTTCTTGTTGAGGATTGCATCGTGCCAAATTCTGGAGACTCGAATATATCGTTTGTATACCTTAGGAAAATTTTGGTTGCTTTTGATGGTGAGTGCTCCTATCATCATCTAACTAGGCAATATATATTCAAAAATATCTATCTATACCTTGAATACTCAAACCATAGGACCCACCTCGGCCGAGGGTGGGCCTCGTACGAGGCCCGCTCACCTCATCTAATCAAATCAGAAGTAAGCTTGCAAACCTTGATTGAGATTAGCACACGCAGTACCATGGAAACTTGACTAAAATTATACGGTTGAGCCAACTGATAGCTCGTACGAGAAGTGTATAGTGATAGCACAAAAGGCATGAAAGTATTGCCTGGAAATAAAAATCCCGAGATTGTTGTCCGACAGTTCCCCCGCGTTTGTTAAAATGAGCGACAGGAGGTGGTGATGAAGACCTCTCCTTCTCTCTTTTCTGTCCCAATGGTTGTCCCACTTGATTTGATCTGACGTTGTGGTCATACCACAGGTGACACTTCGACGCAATGAGTCGTTCTTATAAAATTCCAACCGCTTTTTTTCTACCCATATCCCACACCAGATGCCTGAGTATAATTAAGCGACCAAGAAGCACACCAACCTTCTCACCAAGCCCAGCAATCGATCACTATGACAATTCATCAAGCCCCATCGGATCCATACTATCCAAGTCTGCAAAATCAAAATCCTCCAGATTCACCATTCCCATGAAATCCGCCGTATCAAGACCCATTCCTGCCGAGCCTGGAGGAGCAGCAGCAGCAAAAGATTCCATCAGCGTACCATGATCATTCTCAGATAGACCAGTCCCGGTAGGCTGGTTGTCACCGATACCAGTACCGAGACCCTGCTGGAATCGAATACGATTCACCAACCAAATGATTGCGGGCCATGCACCGGCAGTATGCTGACCCCGAAGATCGTAGATGGTATTCGCTAATTGGAGGCCTCGCTGGCGGAGATCGGCCCATTCCGGGGATTGGAAGCCGGCACTGCGGAGTTCGGAGAGAACATAGAGGATCAGGTAGAAGCCGGCGTGGGAGGATATATGCCATTGGAAGGGTTCACAGGCCGTGCTGGATGCGATGGTACACCAGTTCTCTACGGCTGTGGCGGCGTCCACGAATAAACTTGATGTTTGATCCTGTCAGCACACCCATATTTATTTTGCCTTTTGGATGGATGGCTGGGGGTACAGGGGGTCACGGGTGACTAACTTTCTTCTCATAGCGGGACTGATAACCTTCTCGCGGTCTTGTCGAGGGATTTGAATCCAGAACATTACCCAGAATTTGGATTTCAAGTGGTTTCTCAAATCCAAGGCCATTGATTGCATACTCAATCTCTTATCACAATATTGAACGAGATCGTCAAGATGCTTCTCAAAATCGCTGGCGAGAGTCTCGGCTGTGTTTACCAAGCCTTTGAGCTCCGTTAATGCTTCAGTCTCGCTCAGAGGACTGCGGGGGCTGGTGCGCAATCGCTTTCGTGAACCATGCGTCACCTGGATTAACCGCCCGTAATATTGGACCGCGGTGATCCGCAGTAGATAGATGGTGATATCGGTGAATTTAGGAGCATCTGAGAGTCCAGCTGGGGGTTCCACCCCTTCGATCAGGTCAACATCATCCAGGCTGAGGGGTCGACGCGTATCAAAGTCCGACTCATGAATTGAAGGCGCAAACCCATGATCCTCTGCCGCCCGGAAATCCAAGTAGCAGATTTGCGCCCATAGGCGACGACGCAATTCCACCTGTATGACGTCAAGTGTCCCCAGCGGCAGAGCTGAAGGGTCCCGGTGGAGTCCATGGACAGTCGCCATCCGAATAGCCAGCCCGGTCAACGGCCATACCTTCCCCATATCATCTTCCCGGTACTGTGCCGTCTTTGTAGTGTAAATATATTTAGCTCACTACTGAGAACTGTATTCTCTCTCTCTGAACTTACCAGAAAAATCACAAATGCTTGCAATACCTCAAAATTCTTCGAAGTCATAAACGTCTGTCGTTTCAAATGCACTTCCGTTCCCGTTCGGTATCGATTCATGAGGGAGGACTTGTCCCTGTCGAACATGGAGGCCACTACGGTATCCTTCATACTGTTGACGGCCGCGTAGAATATGGACATGACTAGCGGCTCGAATGCGTCCATAGTTTCCGAAGTGGAAATCATACTGCTACCGCTCTCCGTCATAATAGGGATTTGATGGTTATCCAGAAGGTAACGGGTGCGGACGAATTCATCGAAGCGACGTGCAAAACTTGGACGATGGATAATTCGGTGAATTGGGTCGACATTGGTCATGAAGACATTAAGGAGTAAATAGCAATCCTCTCTTGTATCGGGCCAGAAAGTAGCCCCACTAACTACAGGGAAATTGGCGTCCCAGACGACATCTTCGAGCGCCTGTTCAGGTGAAGAATCCTGGAATTCCGCAAGAACTGATTGGATTCCCTGGAGCTAGAAGCGTAGAGGAGACTTGGTTAGTATGTATCTACCTTGGCATGAGCGCAAGGACAATTATGAGCGCACCTCTGCTGCCATCCAGGCCCAATGTTTACCAGAAACAAAGTGGGGAACTCCATTATCGAGAATCAGTGCGTCTTCTTGCGATCGCGACTGTGGGGCTGACGCATTATTGGGGGCGGGCGTCGATTGTGTAGGTGTGGATGACTCTCGCGACGAGGGACTATGCGCCGACGCCTCATATGCTTTTGCTTGCGCCATGAAGTTACCAAGACGTTGAAGACTAGGATGAATTCGGGCCAGCGTGGCTGGAGAGATCTTGGGCGCATTGCTGCGTTTGGTGATTCGGTTCGACTCTGAGGCCGGCCCTGACGACTGAGGCTTCGACACGTAAGAACAGACATGGTCACCCTTCTCACACACCAAACATAGCGGTTGTCGACGGTCACATTTGACTTTGCGACTACGACACGGCAGACATGAGGTAATGGGACGAGCGAAGGTCCGAGACGAAATGATTTCCGCAGGATGTGACTGTGTGGAGGGGGAGGCATGCATGGCGAAAGAGACGGGGAAGAAAGATAAGAAATGCGCCGCAAACTACTAAAATCCGCACGCTACTAGCAGCAGCTAAAGCTGGAATTGGACTGGTAATCTCCAGAAATAGATAGCCTGGAAAGTGGAAAATGCCCTGGAGCACTGACCCCTAAGCCTCCTCCCGCTCCCTCTGTGTCACTCTGGATCGCCTTGGAGTAAACCTGACCTGATTCAAGTTGGAGCAAAAAAAACAAAAAAACATACAACAGTGAGGATTCGCTGGTGGTCACCCACCCAACTACTAACTCACCGGCGTGTGGCTTAAGTACGGCTGAGCGGACGGGAAGCCCTGTTTTCCACACCCTATGGTCGTATGTATTTGGTTTGGTATGTAAGAGAAAGATATCTTGTATATAGCTGAGTAGAGAAGGGAGAAAATAAATTTGGTTTCCCAGTAATCATTGGAATACTTCGTCGAATTCTTCTAAAACGATTTCGCGCAACTCTATAAGTGGGCCTTGAAACTTCACAAAATTGTTCTCCTTAATTCTGAGATTCTTTTCCCCTTTGTCCTTGTTATATTTAACGTGAGGCGGAACACAGGCAGAAGCCTGTGTCCCTGTAACCTGGGGTATGTGGATGTGCCAAGCTATGAAATTATGTACAGATTGTGCATAACAGGCAATTCTAACTAAGAGAAAAGTTCTCGTGATTTCAATCTCGCACAAGTCAGTCAAGTCAGTTATGCAGAAGAAATCAACATTCAACCTGGTAATGCAACCCCTTGATGTTTACCCCTGAAATCTGTCTTGTTCCATCACACACTTTGCGCACATAAACCACAGAACGTAGCCAGTATTTTTAGGTGATCTGGATATCGAAATAGAGTCGAGTCTTCAGCAGGAAGACCAATATTATGAGGGAAGTAAATTCCACTAGTTTTGGCAGTCGGTGTAACATGTTAGTGCCCACTCTAACAAAGGGTCACGACAAGGGTAATCACGGGCTAACTGAAGGTTCTAGGGCGCCGAAGGCACAATCTAGGGTTGAGTGAAGGGGAGAAAGATAAAGGGAAAAAACTTTTATCTTGCCCATGAAATGGGCAGGAATGAATCTAGTATGCTATTTCATTAGTATGCTATTCTATTATGATTACCCCAGTCAAGCCTTTTGAAGAGTTGTATGCAGTGCCCGAGGAGATATGCTCTCCACATTACCGTTCTGATCCAGGTTGAACACAAACTCGTCAATGCCCACATTACCATACACATGTGAGTCGACGGTCACCCATGTAAAGCAGGACGAAGTAAAGGGCCCGATTCCAGATGGCAGAGCCGGTGGAACCACAGCCCTGAAGGAGATCCGCCCTGGACTCTCAAGGCCGGTAGGGTACAGGCGAATGCTGAGCTGCGAGGGGTCACTCATGCCATTTAGGGCCATGAATGCATGGAACATGTTGGAGGAGTTGTTGATCCAGTTCGTGACAACCAATCCAGGCCCATTGTCTGTAGTAATGGTGATTGAGGAGTTGCTAGTGCCCAGAGAATATGTTCCCGCGAAGCGCTCGTGTGCTTGGTTTTTGGCGCTTTGTTCGAGAGCAGGGATCAAAATTGCTGAAATGAGATCCGAGGCTAGGGCAACCGAGGAATGACTGTTGTTACCGGCACTGAGGATTGTGAAGCCGACGCCGTGGTCTACAGACAAAGCGAGCCCCGACGAGTATACGCCAATGTCTCCTGATTTGGTGTAGAGGTCTATTGGACGCTGCTTGCCAACTGACAAGATCTCCCATGGAGCGCCGACGTCATAACCTAGGGATGCCGTATGAGCTGCGGGCTTCATCCAGCGTCTTGTGATGGCTGGAGGGACAAGAGTGCTGTTGAGAATAGCCCGGCCGAAGGTGGCCATGTCCTTTGCAGATGAGTAGATTCCTCCAGCACTAGAGATGTATCAGTTTTGTGACTAATATGAATCACGGTCAAGATACTCACGGGCTCTCGTCACCCATTGCAAAATCCCAAAATTGCTGGCCCCCTGAACTAGGAACGACACCCAACGAGATATCGGGTGTATTATAAAAGGTTCGGCTGAGATTCAGGGGCTTCAGAAGATCATATGCAAGAACATTCTGGAAATCTTTACTAGTCATCGCCTCTAAAGCATATCCAAGAATCTGGAACGCGGCATTGGAGTAGACCGGCGTTGATGATGTGGGGAAAATAGGGCGACTCTGCACCAGCCCCTTGAAAAATTCTAATATAAAGCATCATATTAATAAGGGTTAACCAAGGTAGGGATGTTTTCGGCGAACATACGCTTCCTGTTACATGGATTAGGCGCACCGCAGGTTGGAACTTGGGATTCCGGCAACGCAGGGAATCCCAATCGTTCGACCATCGGAGCTTGCTCCGTAAGGTCAAGGACAGCATCTAGGGATTCTGTCAGTTGCACTGTTCATAGGGCGTCACCGCAAGGGAATCCTCACAAGGGACAACTAGGATCACTCACAGCTTCTCGCGATGCCTGCCATATGACTAGCCAGTTCCCCAATGGTCACTTCATTCCACTTAGTAAAGTCAATTCCATCATCCCATTTCGTGGAATTCCCGAAAAGGTCATTCGCGGCCTGGTTCAACTCGGGAATGTATTGTGAAATTGGATCCTGCAGGGGAGAACCCATTTTCTATCAGGAGCAGGAGTATAGTAAAGACCTTGGATGTGCTACCGATGCGGAATATAGTGTTCTCGTCGACCTGGCTCACACCAATGGTGGTGTCGATCTCGGCGGCAGTGTGTGACAGGGTAAGCAGTGCATCAGGGTCATTTGCATCGAAGATTTGCAAGGAAATTGAATTTGATGACAGATTTCCAGCACTGATAGCTTGCTGGATTGTTGTGGTAATATTTTGGAGAGCCGATCTGAAAGTCGGGTCGGTGGATAATCCTGTAGGAACAGGCCAGCTCGGGCCCCGGAGAGGACAAAATTTAATGGAATTGGCAATCGAAGCAGTACAGAGAACCAGCAACAGTGAAAACCACTTCATGGTAAATGAAGTTTTGATGAACAGTGATGCTCAAAGAGAGAGGATGGTTACTCCGGTCCTATGGCGATCCGACGTGAAAACGGTGATTAAAGTATTAATTAAATCGCACATGTGGAGGCCCACATTAACGAGGACTATATAAGTAGTTAGAAGGCCACGGACTGCAAATAAGAAGCATACCGGCAGGGTTAGGGTCCCCCCATGAAGGGCGGAAGGCATACATTCCACTTCGGTTTGTGATGATCAATCGTCGGAATGTGCCCCGTCGCCCATCTCTCCCAAACTCAATTGCACCGGTGATGATCTAACTTTGTCCTGTTAAGCGCATCTTGAGTGTAGCTCAGGATCTACTACTCCCGACGATGTAACGGGCCAAGAAGCGATGACTTTGAATACGCAAGGAACACTGCCTACCGCATCACTAGGTTTACTCAAGCCAATGATTCGTATGTTTGAGTGTTACCTTCCCCTTATGCTTCTGCGCCTGGTAGGTCTGATCTCGGGGGTATTGCCTGACCATAGCCGAACTAATGGAGAGTAATCCGGTGTTTACATTCAACCATATTAATTGAATTGGAGGGTGTATGCCAGCTTCGCCTAGTGACCATCTGGGGGCATGAACTGGCTCGCGGAATTGAAACAATGCAAATTAATACATGTGGGTGAGATGGCAAAAAGACCTCCGCACTATGTTCGTGAGACGTTGACACCACTCACCACAACTCTCGCCAGCATGCTTACCAACGCACATCTCTCTTTATGCCCCATTGGCAGCTGTCGCATTCTATTGCGTCGCGGGGACTATCGGACCGCAAAAGATGAAGGTAAGAGAGCTGAGAATACGGCACTAGATAATGAAGGTTCAGTCTTGAATTTTACGATTCTAGCCATTGATTTGCATCTATCTAGGGTTCTTTCTATGTATTCAATTATGATCCTTTAGAAGACGAAACAGATGAAGATGTTGCGCATGTCTTTGCTTCTTCGAACACTCTTGGAATACTCGAATACTAGTCCATAACACCATGAAGAGGTACCTGCACATCGCTAGAGGTCTTGTTCTCGCAGCACACTCATGCAAAGCACACGTATTAACGCAGAGTTTATCCTGCGGACCACCTTTTTACGGTCGCAGGGCTCATTGGCTGTGAGGGAGGCGCAAGTCCTACATTGATGGTTGAAGGAGCGAATTCAAAAGGAATATAAAAAATAAAAACATACAACAGTGAGGATTCGCTGGTGGTCACCCACCCAACTACTAACTCACCGGCGTGTGGCTTAAGTACGGCTGAGCGGACGGGAAGCCCTGTTTTCCACACCCTATGGTCGTATGTGTTTGATATGAGAGCAAAGAGGACTATATTTGGCAAGCAAGCAGTGAAATCACAGACATAAAAGAATCATCATCGGGATGACTTCGGCTGATCCACCATATAAGACTAGTGAATTTTGTGGCGATAGATGATTCCTTGCAAGTTTTGCTCTTCAGATTGGTTTGGAAGGATTTCAGCCTGCAAAAGGAGTATTCCTTGGCTATATAACAGGCCCCCTTCCGAAGTCGAAAGGGTCTTATAATTATTAGAGACCTCGGATGTGGCTGGCATTTCAGCCCGTTGGGCTTTCAGAGACAAGGAATCTCATTAGGAATGAAGACATTTATATATCGAACGTCTATCGTTATACTGCGAGACGGTCAAGCGTATCGCTTCGTTAGAGTGGGCTCCACGGTGCCCGATGACGTGAAGCTGCAGTGTCCCTTTCCCGGTTCATCCCCTTCGGAGTTGATCGACTCGACCGGTAGGCTAGTGGTCTGACCCCACTTCAATTTTCCCCGGATTGCAGCATCTAGGTTCTCATGGGTGGGTGGATGGCAGGCGGCACTGATGGCAGCAGAACAAGATGCCGCCAATGGGGCGTTTGACTTGAGTCGCCTGAGTCTCAATATACACAGTGTAAGCATCATAACAACCCCGACTAAGGTCGAAAAGAGGATGAAAGTAGAGGAGTAGCCTAGACTACTGGTACTCCATAATTTTTGGTCCAGCGCTGTGTATGTAACTATCTCCAGATAGAAGATAGATTGGGAAATTGTCCAGTGGAGGGTCATGTATAGGAGAAGAACAGGCACGCTGTAGCGGTACGGAATGCTGAGCCAATATGTCGATCGCTGTTGGCTACTCTTGATAGGCCAAGTGACACGGAGCGCCTTGCGTTCGATTCCGTAGGAGCTATACTCAGCAGCAGCTACCATACTGGTCAGTACCGCGTTGTAGCAGTAGTAGCATATTGTAACCGCAAGCTGCGGTATGTTGGCAAATACCACAGATTGTAGCATGCCTTTAACACCAACAACATGGAAGGTGTAATAGTCGCTTTCATCCACATCTGATGAGAAAAGATTCTTGAACTGGCTTGTAGAAATCCATTGCCCATCGCTGTCCACCAAACAGACAAAAAACATCACGATTCCGGTGATCAGGGTTAGAAAACATCTAATGTGAGTATTAGCAAACTTTGCCTTGGGAGTCAATAATCAAAAATCTGTGTGAATGAATGTGAGACATACGAAGATAGAGTTGCGATCCATCTCCATCGAGTTACTGCTCGCGACCAGGATCCCGGTTTTGAGAGCGATCTGTAAACCGGAGCGGAAGCTTCGCGAGTTCTAGTCCAGGCCCCTTCGCGAACATGTGTGCTTGACAGCCAGCAGAGATTGTTTGTGGTTGGATCAGGCCTCAAGATGAACGATGAGATGGCATCTCCAATAGTCAGAAGGGGCGGTGATCGGTTGCGACCTACCCGAGCGGCCAGAAACATGGCAACTACCTTTGCAAATGCAGCAAGCGCAATTGCAATGCATATAGGTGGGCTATATAGCAACTGACAGTGTTCCCCAACCTTCATCACCAGGCACTCATTGACCGTGTAATTTTGTCCAACAGAGTGGTCAAAGCCATACTCCGGACTGAAGGGTGAGCCATCTATGCACTCTATAGAATCCTCAATCTCCGCATTTTTAAAGGCAAATGGACTAGCATACACAGTGTTGCCCACGAAGAGTGGACTAGAGCTTGCGGTCAAAACCGATGCATTGCCCCCATCACCCACGGTTAAATCATCGGTAAGCAAAGCCAGTGCTTTTATCCCCGAGTGTGGGGAACCGAAAGAAGAACACTTGTCAGATTTGTGTGGCTCGTAATTGTCACTTGCAAATTCAGAAGCAACTTCATTCCAAGTGAGACTTCGTAGGGTATTGGAACGGTATTCCGGAGCAAAGCATTTCTCGAGAGCTGGAGTGCCCAGAGAATGTACGTTGGACGAATTCATATCTTTCGGTGCGACAAAAACTCTAAAATCGTGGTTGGAGAACGATTCGAAGACCATGGAGTTATACCTATCGGGGCCTAATCAGCGATAGTCAGGGGTAACCGTTATTTCTATACTTACATCAAGTGAAAAGGGGATGCCGTCAGCATCAATATAATCCATAGCCCAAGTCGGCCTCTCCCGATTGCTAGAAGGTTCCTTATACTGGCACCTCCGATATCTAGCCACTGGCCACGCGCATGAGCCGCGTCTACCTCTTCTCGTGTTGGAGCGACCAGTGTTTGCATGCAGTAGTTGCTGGCAGCGAGAATGAGTGTGCTTAGAATGTTAATAATCAGATGCAATCCAAGGGACCATCGTTTGACGATACCGCAATCGCCGTCATAAATGACTGCGGAGTCTCCCCAAGCGCTATTACCATTATATCGCGTTGATATTCCGGCTGCAACGATTATGAAGATCAGGTTTATGACCAAGATACAGGCTCCCGCTGCAGCACAATAACGCACTCCAACAATCCAGGTGTTTTGCATTGGGGATGTTGTTGAGTCACCATCCTCCATGACCTCTGTTGTTGTCTGCCTACCATCAGTTTGATGGATCAGGGTATGGGTCTCCTCGATGGATTCCGGACTTGATCTGAGGAAGGAAGCCCGCGGCTTTTGTATTTTCGACGAGAAGGATGTGAGGGCAAAGGTTGAGGGCTGCATCTCCAGTGCGGTGGGCTCATCGTGGTCCCGTCGTCCATCACTTGGGACTCCACTGTATTGCTGGCGGCCAAACATGGATTGGACGTGACTCCAGAGACTATGAGTTTTGCCGCGATTCATGTTTCCTTGGGCACCAGTGTGCGTCCAGACCGAGTCCTTGGCAAAATTTGCTGATTGAGAGAATTTCAAGTACTTCAGAAAAGTAGAATATGCCAATTATTTAAGCACAAGGCTGATTTTCAGCCGCATTGGGCCCTGCCTGCTAATAACTATTTTAAATTGATTTCGCCCCCACACGGCCCCAAATCACAAGTATATAGGGGGTGCACGGTTACGGGCGGCGACAGGGGGCACAGCGGGTTGAAATACCCATGGCAATTGAGGGGACGTGGTAGCTTAGATTGGCCTATGATCGTACGTGCTGGGTTCTCTAGTGAAGAGAGTTGTATTCTGCGAGTACGGAATACAAAAATTAAAAACGGGCACAATCACCCTTGTACAACTAATCGTGCCAAGCGCCCAACACACACACCCTGTGTTGGAGCGCCCCACTAGATGCAAATTACCCACAAGATGCAAAATTTTACTCTTTTTATCATCATTTCATACATTTTTATACCACACCATGATGTCAGATCAAAAAAAACAAACGGAGGAGCGAATCCAGGCAGCACTTGAAGCCTTCCACGCAATAAATAAGCCTAATATCGCTAAATTAGCGCGGGAATTCGATATTCCGTATCATCAGCTACGCGGTCGGACTCGAGGTCGTCAGTCTAATTCCGACCGCGCCAAACCAACGAAGACCCTAAATCCAATTCAAGAAAAGGCATTGATTACTTGGGTCGAATCCCTAGATAATTCATATACTTCCCCTACCCCAGAACTAGTGGGAAAGTCCGCTAATCGTCTTCTAAAAAACGCGGGTTCGGACTAAGTTGTTGGTCATAACTAGGCGTACCGCTTCCTCTAAAGGCTGCCCCCTCGGCTCAAATATCTTATCCGAAAACCTAAGGAAAAAGTAAGGATTGATAGCGAGGACTTTAGCTCTTTATTCCTTTATTATAATAACCTATACCGGGTTATAGAAGAGCACCAATTCCTACCTCACGAGATCTACAATTAGGATGAAACCGGCTATCGAATCGGCCAAGGAAAGCCACGTAACGTTATTACGTCTCATATAACAAATAATATCGCTACCGGTGGTCAATTAGAGTCGATTACGGGCATTCAATATATTACTGCTAATAGTTAGGTTATACTACTATGGTTTCTACCAAAGGGTAGTCTATATATAGCGGAGTGGTAAGAAAATATTACTACGCCTGATTTTCGAATTAAGCCTACACCTAGTGGTTATACGGACGATAAAACAGCTCTCTAATAGCTTTTCTCCTTCCACAAAGCTACAATTTCTCGGGTGCAAAAGGGGAGGCCTCGGCTTCTTTTAATAGATAATCATAGATCCTATACAACTATCGAATTCACCCAATTTTGTACCGCCAAAAATATTATCCCAGCATATTTCTTACCCTATACAACACATATATGTCAACCGCTCGATAGTGAAGCTTTCCAATACTTAAAGCATTACTTTCGTACGATAAATAACGAGGTTATTATATAGGGTGGAAGTGCTAGTAAAAAGCGAGATTTCTTCCGGATTATCGAAGGGGTTCGGCAGCAAGCTTTTACCCAAAGAACTATCAGATCCTCTTTCAAATCTACGGGTATCTATCCGCTTGATCCGGAGGTTATTCTTAGTCCTTTACGTTAAAAAGCCCTTAAATCAGAAGGGTCCCCCCTTAGGATTTTCACACCGTCACCCCCTCCGGATATCCCAAGCTCAGTCACTAACTCCCCGCCAGATACAATTCAGCGGGTTAATAAGCTTAATCTTAAGCTTCTTAATAACGTTAAGAAGCTAGAGAACCTATCTCAGGATTTCAAAAGGCATATTCGACGAAGTATACAAGCAAATACCTTTTTGTCCCAACAGCTTGATCTAGTGAAGGAGAGTCTTAAGACCTCTCAATTCCACAAATCAGCTGCAAATCAGCCAAAAAAATGGGAAATCGCTTTTTAGGACTAGGGGCTCGGCTCTATCTCCTATATGCGTAAATAGGATAATGGTAAAAAGGTAGGATACTAAGGCTAAGAAGTTGATTCGTCTACAAGCAAGGTAGGCTAAGGACTTAGAAGCTCAATCGTAGGCCTAATTAGCTAGAAATTTAGCTAAAGCTAAGCATGAAGCTTCAATGGTAGCAAGAGATAGTAGTGGTGGAAATTGGTATATAGATACTACTGGGGGTTACCTGTAAATAGCATTTTTCATAGGTTGATAATTTGAATTTTGCATCTTGTGGGTAATTTGCATCTAGTGCGGCGCACTAACATAGGGTGTGTGTGTTGGGCGCTTAGCAAGATTACTCTGGGCCTTTCTGTATAGCATAATATAATTGGGTTCCACCAAGCCCTTAGGATATGTCAACGAATCACAATAAACCAGATCCTCTTTTCCTTATGAATTGCTATGACTTCTTTGAATTTGCTCGGATTCTTCCGAGAGAGAGAGGGGGGTATCTTCTTATTGAAGAATCTCTGACCTCGGGACAGGTAGAATGTCCAGACAGCTCAAGAAATTCGGATTGTCCCGACTTCTGTTATCGACAGCTTTCTCTAGACTAATGAATACTGACCTGGCCATCGTAACTAAGATAGCAGCACTGCAGATAACATGTCAATACTGGTATATCAAAGCTCCAGGCGTTACCCCTAACGTGACCAATGACATTTGATCTACCATTTACCCCTCAATCCTCTTTTTTTTCACTCGAGGTCCGTATAATCTGTATAGCTACATTACTGATAGATTGTCGTGCCTAAGAGGGTTCAGTCTTATCCCCATCTTGTTCTTACAACTACGAAGTGCGGATGTTGATAGGTGTTCCCCACATTTCCCATCAAGGGTCGAAATGCACACAGCTCGGGCAATACGGAACTTGGTCTAATTGAGATTGTCCAATTTGTGACCAACATGGGGAATTTCAACCGGCAAATCGGGAGGAACCGAGCATTATGGGCGGGGGCCACCCCTCTGATAATATATCGGGAGAATCCGAAGTCCAATGAGTAGGTGGTAGCGCAAGAAATATGATGCACACAATCAGAAACCCAAAAGATTACACATGATACCCGATAGGTTTTAAAAACATACAAGTGCAATTTGGAATCTGAAAACTGATTCGACTTCAGCTCAAAGTACCAGAGAAATGGCCTAGACAGGACCACCATGCAAAAAAGGCCCCATTGTCATTGTGGGGGCCGGAATATTTGGCCTCAGTACCGCACTCCATCTTTGCAGACGTGGTTACAATGATGTGACCGTCCTTGACAAACAACCCTACGATGAAACTTTGCACTCATACATCAAGGGCGCAGATGCCGCTTCTGCCGACATCAACAAAATCGTTCGATCAGCTTACGGATCCCAAACGGAATATCAAAATTTATCTACCGAAGCGATTGCTGAATGGCATACCTGGAATAACGAGCTCCAACGGGGCACTCTAGTACCCCCTGGAATGTCTATCAAGGATGCAGTCTTTGTGCCCAATGGCAACATTTCTCTATCTATATCCGCTGTGCTGCCAGCATGGGAGCTTGCCTGTATTGATGGAATGGAGAAAGCCGGAAATAAGGACACTCAACTAGCTACGAGGATTCCTCGCCACGTGGAGATTGCAGTGCAGAAAGGACTTCAGTCATTCGTGGACCCGTTTCAAAGAGAAAGACGTGGAGAGCACAACACCGGCGTGTTGGATACCACAGGTGGCATGGCTGTTGCAGATAAGGCTTGCCGGTTTGCGTTGCATAAGGCGCGAAACCTGGGAGCGAAATTCATTTTCGGGAAAGAGGCTGGATATATGAAGGAGCTATGCTATGAAGATTCGAAGGTGATTGGGGTTAAAACTCGGGATGGGAAATCACATGCAGCAGAGTTGACTGTTCTGGCATGTGGTGGGTGGACACCCGTGTTACTACCCGAGCTTGACGGCCTGTGTGAGGCCATTGCCGGGAGTGTGATACTTTTCAAGATTCCTCGGCAGTCGCCTCTATGGGAACGACTAGGTGCAGACCGATCTCCGACCTGGATGTGAAATATGCGGAGTGAAGCTGAAGGTGGTTTGTATGGATTCCCGAGGGATGAAAATCGTTGGTTCAAGGTTGGATATCGAGGAACGAAGTACACCAACCCGCTGCGTCAGGGAGATGGCAATGAGCGAAGCACACCGGTGACGCGGTGGTCAGCTGCTGAACAAGATGGGAATATCTCTACTGGGGAAGATTTTACTTCTTTCCCACAACAAGCGCATCAGGTTCTCATAGAATTTCTGAATGAGTACCTTGCAGGGTTATCTGAAGAAGGGATCGACATCGCCCTGACCAGGGTTTGCTGGTACACAGATACGTTTGACAACCACTATTTTGTTGACCGTGTGCCCAATAGGCAAGGGCTGATGGTCGCAACAGGTGGCAGCGGTCACGCCTTCAAATACCTTCCAAACATTGGGAATTGGATTGTCGATATAATGGAGGGCGTTGGCATGGATCGATCGGCGGTTCAAGCATGGAAGTGGAGATTTGTCGGTGGACCAACCAACGATCTCATGGAAGGTATTGGTGATTCAAGAGCTCTCCAAAATATATGTCTCCTCAAAGAAGTGAGCTTGCAGAATAAAGCAAAGGCCAAGCTATAGTCATTACATGTTCAAAATTTATTCCCATATCAGCAAACAATGATGGAAATATCCACTGTATTGCTCATGACTCCGGAGCAGTAGTAACTAACCGGCATTTTATTTTTTGTATCAAAAATAAAGGGCCGGTTATTGCTTCGTGGGATATTAATGGCTGCATCCTCTTCCAGTATACCCAAGAACTTGATCCAAACTCTGGGTCTGCACATGGGACTTTATTTCGGATTGATCTTTATTACTAGGCTCAAAATGATAGATCGGAAGTTCAATCTGGCATCCTTCCGTGGTCTCTTGAAGTCACATGGTGTATGAATAGATATCAATAATAGAATCATATCTAGATCTACTACTAGGTAGCATCAAGCTGTGCTAATACCTCCCATTACCCCGATATTTCCCCAACTTCAGGGAGCTTATGCTTTGATATTCACCGGCGAGTTGGCCTTCCCTTTCTTAAAGAACGCGCGAATATTCTCAAAGCATTCCCTTTCGGCCTTTTGGAACGCTTTCTCGGTCAGACCACCCAAATGGGGCTGCAAGATGACTTTATCACTTTGTAGGAAGTAGGAATTTGGGCTCGGCTCGTTCACAAACACATCAAGTCCAGCACGCTGTACCTTACCTGACTCAAGTGCCGCAATGAGAGCCTCCTCGTCAATCACCGCTCCTCTGGCCGTATTAACGAGGAATACACCGTCTTTCATGGCAGAGAACTCGGCTTCGCCGATTAGGTTCGTGGTTGCCGCATTCAGAGGGCAATTCAGGGAGACGACATCTGATTCGCGAAGAAGTTCATGCAGAGACGGGCAATATGTTGCCCCGTAGGCCGTTTCTTCAAAAGCCGGCAGTTGACGTCGATTGTAGTACTTGATCTTCATGTTGAAGACAGCGGCTTTCTTAGCAAGATGCTGAGAAGAGACAATCAGCAGCGCCTCGAGTAAAAGGCCTTCAGACTTCGATTTACCTTTCCAATAGCCCCCATACCAACGATACCAAGAGTCAATCCCGAAGGATCACAAGTAGGAACCAAGTTCGCGCCTTTTCTCCACATGCCGCTCCGTGTACTCTGCTCGGCATTGGTGGTGTTCCTCAGAACAGCAAGTATCAGAAATATAGCCATGTCTGCCGTAGCCTCAGCGACGGCATTCACGGTGTTGCAAAATACAATTTCCTCACTGGCCATCCAATCCACATCAAACTCATTGTATCCTGCACTAGCGGATGTGATAATCTTGCACCCCGGTGCTAGTGCTCGAAGCAGATCCTCATCGAATGGCTCGTATGGTGGCGTCCCCATACGAACGATAAACGCGTCTATTGGCCCATTTCCCTTGATGTCGTTGGGTAGCAATGTCTGGGTTTCCTCGCGGTTTGTTGCAGGTAGAACGGAGTAGTCAAACTCAGTTTTGAATTGAGCAAGGTATTCACTGCCGACAAATGCAGGCTCCCCGAGGGAAACAACGCGTGGCTTTCGTCCGATAGTCATGATTGTTTTGAAAAAATAAAAGTGAAGACCTAAACAAAGTCCTAGAACGTTGCAGAATTAATTGAACGAAAGCTGAAAAAAAGAAAGCGATTTCGAACATTTTGTAAGCTTGACCCCGCGTGGTTCACATAACCATCGCGTGCGTTAGAGTGGGATGGCAAATGCCATTCGGGATCTTCCGAGACTGTACTGAGCGGAAAGTTCCGACCAGCCTCGCTCTACAGTCTTTATAAAATCTTGAAGAGATTTTGATTTTAAGTGTTATTATTTTATTACTCATTATTTCATGGCCACACAGCCGGCAGAATGCTCGAATTCCAACCTACGAAATCATCACTTTGGACCTGATGCCAAAGGACCAAGTTTAGCGATATCAGAAAACATGGCTATCAATGATGACCGGCCTCCCTTGGGCTTCATATCTATTGATATCACTTTACACAGGCCGTCGGAGGATCCTTTCAATACAAATACCTGGCCATTTCCCTTAATCCGAGAGAAAGTCGATGGCTCATCCGAGACGCAAGTAGTGTGTTCAGGGCCATACGATGACATCTTTATTAATAAATTTGTTGAGGCCGGCGAGAGGTTTGTGAAGCGCGGAGCTGTGGGTATCATCACCAGTTGTGGTTTCCTAGCAATGGCGCAGCCAGAGTGCGTTCACCATTTCTCAAATAATGTCTGTCTAATGCACTAACATTTTAAGACTCGCTGCACGTATCCCCACACCTATTGCCACATCTGCATTGATTCAAATCCCGTCAATATTGGCCGTGCCTCCTGCAATACGGAGTGTCGGCATCCTCACATTTGATGACACGCGACTTGGTCCTCTTCACCTCGCCAAATTGAACATCGCCACTTCCAGGTGTCATATACGGGGGGTCCCAGAAGGTGGTCTGCTGCAAATTCATATTCGTCTTGGCCTTCAATATGTACATGAGGAAACATGTGCGGAAGTAATAGCAGTAGCCCGTAGATTGGTTGCTGAACACCCTGATATCGCAGTCCTCTGCTTAGAATGCAGGCAAATGCCGCCATTTTCCGAGGTCGTTCAATTGGCACTTCAGATGCCAGTCTACGATGTATATACTATGGGATGCTGGTTTTATTCTGGGTTGACTGCCACGAGACAAAACGCCTGGGGCCCTATAATTAAAGATAGGGTTGAAGATAGAAGATAATACAAAGCACATACACTTGACGGCTTCTGTTATATATAAACTCTGGCTTTGAGACTGTTTACAAGTATCAAAAATCAAGCTTTAAAACTTCCTAAAATTAGAGATATCACTATTGTGGGATATCATAGGTATCCATATGCCTTATGCCTGATATAGATCAACCGCATCAAACATGCATGACATGGGACCATGTTTGGCAGTAGTATAAATAGGGTCTCAGAGTCCTATTCCTTCTTGCTTTCTCTTTGGCGTGTGACTTAAGTACGGCTGAGCGGACGGGAAGCCCTGTTTTCCACACCCTATGGTTGTATGTATTAGTTTATGTGTGGGAGGCTATTATAGAGTGCGAATGCATACGGAGTAGTGGTTTCCACACACAATCAATTCGGAGGGCGTTGAGGGCAGGGGAAGCACAAGATGTCAGACGTGTTTATATCCCATGACCTCGTCATGTGCCTGCCAACGCAAGCCTTTCTGATTCAAGGATTTGATTGTTGTGTTTACTTTAACTACTAATCTAGACTAAGACCAACTACTTACACGTCGAGATCCGCTACACTTTTCATGTGTATGACTTTCAGGTCATTGTGGTGCTTTTATGGCCCATATGTTGTAAGAATAAACTCACATTGGTAAGAAGTGGATATTATAACGATGTATCAAGTGGAACTATTCTTGTCAACCTCCACAAATCTACCAATCCATCCAGTAGGTCGAAGATCGCTTTACTAAACATTCATGCCGATTGCCAAGAACACATAGGACAACGGTATGAGAAAAAAGGCTAGTATGATAAGCCTAGCATATGTCAGCACTAATTCCCTCAAAGTAGCTTGATATCATACCTCTTCACTGTTTTTGCCTGCTCGATGAACTTTCTGCTTTCTTTGATTTGAAGAGTTGTTAAAGCTTGTTGTATCTTGCTATTCTTCATATCGAGTAAATGCTGGGTATTGTAGAGAAGATTGCTCATATGCAATCGTATCTTAATATATATCTCCCTCGTGTCATCTAGTGTAGTATAGTCCAAACTGTCGATGGATGACTCTATTCTTGCCGCATGCATATCGACTCTCAACCGCTGCTCTTCTGTGTCCAGTGACGACATGTAGCGAACAATGGCACTTTTCATTCCTTCCTCATCAAGGAGTCCATTAACTGTGTGGTTTTCCTCGTCAGAGTCCTGTGGATCTTCGTTGCGCTGTGTACCTCCATGGGATAAACTTTGAAGCCTGAGATCTTCGAGCTGGTCTTGCAATGTCTGCAGGCGATCAAACCATGCATTCAGAGCATAAGACCGTACAATTTGGATAATATCCGTCACTTCTTTGCGAGTACCAGATTCATTCTCGAGAAGAAGATCATTGGCGAAGATTTCAACGTCTTGAGGCATAGTCCGTCGCGATGCCGTATATTTCATAGTAGATTCATGATCCTTTTGATCCAGATTCAGACAAAATTCCTTGAATGATTTGATATTTTCTTTCTTGGCCAGAGGCTCAAGAAAGACATGAGGATCGTTGTCTGCATTGTCCCCATCAAGATCCGGACAGGGTGGAAATAGAACCAAGACTACCAGAATTAGTAAATTATCCGCTTTCTATGATATGGTAAACACAGAGTCATTCATACCTTGTTCAATACCGGGGTTTAGGCTGTCTTCTATCACATGAATGGTAATGCGCTGTAGAATGTCCAGGCCATTTTGTGAATATCGTTCCCCTTGGTCGCAAAACATGCTATCGTCCACAAATCTCTTCCGAGCAATGCGACGATTCAACACTGGGCTCTGTAACGCCAACGCCCTTGCCCGTAGATTTCTTCCAGTAGGCTTTGTTCTGTCGTCCTCGGATTGATATCCTTGCACATATATTGTTCGCGGCACATCCACAGAAAATGTGATAGGTTGACCTTGATGACGGTAGATGGACTTCATAATTGAGTCACGGGTTGTGAGATCTTTTGCATGCTCCACATTGGCAATTGAAAGTCTCCCTAGGTGGCATTTGAGAATTTGTAGGTTTTTCTCAAACTCAAAGGTGCCCACAGATGAAGGGATATGATCAATCTTTGTGTTGCAGAGCTTACCAATACCTGTGCTCTTTTCAATATCCTTGAATGATGTCCCGATATGGTGACTGAAGACATTAGGGTCCAATGAAAGCCCACTGCCCAGCGCTTGCATGCTCAAGCAAGTGATATGTTGTGCGCAGATAATACGACAGCGCGGACGATTACTCCGATCGGGATCCGGGTTATAAAGATCGCATTCTAGCTCTCTCATGGATTCAGGGTCTGTTCCATCATAGTCGTAACGTGTAACTTGATCGTTGTCGCCGATATCCATTACAAGCACCGGAGAAGACATAAGAGAAATCTCGGTATGATAGGACAGGCTATGAGGGCTATGTTCTGAAAAACGCCATATCCGGTCGTATCGTGAATATGTCAATAAATGATCATAATCAGGAGAGAGTGTTTGCAAATATTGGTCGTAAATCCCCTCCGGTGTGTTAGGGAGCCATTCTGAAATGACCTCTCCCAACCTTTGCGTAGTGGGATTTCCGGGCTTTGGCCCATTGGAAAATCGGGAATCGTCCATGGAAACGGCGAAGATGCAGACAAAGGCTGAGAATGAGAGGACGCTCTATTTAAACAGAAAACATTGGGCCTTAACGCCCAAAGGTATCACCTACGGACAGCAAATCATGGTGGTAGCACAACAAGGACTCATGCATATTCTAAGAGACGGTGTGTCTCATGAAGTCCTCATATCCAATGATCCGGAGGTCTGGACCAGCTGAGGGGTCAGAGCGGCGGCAATCTCGTTACTTGTTGCATTTCGCCTGACCTTTTCCACCTTGTTGCTGCGAATACCGAACTGATAGCGCTCTGTTTCGATGCCCAATTTATTTATATTGAGCGTGCATCATTATTTTATCCGCAGTTCGTAGGACTTTTCAAGCCTATACACCCCGGGTTATATATATCATTGTTTCCACTTATAGACTTGCAGAGATAGTTCTTCCCCAAGAATTCAACCTATATTTCCACGGCACACCTTCGATTAATTCTTCTTCGACTATAGGTATAAGGTTCTAATATTTCTCCAGGTTGCTTGAAAGGTTGCTTGAACTTGAGCATTTCTCATAATTTCAGGGCCTATTAATAACATCGGTATTTGCAGGGCATCGGCCTGTCTTTGCAGGTATACGAAACGGCATTCGACGAGTCGGGGATTGTAGGTACCATCTTATCGAACCATTCATCTAGACTTTGTTAGAATAGATTTGAAGAAACTATGAGATATGAACAACTTACCTTGATATTTCCATTCCTTATCATACAAAGACTGATCTCTATTCATTAACACGGGTGTCAACCGATCGATCCATTCACTGAACGAAATTCCGGCCATTTCAGCATCAAACTCAGCGTCCTCGCTCGGTTCGGTCAAGCCATCAATTCCTTGGCTGAAATGTTGCTTGGGGTCGGAAGTGATTCTTGCTATGGAAAACTTTTGTAGCGCCAACTCGTCTCGGAAAATTCCAAAGATGCTTCCAGGAAAGAGATACTTGGGATCCGTAATGGTTGATATTATGACTATCCGTTGCTGTATGCTTGCCGCCATCTAGTGACACTCCAAAGAGCGTGAAAATTTGCAGAGTCGGCTTGGCAGTGATGAGAAATGACTCCAGGGTACCAGAAGTGAGATGAATCCAATGAAGATGAAGCTCTCTAAGCTGGGTAAACTGGATGGCCTGGGGAAATTCCCCGAATTGATGTGCCGCCTGGTGATTGAGGATGTTGTGTCCTTGTGAAAAGGCTAGTACTTGCAGACGGGGAGCGACCTTGATAACCAAATCAAACCAAGTCAGAACAGTTGAATGGTTATCTGGCTTCAGCATCTGAAAGATTGTAGGCCCCCAAAATACCATGTCAATGCCTACAGGCTTCGCAAAGTAGGTACATATGTGAAGATCGTCTAAATCTCCTAGAGTGGAAAGAAGGGAGTCGTATTGCGATAGTGGAAGATGCAACTGAGAGAAAATAGCACCATAGTTATCAGCACCGCATGTATCCAGGTTTTTTATTTTTTGGTGAGACCGAAGTGCTTGGAGAGGTCTTGATAGTGCCAAGGAGTATATCATAGCTATCTCAGCCTATCCAGCCTCACAACAGACCTCCTGGAAAAATCCATCTGCAAAAAATGAAAAGAGTAAAAAAAAGAAATCTCAGGTTTGGTTTTTAGGAATAGCCGAACGCGGGGGTCGAACCCGCAGCCTTAAGATTAAGAGTCTTACGCTCTACCGATTGAGCTAGCCCGGCTGGGCTGTTGAAGAGAGGAGCCATAAAATGATATCTGACTGTGGCCCAAAAGATCACATACATAATTTATTTGTGTCTAACATATCATATCCAAATTTTGTTGTAACCCTTCACATTGCGAAATATATTTCCCCCTTTTCTATCAGAAATTATTTCCTCTTCAAGCTTTCGTCCTCACCGACAGCAACATATAAAGTCTCCAAAGAGGAAGGAAGAACATCCCGAAGTTTTCGAACAGGTATATCGAGTTCATCAACTCCCACAAGACTGGCCAAGGATGCACAAATAACCTTCAAAGCGGTGAAATCAACAAAAGAGCCCATCCATGCGTCATCGGACCACACATACGTACCAAGGTTATCGACCCAAATAGACTCCAGCGTCGACTTCTGGAGCGAAAGTAATTCGTGAATTTCTGACGGCTGAAATTGATCATCAGAGATCATTCCTCCACCATGGACAATGCGAATTGATCTCAATGCTTTGCAGGCCTGAACCCACTCCAACACCCCCTCCGCAGGATTGCTTTCCTAGAGGTCAACTCGGTTATATTCGAGCACTGTGACGATAGGAAGTTTCGAAGTCGTCAGCGTCACGCTCATTAATGTTCCCATCCTCCGTCAACATAAAGCACCCCACTTTGCGCATTGACGGGAATTTGAAGAATTGATCCATGTAGTATGATGAGAATGTGGTATGATACAATCATGTATCATACCAAGCTCCATAGGCTTCCTCAAGGTGGAGAAACATTGGTTCCGACTTAATAGCAGCTTTTTGCAACATATCCAAAACATAGTGTGAGCGTATCCATGCGAGGCTGAGTTTGCGCAGTTCCTTCAATTGCGGAAAAAGCAAAGCCAGTCAAGCATCACTGTTATTCATTTCGAGACCATACAACCATTTAAGTCTCTTTTCTTCGGAATATCCCCAACATATGAAACCAGTTGCCTGGCGAAGCGGAGGAAGAGAAAGAACAATCATTATAATTCAATCTAGGAAAAAGCAAGGTATTATACCATGATATCTGTCAAATAATCTGCAAGCAAACAACGAGGGATGCGATCATCCAACACGTTTCAAGTAAAAAAAGCGCCCAGTCTTCAAATTTGTAATGCTGTACTGGAGTCGCTGTAAATTCTGCATTGCTTCCAAGTCTTTCCACATGTAAGGACGTACGGCCCAGGCGGAACATGAGCTGCTGGAAGCCTTTCAATGAATTTGTATGTGTCTGTTCCCCAATTAGCCAGCTCTTGAATAGTGCTGGGTTCGATGACAAGGTCCTCCCGTTTGCTTCCATAGAAAACAACGTTGCTGAAAAAGTCAGGCTGGAAGGTGTCATCTTGGTCCAAGATCGTGTTGCGAAAATGGTGGAGGGAAGAGAGAGAAATGTGTTGTCCTGGCTCAGGCAAACGAGGACCAGAGCGAGGTCGTCGGTGTCTTCAGTGCCCAGAAAGTTCCGAAGAAGTCAGCAGTGCCTCTCGAGTTATGTATCATCAAGTGTGACCTCAGAATGAAGGATCAAAAGCTACTGGACGTCGCCCACAGTAAGATGATCACGTTCCATGCTGCGTGTTTGCAAGATGAGTAGTCATCCCCGCTTAGGGGAAAGTGCGCGGTTGCGGCCCGCATGGGCAGATTATCATCTGAAGTACTCAAGTGCTCGATATATTCCACATATCTTAGTCAATTTTATGTTTAAATAGGAAGCTTCTGCCAGTAAACCCTCATTCATGCAATGATTTAAAATGCCCAAGACATGCCTGCGCCTATCAAGAATCTACCCTAATCCCGAGATGTTTTGAAGTCCACCATATGCAAGTTATCACGACCAATCAAGTCATCGAGGTTGGCTTCTCAAGATCAGTAGCATCTTCAGTTCTCCAAAGCGACGTGACAGTCTTCCACTGTGTATAGAATCGAATACCGTCCTTGCCATAGAAGTTAAGCAGTCCCGTTCCAGCGACACTTCGCTTGTTACCGGTGAAGGAGAACATGGGAAGGGGGACGGGGATGGGAACGTTAATTCCAACCTGTCCGGACTCGACGCGCTTCTGGAAGTGTGTTGCGCTAGATCCGGATTGGGTGAAGATGACTGCGCCGTTGCCCCATTCGTTGCTGTTGATCAGATCGATTGCGCTGTTGATTGTATCGGCTTCAATGCAAAGCAACACAGGGCCGAAGATCTCCTCTTGGTAGCATCTCATTTCGGGTTTCACGCCGGTGATAATAGTCGGACCGACCTATTGAATTGACGTGTTAGTAGGATGATTCATGAAGTTTTAGTAAGACAGGGACTTCCATACCCAGTTTCCGTTAGGGAAACCCTCAGGTTTCTGGTCCCGACCGTCCAAGGCGATAGTAGCACCCTCCTTCTCCGCACTCGAGATAAGATCTACACAGCGATCCCGACTCTGGGGTGTGATCAATGGACCCAGATCAGAGCGGGCGTTGAATCCACTTCCAGCCTGGTATCCCTTGGCGTTCTCAATCAATTCAGGCAGCCATTCGCGGGCCTTACCAACTGTGATCAAAACGCTGAGCGCCATGCAACGCTGACCAGCGGCTCCAAAAGCCGCACCAGCGATGGCACTCAAAGCATGCTTCTTATTACTATCCGGCAGCAGAGCTGCGTGATTCTTAGCACCCAGATTCGCCTGGACACGCTTCCCGTTCGCGGTACCGCGCTCATAAATATATTCGCCAACCTTATTCGACCCAACAAAGGAGATAGCCTTGATCTCCGGTGCGTCCAAGATAAAGTCAACAGCCGGTTTGGAACCATGGATGACGTTCACAACACCCGGTGGGAAGCCGGCTTTCTTGCAGAGCTCAGCGATGATCATAGTGGCACCGGGAGCACGCTCGGTCGGCTTCAGAATTAGACAGTTACCAGTTACAATGGCAATGGGGAGACTCCAGAGGGGGATCATGGCGGGGAAGTTGAATGGGCAGATCGCGGCGACAACTCCGAGCGGGAGACGGTAAGAACGGGTTTCCATATCCTTGGCTACCTCGAGGACCTCACCGGGAAGCTGGGTGGTGATTCCGCAGGCTGTTTCGCAGACTTGGAGTCCGCGGAGGACATCGCCCTTTGCGTCGGCGAAGGTCTTGCCTTGTTCAGTAACGATGGAAATTGCTAGCGAATCCATGTTCTCGCGGACTAGGTGGGTCAATTTAAAGATCATTTCCTGTCGCTTCATGATGCTGGTGTCTCTCCAGGCGGGGAATGCATTTTGGGCTGAGATCACTGCGGCCTTGCACTCGTCAAGGGTTGTTTCGGGGACTCGGGAGACCACATTGTTTGTTGCGGGGTCGTGGACCTCGATCCATTTAGTTGTTTTGGAGCCGACGAGTTCATTATCGACGAAGTTTTGGGTTTCGTGGATGGTGTCAGGCTTGTTGTGGTCGCCTTTATAGTTCAAAGTAAGGAGGTGGGCCATTGCGAGAAGAGAGAGAGGTCAAAGATGACTTTCCAAGTAAGGAAATTGGGGGCTATTTAAGCAAAGTGCGGGGAAAAGCCCGCGATTGCAATGTTACATAAAAAGAAGCCCCGCAGAGGACATTCCGATATTAAAATTAAATATGAGGCCTATTACTGTCCAGGTATCCTTATCTGTTTAGTAAATCCTAGGGTTATCTAGTAGCTCGTATCTAGATGTTATCGGTATGACCAATTTTGAATATATCGGATATAGGCGTATTCCGTGAAAAGATTTACATACTAGACACTTGGGCATATACAATGTAGTATGTCCCTTTTACCGGACATCACATGGCCTTGAAACCTTAGGTTCCCTGGAAACCTTGGGGATAGTGGGGCACGGTGTGAACCAATAGAAATCGGTGAACACGCCTGGGGTCGATCTACCCGCATTGATCAAGTAAGAACCTTGGAAAGACCTCATATCATTTCACATTTAAATATATTTGCAATCCGGCAAAACTTTGGAGATTTTTACAGGGGTATGCTACATGGTTATGAAAGAGACAAGAAAGAGCTAGACCTATATGTCTATACTCTTGTTAAAATGACAGATCATGCATCACTTGCATGGATGATACACAATTCCTTCGCATGCCAAATGCGTCGCCGCCGCACGACATCCGCCCCAAAAGTATCCATTATACCATCATCGTTGTAGTGGGGAGCGGAATCACCGCCTTCATCATCGTCGAAAGACGGACGGAGGAGTCGGGCTTCCTCGACGCTGGCGCCAAACTCGTATTCGCCGCGGCAGAGGACCGTGACGCCGATAGAGGCGTTGGTGGATTCGCCGCTTGGCAGGATAGGGAGTGCTTGTTGTAGCATCCCGGTCCACACGAGGCGACGGGTTAGATCTAGGGCAATGTTGTTTGGTTGGTGGCGGAGGCTAGGTTGGAGACGGAGGAGGGGGTGGATGGGGCGGGAGGAGCGGTTGTGGACGGTAACATTCAAGGTAAGGAGGTCGTCTGTCTTGACGCGGAAGCGTGAGCGGCCCGTTTGTTCCACTGCGTCGGAAGTCTCGGGGGAAGATGATGGCGAGGTCAGAGAGAATTTCATTTCGACGTCTTCGAGGCGCATGGCTTCGACCATACGGTTGTTCAGTCGGACATTTCGGAGGTCAATGGATCCCTCGCGGCCTGTGGCAGGTTCCTTCCAGCCTCCGAGAACTCTCTTGAGGAGCTCTTCCCGGAACCAGAAAGCTTCGCGCGAGGCCGCCTCAGCTTCGAACGATAATTTGTTGGCGCTGACGACGAATTGTCTCCGAGTACCGGTGTTGACGACGGGGATAGAGGCATGTGGGTTGTCCAAGTAGACGCGAGGCAAAACCAGAACAAATCGAGAAACCTGACCAGGTTGGAGCTCCCCATCGACAGAGTATTTGCCTTCAGGATCATCCTGGCTCGTCTCCTTCGATGGGAGAGTTGCCATTGTTTGTTCACTTACGCGCAACCACACCGACAGAGGACCTGGCCAGGCATTGCGCAGATCAAGCAATACGACGCAGTGATCAGGTCCATAAACCCCGTTGCCGAGACGTCCGAGGATTTGCGAGAAAGGGTCGTTTTCAGTGGTGGAGAGCAGCGCAACCGGCTTTTGTATCGAGTCGACGGGTGGTTCAATATGGTTCTTCCAGGCAAAGTCACCGGTAAACGGAAGAATGTCACAGCGGGCGACCTCCACACTCGCATTGACCGTGACTGTCAACGGCACAAACAGTTGCCGGGTGTAGAATATATCGGGCAATTCACCCGGGGCAGCCCCAACACAGGAGTAGTCGATCTGGACTGTCGTATCCTGCAAACCAGGCTTTCCAAGGACGTCGACGGTGAATGTTGCCTTCTGTCCTGCTGCAATCGAACAATCGCCGGGGTCCTGGCCCTGTCGGCGCCATCGTAAAGCGGGCTTGGTTGCCAGTTTGAGCTCCAGCTCATAGATCTCGACCGGCAATAGATCCTTGTTACTCAGTGCAGACTGTAACTGTCTAGTGGTTGAATCTTGGAAGGTAAATAGGACAAAGTCCACGGGGCACGAAGAGGCATTTTGAAGTGTAACAGTGAAGGTTTTGACTTCACCTTCAAGCACCATCATCGCAGACTGCGATAGAGACATAGATTCGATGACAAGTGACGGTTGTTTAGCGATGACCTTGACTTCACACGTTGATGTTTCAGGACCTTTCTTGACATCAACCTTGCCATCTTTTGAGGTCGTTGAGGCCCAGGAAACCGGGCGCTCTGTGAGAGGCTTCTTGGCCCCCAGACCTGTTCGCTTAATCTTGACCTCAGGCTCAGGTTTCCAGAATGTCTTGAAGATGGGGAATCTTCGCGTTCGACAGTGTCGCACTTTCACGATACATCCTGTGATCTGAAGGCTGCCTTCCCCATGGGCGACGCCGAGAACAGTGATATCCTGCATAGAGAGGGGAGCAATGGCAAAGTTCTCTGCCACTGCGTCAAACGATACACCACTGCTCTCTAGGCGCAAATGTTCAATCTCGATCTCAAATTCGTATGGGTTTTGTAGAGTTACTTGGAATGACGCAGGTTCATCAGCCACAGTGAGCATTTCCAATGCCTTGCTGGTAGGCTTGGCGAAGGGGTTATACAGGAACGGATCCTTTTTCGCCTTGTCCGAACTTGTGGTAACTGCATCCAGTTCCGTTTTGGACCGCCGAACAGGCCTTTTAGAGTCTGGGAGTGACAATAATTGGACATCACGTACTAGGAAGTCATCCCAGTACTCTGCAACCATATCAGAGACACCTAGTCTGGTGCCTGCGCCCACAGTGCGCTTGATGTTGTTCAAAAGACGGACTTGTTCATCTTGCGGCAGATACGGTGGGGAGTTGTGTGCTTCACCCAGCATCATATCTCCCCGAATAGTCTGCAAAAGCTCAACTGTGAAACGGAGGACTCCATTGAAATCTGGTAGCGCTTCGCAGCAGTTGATGCATGCTTTCAAGACATCAATTTTCAAGTTCAAATCACCATAACGATCAAGAACTACATGTCGGAATGCCCGCTCGGCAATACTGGCAACCGAATCATATTCACTCCTTTCCTGAGGCCCGCTCACACCAGATGATTGGCGTTGTCTCTTCTCCCATTCGGAGAACGATGAAGGTTGAACTCCGTAGATTTCTCCAATGGTCGCAAGAAGGAGACGCACACTTGACTCCATATTGCCAGGGCCTGTGTCCAGGGCATTGACATCAAATGCGGTGTCACTTAGAGATGCCAACCCAGCGGCAGGATGAATACCAACCTCCGCAGCACCGATCTTGCGTGCTTGCACTAGACTTGGTACCATCACCGAAAGAAGCTCACGTAGAATGAATGCTTTCTTTCTAGGCAGGTCAAGGATATTAAGAACAGCGACAACGCCAACGATGATGGGAACCGCGTCAGTTGCAGGTAAGCTCCCACCTGGGGTAAGCGGCAAAGCCCGGTATAAGAAGTTGGCAATCTCAGACTTTCGGAGCAAAACAGTCCCCCGAGGAAGCTCTAGCTGGAGCAACGGAACCAACTGTTCATTCATCACGATGTGCTTCAAAGCATTGTCATCCAAAGCTCCATCGCGAACGCGAGCTGACACCATCAGCCGTGCTAAGCGAATCACTGTCTCCGAAAACACCAGTTGCGGAAGAGGTTCATCTGTAATATTTGCGGCGCGGGTATAAAGGTTTAAGATGTTGTTTGAGAGGTCTGGCAAGAGATTGGCTAGGTTGTGTAGAGAGATAATCCTATTCCCAGCGCTACTAGGGGTCGTTGAGTCGCGGGAAGGCTTGGAAGATTTGTCCGCAACAGGGTATAGGACTGATGGAATCTAGTAAGCAAGTAAGTGATCTGGCACAAGTACCTAGGGTATTTGATGGCGTTGTTAGCCATTCACATACCTGGAAATCCATGCCTGCCCACCCAAACATCAGCAGGCAAAGAAGAATTGTTTCGAGCGCTTTGGCGTGCCAGATGTAGTCGCTGCTTGCTCGGGCATTATTGACCGCCTCGGTCAGTTCCTTGAGGGCATCTGGCCATCTTCCCGCCTGCAGGAAAAGAGTTCCAATGATCACCCCGGCACGACCCTTGATCCGGTTCTTAGTTCTGTCAGTAGCACTCATGCCACTGACAGACATCCGGTCGCGGCTATGCTCCTTCGGAGATGATATCGAAGGCGATCTGCCCGAGTTTGTACGACTGGATAAGTGAATTGCCCGAGTGATCTCATCAAACGTTGTAGGAGTCTCATGATCACTGGGAGCTGGAGAGCTGGCGTTGGAGCTCAATGGAGTACCATCCCGTGTTCCGTTCGGACTCGATGGTAGCTGTGCGGGCAGAGTCATACGATTCAAAAGTCGATCTACTGGCCGTGGCCGTAGTTCTGGGTTCCGGTGCGGGCCCCATGAAGATGCTTTAGGTGACTCGATTGAGGGTATGCTTTGAATGGTCTTTGCAAACTCATCCATTTCGGAGAGTAAAACCGACGTAATGTCGCAGAGAACTGTCTTCATTGTCGTGGCCTTGGAGGCCTGGGGCGGAGGAACCCAGAGGACATTATCCGGTCCATTCGTGATCTTATCCAAGCCATGGTGATCAAAGACCAAAAGTTGATTCACCAAAGCACGTGGATTCCTCTCCTTCACCCCCTCGAGTTCTTCCAATAATTGATCCAGTCCCTCCGGAGTGGGGTGATTCTGCTCGTCGCCAGTGCTCTCGGGCAATTCGGACCCATCTGCGATTGCGATGATCACTAATGGCTCTCTGTATAGCTCAAAAGGAAATAATTCGAGATGCGAGGTCGGGGGGACCGAGAAGGAGAGGTCATAAAGGATCAATCCGGTGGGAAATGCCAGCGGTGAGAACATGTCTAAACAAGAGCAAGTTAGTATACATGGTAGCAATATCCACAAGCTTCTCGCGATCAGGAGTAGGGCATACTTCTATTTGGCCGCGCATCGGGACTAATATCCCCTAGTCGAACTACATTTTCAGCTTGTAGTCGAGCAGCGAAGCTCAAAAAGCGCGAGCGCTTGATCTTGCCGATGGGAAGCAGGAGCGCCCTGAGGCGCACGGGCGCAATTGGGGACAGAGGGTCAACACCCATCCTGTCAGTTGAGAACGATTAAGGATATTAAGCCCACATCCAAACAATTACCTAGGCAAGCTTCCAGGCGTCATGCGATAGGGGAGATTGCGTACTGGACGAGAAGCGGGTCCGGGGTTTCTCCTATGAATACATGTACACACGATACTCGGGATGAAGGCGGAGAGTGATGGCAATTATATACCCGATAAGATAAGCCCGTAAACTCCGCAATCCCCCCAAACTATTCGTCCTCTCACCGAATAATCTTTCTTTGTTGTGTATTTCTTTTTTGCTTTTGCTGAAATTTAACTCCTGCTTGGCGTTCTATCAAATCTTGCTTTCTCAGGCTCTAAGCCACCTCACGATCTATGCGAATAGTGCCCCTGAGTCCATAATCTCCGCGGCAGCCTAGACAACCTCGATCTTGTTTGTCATTCATCTGCTTTCGTACGGAGGTGTAGATGAACTTTCTACCTGGTTAAGATAAACGGCTTGGACATAACCAGATACAAGACTACATATACGGAAAGATGGCTACGAAGATAGATTTCAACGCCCTGAAGGCGCGGACCATGGGGTCTGGGGCCGATGAGGAAGCTGTGACAGTCGATACAAGAGGATTGATTTCGAAAGTGCTTGCTCGATACTCTGGGAAATGGTAAGAGCTAGGTGTTTTTCCTATCCTGAGATCCAATTATTAACCTACTTGTTGTTGTAAACAGGACGGTCCTACGAGAAATGATTCAAAATGCCGCCGATGCCTCTGCAACGAAAGTAACCATCAAGTTTGAGACCCTTCCATCGACCACTATACCGTCGCCTTCATCAAATGATTCCACCGCACATCTGAAACATACCATCACCAACCACACTCTTCGACGTGTTTTGATCTCAAATAACGGCGCTCCATTCAGTGAAAAGGATTGGGCAAGATTGAAGCGAATTGCAGACGGAAATCCAGATGAAACGAAGATCGGCGCATTTGGTGTGGGATTTTATAGTGTTTTCGATGATTGCGAGGAGCCCTTTGTGTCTTCTGGTAGCCAAGCCATGGCCTTCTACTGGAAGGGGAATGCGTTGTTTACCCGCCGACTAGACCTCGGCGAAGTCGCAAGTCAAGACACGACTTTTGTTTTGGACTACCGCAATGATTCCTCCCCGGTTCCATCGTTGTTGCAGCTCTGTCAATTTTTGTCGAGCAGTTTGACGTTTGTCTCATTGCAAGAGATTGAACTTTGGTTGGATGATTGGAAACTTCTAGAGCTATCGAAAAAGACAGCTCCTAGTGTCGATGTACCGATTCCGAGAGACATTGACACTAAGACTGCAGAAGGTTTGATGAAAATTGTCACAGTCACCCGAGAAATTGCGCAGGTTGACGCTTCATGGATGCGAATTGTGGAATGGAATCCCAACGCAAGCATGTTCCGCCTTGACAATCTTCGGGATACCACCAGTTCACTGAAGAGTTTCTTCTCTAAGTTCACGCAGGCCACACCTGAGAAACCATCCAATGGCCAGAGCCCAGAACCTGAGAGCCAGGAAGACTCGGGCAGCATGAATACTATGCTCTCAGCATCGGTCTTTTTGCATATCAACACGGCATCGCTCGTACCATCGATCAGTAGAGACCTGAGCAAAGAATTGGAACGAGCCACACGAAAACCTCCACCCAAGAAGGCAACCATCGCAATTCTGACTCCGTCTTACGATGCAAACATGGCGACTGGAGCGTCCTCATCGCAGTCAGAGGTTCTTTCATCAATCTTACCCTCAAAAGGTGGAAGAGTCTTTATTGGTTTCCCAACGCAGCAGACGACTGGCTTGAATGCCCATGTCTCTGCTCCATCTGTCATTCCTACCGTGGAGCGAGAGAGCATAGATTTAAACACTCGTTACATCAGCAAATGGAATCTCGAGATGTTGCGGGCAGTTGGTATTGTTTGTCGAATCGCTTGGTCCGCAGAGATGGCTACAATTAAATCGAAACTCGCATCCAGAGTTGGACCATCGCGCTCATCCAAAATTCGGAAAAAAGACATTGTGGATGTACTACCAGAGGCTATTCATACTGCAAACCAATTTGTATTCCGTGAATCTACCCCATCTTCTGTTTTAGGACAGACAATCGAAGATGCATTCTGGATGTGCAATAAGAATGCCTCTATCGAGGTGCTGTCTACCTGCGGAGTCATCCCCAGCCATCAGACGCGCATCGCACCCAAAGATCTCAGCTTCATGGACTCAATTCCTGCTTTGCCTGAAGAGTTTGTGCAGGGCTGTAAAGACTTTGTCAAAAGGCTTACAGATTTCGGGTTGGTCACGGATATCACAGTATCAGACATCAAGCGCGAGTTAGAGTCTAATACTTTGCGATCCAATCAAGTCCTTGAGTTCATTTCATGGCTTGGCCGTAAAGCAGTCGCTGGCCAACTTGATGGGTCTTCGGTCCAAAGTTTACTACGCGTAGCAGTTGCAAACGACGAGGACAAAGAGGGGGTTCCAACTCGTTTAATTATCTTTGCGGACATCAGCACTTTTTTGAACCCTCAGCGCATTCCAGCGGAAATGCCCGTACCACCCAACGTGATACCTTTCAAGTTTACCAAGTCTTTGGGCAAGCATGAAATGGAGGCACTTGGCTGGGTCGAGCTGCAAATCGTTCCTTGGCTTAGATGGATCGTCAGCAACTGCGGAAACCGCAATATTTTCTCGAAAGATCAAGATATCACGCAGTCGGCAGCTTTTTCGGGCCAGATATTGCCCGTTTTGTCAAAACAGTGGGAAATTATAAGTCAATCTTCAAAGCAAAGTGTTATCGCAATGCTCCAACCCCAGACTGTGATCCCCACGAAATTCGGAATGAAGCAGCCTGTACAGACATATTTTGCTTCCGTGCGCCTTTTTGACGACCTGCCTGTGGTTCATGGCCTGAATGGTGTCAAAGAGAAAATCTTGGTCCAACTTGGAGTTCGCAAAACCGTGGAGCTTGGTGTGATCTTTGATCGTCTGATCAATACCCCAACCTCTACTGACGTGAAAGGTCCTACGTCCAGGAAATGGAATCATGTTGATCTCATCCGATACCTCGCCTCTGTACAAGAGGACATCCCAACCAACGATATCCAGAGACTCAAGGGGACGAGCATTTGTACTGCCGAAAGTGGAAGCGGGACTGATGGCAAACGGTACAAAATTTCCGAGCTTTATGAGCCGAAGGATGCACTCCGAGCTCTCGGGCTACCGATTATTGAGTGGCCGGGCATTTATAACAACAGCAGCAATGAGGGTAAATTCCTCACGATGATGGGACTTCAGAGTTACCCATCAGCCGGTGAACTGGTAATGCTCATGTCAGCTGGGAGCAAGGAGAAAGACAGTCGATCAAGCAAGGCTCTGTCATATTTCCTCGTCGAATATTACACAAATGGGTATGCTTCGTTTGATATAAGTGCGGTGACAGTACCATTCCTTCCCATTGAAGGATCTGATGGCTTAAGCGCCCCGAAGAAGTGCTTTACCGATGAAGGGGCAGCCTTGTTTGGTTTCAAGCTGCTCAAAAAGAGTCTGCACCCCCATGCCTCCAGACTGGGAGTCAAGCCTCATCCTCCCATGACGGACTGTCTACAGATTCTCGAGAAGCAGCCCCCGACCACCCAGAGGGATGCGCGGATTGTGTTTAAATACCTGGCCGGCAGACTATCCGATCTGAAACAGCAGGATATAAACCGTATTAGCCAAGCTCCTATCATCCCAATCCCCATCCGCGATCAATCAGAAAAGGGAGTCAAACACCGGCTTGTTGCCCCTAGGGTGTGCTATCTTGGAGATGGAGAAGACTACAGGGAGATATTTGACTTTGTCAATTTCGGCCAGGAGGCGAATCTCTTCCTGATGGCCATCGGCTCAAAACGAGAACCAAGCAAGATTGAGATTGCACGCATGCTGGTCAAAGAGCCCGCTCGCATATCTGCTTCATTCCAAAGTTCGGAGAAATACCTCATGCTTCTTAGGACTCTCGCGGAGCAACTCCCGGTGCTGAAGAAGGATAAGGATCTTTTCGTTGAGATGCGGAGAGCGAAATTCCTTCTCGCCAGTCGAGACATCCCGCCCACTGCGTCAAACCATGGTAGCAAAGAAAAGCCATATGTGAAGGAATTCCACGATGAGGAAGACAGTATGGACATCAAAGAATGGAGTCTCGCCTCAGCCAGGGATATTGTCGTGGTAGACGATTTCCAGAGTTTCAACCTCTTCAAAGAACACATCTTTGCCGCCCCGCAAGAAGAGACATTGGAGGACTTTTACGCTGCTCTTGGGGCTATATCTTTAAGCAGTCTTGTTGAACAACAAACCCGGTTTGGCAGCATCGCCCTCGATCAGACCCATGCATACAAACTAGAGAAGTTGATCTTAGAACGTGCGCGGCTTTTCTTGCACGATCAGCCTGCAGACTCTGTTTTACATGGGGCCCGATGGTTGGAGAATTCTTTCAAAGTCCAGGTTGTGACCTCGATCAGTCTTACGAGATCGCTGAAGGGGCGCCGGGTGTCACACACACAGAAGCGAAATGCAATTGTTGCACAACAGACGGCGGGCTTGGTTTTGTGCATATGCCCTGATCGATACGACCTATATGAGATCAGCCAGTCCTTGGCGCATTTGATTTTGAAGCGACCGAAGCTGCACTCAATCCTCACATTGGAAATGCTGTTGAAGACCGAGCTCTTAGAACTCCGGGCTCGAGGCTACAACGTGGAACGTATTCTAAGGCAAAAAGCCCAAGAAGCTCGAGTCGCGGAAGATAAGCGCCAAAGACAGGTCGAGGAAGAGAGGCGTATCTTGCAGGAGAGAGAAGCTGCCTGGGCGGCGGGTCAAGCCCAGCGTGACTCTCAGCAGGCTGAGGAAGAGAGGGCCGAAGCACAGGCGCAGAATTCGATGCCTGGCGTTTTCCCCGAGTCGCCGAAAAACAAGAGCTCAGAAGAAGCACATGCCGTCCCCCCAGAGCCAGTGCCAATGCCGCCGCGGCCCAAAGGAAGCATGTTTGTAAATCTGGCAAAACGGTTTAACTTGAGTGGTGGAAAGTCTGGCTCGGACTCTAGCACTGAAGAACAATCCCGGTCTCTGCTTCCCGAGTCTTCCACGCCTCCGCCGCCGCCTTACTCCCCTAATGACCCCCAGACCCAGGGGAAACGCCCAGAGCAATCCGTTAATTCCAATTCACCGCACCGATTGAACTCCGAGCTGCTCTCCGCCGTCCAAGCGTGCCGACCTCACGGATCCTCCGACGTGTACAGTCGCCCAGAGACAAATCAAATTCAAGAAAGCAAGTCTTACTGTGACGAACGCCCAAGTCATGACCTGGAATTCGTTGCCACGCTCCCTAGCAGTGGCATGAACGTCCTCTTCACGAAGTCAGTCACCGAACGATCTGCCTTCCTCGCGAAAAATCGCGTAGGATTCAACCTCTTTGCTTCGATCCTCCTTGATTGTGGCACGATATTCTCCGTGCGGGCTGACAGCCTGTCCATCTTCTATGACCCGGGCGGCAAGACGATCGCATTCAACCGCGCGGGCAGTATTTTCTGCAACTACTTCTACTTCCAGTCTTTACAGGAGCAGGAGCTACTCAAGAGCGCCAGTCCAGATCGCACTGATGCTATTGTATATTGGTGGGTGATTCTGTGCCATGAGCTGGCACACAACTTGGTCGGGGACCACAGTTCTGCGCATAGTTACTACACAGAGGGCTTTGTGGCTCAGTATTTCCCCAAGGTTGCTGTTAAGCTCGCTTCGCTCCGGGTGTCAGCCCCAGCCCCAGCCCCAGCTCCTCAATCTGGATAGTCTTGATGTTTTGCCTTGTTGAATACCCTCTAGCGACCACTTTCGGATTTAAAGTGCTTTGGTTTTTCTAGATATTTTTTTTTTTTTTTGCGAATGTAAGAGTCCTTTCAATGATATTTCCCATAAAAAGAAATTTTAATAAAAGACATGTATCCATGATCTACCGATTGGCACGCTAGTGGTTATTGCTATGGAGTAGGGCCGCAGCTTGACAGGTACCATGCACTCTTGAGTCATACATTCCTCGTTCTCTATAGTCCTTTCCTAGCTCTTTCTGGCTAGCGTTATCTGACACTTCATTGATTTACAGGTGAGATGAGACAACCCAATAATAATGTTCATCTATAGGTTCTAAGTTCGAGGCTATATATGCCTCGGTCTTCAAGGAGTCTATAATAAGTACAGTGTGATACATTACAATCATGCTTCTCACCGACATTTTTACTATTGAATGACTTCAACTTAAATAATCTAGATCTATTCTCTTAAAAAGTACTCCGTAGTCCAATATCAAAAATACCTCTCATTGCCACATCGGTGAAAGTTCCGTCGGTACCCGCTTTTGATCTTTTTCTCTCGCCAACCTTAAATTTTCCCTGCGTCAACGACAATGCATTGTTAGCTTGCATCTTGCATGGACATTGGACTTCGAAAGATATACTTATAAAGATATCTTTTTTTATCTTCTCCATTGGGGCATGATCTGAGCTGCTACTCTCCAATCTCACTCCATCAGATAAGCGGCGAACTCTCCCGAGGTCTGGGTTTCAAGGCTAAGAATCGAAGATCCTGCTATGCAGATGAGCCTTGATCACTTTGGTTTTTTTTGATTTCCAAGTTCATTACGGGTGTGGAATTCTCCGACCAATCGAGCCGAATATAAACCCCACCATCAGATCCAAACATCAACATGGTACCAATGCTAGGTGATTGGGATGCCCCAGATAAGGAAAACACAGTGCCACAACTTGACCCTAGCTCTTCGACTAAGAGCGTTCTGTATGTTGATGCCTATGACTCATTCTCCTACAATGTTGTCGCCATGCTGGAGGAGACACTGGGGGTCAAGGTCACAGTCATGACCATCGACTCAGAATGGCCAGATTCCAATATGAACGAGTTCCTCCAGCACTATGAAGCTGTCGTTCTTGGGCCAGGACCAGGAGATCCCAACGTGCCTACTGATATCGGCATCATGAGAGACATTTGGAACCTCCATGACTCAGATCTCCTTCCTGTTTTTGGTATCTGTCTGGGCTTTCAAAGTCTTTGCCTTCATAACGGCGTGCCTATCGAGCGGCTCCCGTACCCCATTCATGGTCAGATTCACAAGATCTCCACGTCAGCGAAGGATATCTTTGAACATATACCGGAGGTAGAGGTGACGCTTTACCACTCACTCTATGCCAACTCCGCTTCTTCAAAATCCACCGATTTAGAATACTTGGCATGGTTGTCTCTAAATGATCGCTCGAAGACACAGATACCCATGGCAGTTCGCCATCTCAAGAAGCCATTCTGGGGTGTTCAGTTCCACCCGGAGTCCTGCAAATCTGAAATCAATGCCTGCCAGGCACTTCTCCGAAATTGGTGGAGGATGGCTCTTGGATACAACAAGATTGTTGGGCGCGGGGGATATTGTTCCCTGCCTAGCACAGTCATCAGCCCCCTAACAGCCCCCAGTCCATTCCCTGATGCTGCCTATGAAATGCTCAACTGGAGCCAGTCGACTTCGAAAATTTCGACTTACCGGTCCCTTAACCGGTCTGACTTGACCGCAGAGGATATAAGTGAACTTTTCAACAAACCAGGTTCGCCGGCAGTCCTCTTCCAATCCAATGGCCAATACAACATCGCTTCGGTGCCGAGTCCTGGCTCATGGCGGTTTGAATACAATGTTGAGACACATAAACTTCGATTGCTTCAGCTGGATGGCGACTGCAAAGAGGTTGAAAGTTATGTTACCGTTGCTCAATTGTGGGACGCCTTAAGGTATTTGATGGAAATGAAGAAAGTTGATTCAGGGAACTCTCAGGTGCCATTCTGGGGTGGCTTCCTGGGTTATCTCTCCTACGAACTGGGTCTCACTTGTCTTCCCCACCCAGGCCATGCGCAGGCTTCTGAGTCACCAAGGCCCTCCAGCACCGGGGAATCTTCATCTGATCCCTCCTTTGCGGATCCACCAGATGTCAGCCTTCTCTGGTGTGAAAGAAGTGTCGTGGTTGACAATACTACTGGCGCCGTTGTCATTCAATCCACTCGCGGTGATGATGCGGGTTGGCTTGATGAGACCCTGCAGCAGCTGCAAGACTTCTCGGACAACGGTAATGATACATCTGTGGACCGGGGCTTGGATTCAATTCTCCGGGAAAGCAAAATTCAGTTCCCCGAGGAAAAGGAGTACAAACGGCAAATCGGGTCATGCCAAGCGGAGCTGGAAGCCGGTGAATCTTATGAGCTATGTCTAACCTCTGAGACGACCATCACCCTGCCAGTTCCAGAAGTGGAGTCGGATCGTTTGATGTTCCCCTGGAAGCTGTACAAGCGACTCAAAACATACAACCCCGCTGCATTCAGCGCCTTTGCAGATTTGGGAGATACGAAGATTGCGAGCAGCAGTCCAGAGTGTTTCCTCAACTGGGACCGTGAGTCAACAGTGGAGATGAAGCCAATGAAAGGCACAGTCCGAAAGTCCCCAGGCATGACCATGGAGAAGGCCTGTGAGATCCTCGGCTCCACGAAAGAGATGGCCGAGAACCTGATGATCGCGGATTTGATCCGGCACGATCTGTACGGCATCTGCGGATCAGGTGGCGTCCATGTTGAGAAATTGCTCGAGGTCGCAGATTACGGCCGAGTTTACTCAATGATCACTCATATCAAGGGCAAGATCCGCCCCAACCACCCTGGATTCGCTGTGCGACATATGTCTCAGCTGAATACCCCCAACATGTCCGTCCACGGCCTGACTACCCTCCAGCGGTGCCTCCCACCGGGTTCCATGACTGGTGCGCCCAAGGAACGTTCTTGCATGCATCTTCGTACGATCGAAAATCGCAAGCGTAGCATTTACTCCGGTGTAATGGGTTTCCTGGACCTTGGCGGCGGTGGAAGCTTCTCGGTTTTGATCCGCTCGGCATTCACTTGTTACGGTGGTCGAGATTACACCGAGAATAAGCAGCAGACCTGGCGAATTGGCGCCGGGGGTGCTATTACCACACTCAGCACAGCGGAGGGCGAATGGGATGAGATGTTGACCAAACTACGTGTAGTTTGCAACGTCTTCACGCCGCTTGATGCAGACGAGAAATAGAGTATGACCTCTTAGCTACTCGATGCAATTTTGGTTATCGGTCATTGATCATTATGACAGTTGTGCTTTGTCGCATCATGATCCACGCGTTTCCTTGCTTTCAACATTCGGATCCATGCGTTGGGATAGAGATTCGATTCAACATACAGCGTTGGCGTTTCGGTTGGCTTTTTGATATTCTCCTGTATTTTGTCTACAATCTTTGTCAAAACATCATAGAAATTAGAAATGTAAATATTCACCACTCTTTCAACTGATTATTTCCATCGTCATCATCTATGTCAAGATGCAAACAAAACAAACATCATTTTCTCCGCAGCTTCAGCTTCAGCTTCCGAGCTGCATCTTTCCTTTGACCCTATTTCGCAATTTTCAAAAATAAAAGCTTGCTGCGAGCTTAGATAGACCGAAGTTCACTCGGTCTATCATTCCAAAATCGCAAATGGCGAGTCAAGATGCCTCAATGGAGGAGATCCTCTGGCGGTCTCCCCCGCACGTCCAGATGATGGGGGGTTTCCTTCATTCCAACAACAGTGAGTTGCACGTTTTACCATACCTGGACCTGTAGTTTTCTGATCAATTAGTCCTGTTTTACTTTGCCGAATCCCCTTTCTTTGATTCGACCTCCAACAACGCCTCGCTAGCCATCCAAGCCAACTACAACGATGCCTTCCGTCATTTCGTCGAGACGCGCGAAGCATTCGAAGCCCGACTGAAAACAATGCAGGGTCTGGAGTTCATAGTGTCATATGACCCCCTCCAAGCAGCCGCACAGACAGACAATCGCTTCGCCCACGAGCCGTCCAACATCTGGGTGATCCGCAAACAGAACCGGCGGAAAAGGAGCGGCATGGACGACGAAGTGACCGTGATATCTACGTACTTCATTGTCGGCGACTGCATTTACATGGCTCCTTCAGTTGCGGGTGTAGTGGGCAACCGAATTGTATGTATTCTCTCGTACCTTACCAACCGCTTCGAGACAAGTATACTAATGAATGATTTTCCCACAGCTATCAGCTGTCACATCCCTAACCCAGCTCATGAAATCCGCCGCGACATTACCAACATTTACCGCCTCCCATGGACACACATACTTGCCACCCGGAGTCCGCAGCAAAGAAACTGCCGGAACCACCAGCCAAGCCTCCCAGAGCAAAGAAGCAACACCCATGCCAGATGTATCCTTCCCAATCACCGAATCTTCCCAATCAACCAGTAAATCAAGCCTGGGCGGATCTACCACAAGCTCAAGCTTCCAAGATACGCGCAGTCTGGCCGAATCATTCAGCCTGCTCACGCGCTACGGCGACGAATTCATGGACGAAAGCCCTCTCGTCGGCGAACCAGGCTCGTTCATCCTATCACGGACTGGCGGCGAGGCTGCCGGCTCGGCTGCTAAAGCTGCGCCGAAAATAGCTGCTAATGCGGTGGCGACTGGTACGCCTTCTGCGCTGCCTGCTAGGGCTTCGACGCCGCAGGTCCGCGTCGAGACCCCTGGTAAGGCTTCCGAGAAAAGTAATTCCCCGCCTAGCTCTGCTGGTGATAAGGCGAAGAGGAAGAAGAGCCGGATTGTCAGCTGAGTTGCTTTCTTGATACCCTTTTTTTGTTGCATCTCTGGGCGTTTGGGGTTTTGGGCATCGCATTTACGGGGACTACACTGTTGGTATCTAGGAGCTGGCTATTAGCTGAGTTTTACATATATCTTGGCATGATGCTGAGTTCTGATTTATTATACCATAGAGTATCTAAACACTGTAGCTCGTGCTCGTCTTTGGATTCTTGGCACTGCTGCCGTGCTTCATAATGAGAGCCCCCACCATATGCTGATCTGGACGTTGTGATGATATCGCCTTGTCACACTGCTAGTAGAGTGTCCGTTTCATGTCCAGGACTTGCTTCACAAAACCAAGAGCGTATTCGAAACGTCTTCCATGAGGCACAAAGCTCTGCGGGTTGTTGTAGACGGCAGTGGGATCAGTGTAAAAGCAGCCGTGGCGCAATCTACTAGCATATTCGAACCACTCCAGGACATTTGTGTGGTGAGAGATGGGATTAATTCGGCTGCTATAAAACCAGCAAGTTAGTATCCGAATGATCTGTCAGGAATGGTTGAGTGCCCACGACCGCTCTAAATCACTCCATAAGAGTGATCACCCTTAGGCTAGAAGACATGAAGGGAGAGTATCAGAATCTTCGATTTTACTGGGAGAATCCTCAGCTCCAAGCTCGGATTTATCAGCTCTAGGCCCTGTAGTCTCCGGTGATTGTGCACCTGAGTCCTCGAGCCGGTTAGCCCAGCTCTTTCTTCGGAAAATAACCGGCAACATCCTGCAAAAGCAGGTACTTTTTTCTTTTCATTTGCCGGAGTACTTGGGTTGGTTCAAGGATTGCTGCCGGTGCAACTGTAGCTTGTGCTGTGGCCAGAGGAATCATTCTCAGACAATATAAGGTCGGGACTCTTTTTATTTGTTAGATTCTCCTTCTACAAGTAGAGTCACGAAGTCGTACATACCATGTTTTTGTCCCGGGTGGACCGATAGAAGGAAATTATAAACTTGGGCCATGGTTTTGAGGTCCGGGAATGTGACCTGGAATAATGGTTTCTTATTAGCATGTGTATTTGAGTGATTGCATTGTCTTGTTACCTTTGAGGCTGGAGATTCGGCACATCAAGGGCAGGCTCTAGATGACCAAGAGCCAGATTCGTATGACTCTCTAGGCCACAAGATGGAGGGTGTGGGTTGGTCGGTATAACCGCAAAGGCCCCTTCCCTAGCACCGAGGCCCGATACCACCAAAGAGGAACATGCAGAAGATTTAAAGGGAAGTTTTCCACTGGCAGTATCCGAGATGCAGCAATAAGAAAGAATAACTGTTTATTGTAGCATCCCATGCTTGCTGCCTAGTTTGCCAGGCCTTGCCTAGCTATTTAGGTAGCTTTCTGCTTGTTTGTAGAGTAAGCAAGAAAGTTATTAACAGGAATTAACAGTGATGAGTTAAATACTACCGTGAACCTCCTTGTATAGCTTCATGCTAACAAAAAGAGATCTGGCTCACTACAAGCAAGCAGGCAATGCCTTACTGTCCGAATGCAACAATATAAATTTCGAAAGGGGAAACAGAGATGCGCATTAAGAAGAACGTTTTCTAGAAAACTGAACTAACAGGATGTTCTGATCCATGAGACTAATAATTAGCGCTACCTAGTAGTTGGTTGGTTAAGTATAGACATCACTGACCTCCAACCAACAATGCATATATATATAACCACGAATAATATAATCAAATTTGCACCATCTAGTCACATACCCTGTCATATCTTTGTGAATGCCCACATAGCTCATATGGTTTTTTCATCCAAAGTTTCATATATGTCAACTCGATGCAATCCACGTTCTCTTTCTACTGCTCCTATATTAGCAACCCAATAGCATGGGCAACGGTATTACCCCCCAACAGTTTGGAACATAAAATGTCACTCTAATTGCGATGTTAGCCGCTGTTGGAAACTTGCGCCACGTTGGGTGCTCGAGTCATCTATAACATACCCCTCTATACAGTAGCTCTTTCTCCCTTCTTTTCTCTTCCTATTTTTCACACACAGGAACCACAGCCTTTTTTCTTCTCTTGGATTTCGCTCTGATTTACAAGCCTCAGATCCAGTGCAATACTCACACCCGCTATACAAACTTCTTAAGATACTTCAGATCTGGTCTATATCAAAAGTTTGAAAGAACAAAAGAAAAACCCCGAACATCCTGCTTCTTCTGCATTCTTCAAGGTTATCACGCTATTATGGAAAGTGCACATCTGCCTATCATCAGTCCCGAACTAGCTGATCATGTTGAAGAATCTAGGGAGGCCGACGTTGTAAAGGCTGGACTCAGGTAAGCAACTTTTTCAAGTTTCCTTGTCTATTAGCGAACTATATCGTTTCAAACAGGCTACTAGCTGTTGCTGACCTCAGTCATATAGTGTTGTCCACATCAAAGCCTTGAGCCCAGACTACCAACTTGACCTCGAAGCCCTGGTCACGCCTCAGCTAAGTTGTGAGATAAGAGAATTTGTCTTCTCTTGTGATCTTGACAGTATCCTTCTGGGCGAATTTGCACTTCCATCAGTGGAACAACAAGCTCTTTTGCTGCTGGACGGACTCAAAAAGCATTTGGAAAACAACCAAAGTGTAAGAATCTGGCTTTTTTTTTTATCCACAGCACTGTGAAGTTGACTAACACCAATCTCCAGAAGAAGACACAACAGCTTTGCATATTTGTTGCGTACGACCTCGGTGCATTGGTCTTAAAGAATGTAAAGTAATATCCGGCTCAACAGCTATCAGGTTCATTACAGGCTATCTCCATTGCGTATCTCGAGCAGGTCAACTGGTCTGGTATCATCGACACCGCAGTACAGTTTGTATGTCAATAGCATCCCTTTCAGTTAATCTTGGAGGCACAAAGTCTGATTTGCGCTATAGGTATTCTGGGAGAGCTTTCACCGAAGACAGAATGTGTAGGCTCTTGATAGTCAGCTCTGGGATCTTCTCAAATCTCGTTCAAACTACAGGTCGTGGGTTAAACTCCCGACGTTGAAGTCTGTACGAGCCCTGGCAGATGCATCGGAAATTGTGACTAGACTGTTTCTTCAGTCCAGAGTCACTTTGTACACACCAACTATCAGTATTCTCTCCGCTGAAAATGGAGTTGGAGTAGGTTATACTCAAGCTTGAGCTGGGGCTTTTTAAAGCTCTGATTTACCCAGAGAAACAGCTAACACTTTCTTTCAGGTATTTGATGATTTTACCTCAACACTAGGTGTGCCGACAGAGACTTGTGTTCGGTCTCCTTTGGTTTATGATCCATGTCTTTTCCGCAACCGGCTCATTTGCCATGCAGTCAAGAGTGAGATCTCCTATTCAATTATGATATTGTTTCCAACTTGTTCTAATGTATGGATTCAACAGCTGGATATTTGGGCCGCATGTGGACCACACTACAGCAAACGATAACATCTATGGCCCTACCTCATCAACAGATGAAATCGATCCAGGTATTTCAGTATTGTTCGGTTCTATGCAGCGAGCCATATAAAAGATGGAAAATGGCAAATGGACTGCAGATGCTATGCTTGGAGGGTCAGTATCAAGACGAGTGTACAGAATTGACCGAAGAGGTCTTTTTGTCGTGGAAGTCTGACCTTTCCATTCACGGAAATGACGAGATACCTGGTCTGTTCTTCGCATTTCCCCCGGGATTTCTCTCGGGCTTTTCTATGACTCAGATGGTATCTTCGATGATACTGCAGGACCTCGCAACTTCTGACCTCTCTATCACCGAAGACACAGCTGCAATCCACGGGAATATTCTGAATCGGCGAGGATGGATCCAGAAAGATCTCCACAACCTCCATCTTCTGTCGTACTTGAGAAGGGGCCGTATTCTTGTGTTGCAAAATATTGACAACTGTGATCGCGCTAGCAGAAGGGCCCTTTGGGGGCTTATTGGGAGGCTCGAAAGTGCATCAGAAGAGAAGCTGAGGATTGTGGTGTCTTACAAGCGCGGCTCCATCGTTCGAGATGAGCTAATTGGCATGGAGAGTATATGCCAGTCCTTTTCATCCAACGAAAGGCCTGTCTACGAGCGCAACCTTTCAGATAGCGACTACATTGAGTTCCTCATGGAACGCCTCTGCGTCTCCAATAATGGCAGGCAGCGGATCTCCACAAATCTAGAAAGACTTGTCGCCATGAGCCAAGACAACTTGAGTTCAATAGTCAAGCTGCTCCAGTCTCATACCGGCTGGCCCGATGAAGAATCACCGGTTGCTTTGTCCAAATTTGGCGACCTGCTCAGCGATATCTCACCAACAGCCTGTCCCGCAAAAGTACTTGATTCCATTCTAAGATCTGTCGATAACCAGCCTGCACTTTGTTGGATTTTGCACTGGATTCGCCATGGGCATCGGCCTTTGGCCGGCCGGGAGGCTGGATCACTTCTATATTACCACGAAAACAGTACTCAGGCGATCACAGACTTACCATCGATGACACAAGTGGATTATCATCTAAACCAGCTCCATAGCTGGCTTCCAGCTGTGGTGAGCTTCAAAGAAGACCGGCTTTATATCCACGATCATGTCCAAGGGATTCTAAGGCAGGGTCCAAATTATATCTGGAATGAGTCCGATATAGTAATATATGAGACTATGGTAAGCTTTCTCGTCTTACATCTCACACATGAAACGATCCGCGCCCAGATTGAAAGTGCCTTTTGTACGTATCTTAGCTACTACCTTGCTGCAAAGGATAACATCTTTCCTCAGATCATCGGGAATAGCGATGGTTTCCTCTTTTATGCCGTCCAGGCTTTCCCTTACCATTTGACAAGAAGCCATCAAGCCATACAATCACTGGACTCAGCCCTCATTCTTCCAGATGGTAATCTCACCCCATGGGCTCATATGTTTTGGTCCATGAGCAATCCCTTTTCAAGGCCTCTGCCAAAAGCAGTCACATGTGCATATGACTTGCTTCGACACCAAGAAGGACTTGATCAAGACTCCCGAGAGATACTAGAGAAGATCGGAGGACGCATCTCAGGCACAAAGAAATGTGAACCTATGGTTGAGCTGCTGCATTCTTTACAGGCCGGCGATGAGACCGCTGCTTTGGGCTATGTCCACAATATTATATCTGACGCCAGCCAGCAAATATTTGAAGATTCCGACACAACCGAAACAGATGACAATCTGTCTTGGATGCCAGTCATTTTATGGAAAGCCACCTGGCTTAACATGCCTCGTCTTGTCGGTGTTCTTCTAGAAAACAAGACACCAGTCGATATCCCAGACAGCAACACATCTCGTTTCCCCTCTCCATTGTACCTGGCATCCTATCTTGGGCACATCCACATTGTTCGTGTCTTGCTACAGCACGGCGCAGACAGTGGGGTTCTCCGCGAAGACAAGTAAGGGTTGTGCTGGGTAGCAGCTGCTAAAGGACATGGTGATGATGTGCGCGCTTTGGTGGAGATCAATCGTGAGTTGCTAGATATGCCAGCACCGCAGACCCCTCTCTACGCTGCCTCTTTCTATGGCTGCTGGAAAGCTGTGGAGACTCTCATCAGCCTGAAAGCGACTCTCGATATACATGACAGAGAGCTCAACTGGACACCACTGCTTACCGCGGCATCATTCGGTCACTTACGCACGGTTCAAATGCTCTTGGAGGCCAAAGCAGATCCCAACGAAATCTGTGGTAAAAAGACCCTAGTCACTCCCTTGTGCTATGCTGCGACACGAGGAGCCAGCATTGGCCGTGTGCAAGCCCTTCTTAACAATGGGGCAGATCCCAACCTCATGTCATTGACGGATCCGTTAGGCTGGATGATCTCAACGTCGTCAATTCCAAGCCAGAAAAAAATTGCGATCTTGGATATCCTTGCCAATAATTCCCCCTCGCTCAATATTGACGGCAGGTCTTGTTATGGGGGAAGAACAGCCCTAATGGAGGCCGTCGAAAAAGGGGAGCGAGATATGGTTGAATGGCTTCTCAATCATCGAGCAAGCGTGATGGCAATTGACAAGCTTGGGGAGACAGCACTGTTTCCTGCCGTGCGAGAAGCTCACATCGACATACTACGCGAGCTTTTGAAGCAAGAGCGACCGTTGCATACCATCAATGGGAAGGGGGAAGGGTTGCTCCAACTGGCTGGCAAAGATACCGAGCTGGTTAACATATTGCTTGATGCAGGTGCCTTTGTTGAGGGAAATGATGACCTCCCGCGCGTTTTCACAATTGTGGATGGGGGAGGAAAGGTCGAGGAGATTGACGATGCCGATCTGGATGGATATTCAGATACTTCCTCTGACAGTTCTCTAATTGGGCTTGATTTCTCGGATGCCCCGGAATTCAATACATGGTCATGGTCTAGATGATCACTGACTTTTGTATTTTCTTTCTTCTTGGGTTTTATTTTATGTCCAGATTTTATATAGTACAGCAGTTGTTAGTTCATCCTTGTCACTAAATTGACATCTCAAAGGTGATATGACACACCATTCAACCAATTCCTTATATTCTCTAGTATCTTCTCAAAAGAAGTCGAGGCGTGTACGTACGTACATGTTTAGGTGGTCGGAATCTAAATAAAGCCAGCTTTTTAGGTATGTATGCAGCTAAGTACCCATCGTACACAAGCCCTATTCAATCCAAATTCTTGTTCTAAATTGGGCTGGACTATCGTAAAGAACCCATTGGGCTCTGATATATAGCATATATAGAGGTATTTGTAAAATGTTATAAAAGTACGAAGAGCAAAGTTGGAGACCTTTTATACTTCGCTATCTCTTATCGGAGTGGGGGGCAATTTGGGTACCTGTTTCGTCCCTTCATCTCGAGCAACCTCTCTTCAGTCTCTGACTAAAAACTCTTTCAAGATCTCTTGTTTCTTTGTACACTGAGACTCCAATTATATATCAACATGGCATACCCGGAGACCAAATCAGCCGTTGTCTGTGTATTGTGAGTCATACCCCTTACCGCCACCCCTCTCAAGACTACAACACCACATCGTCTAATATGGCGTGTGTGACCTTAAAACCCAGACGTTTCATATATCCCCTGTTTCCTTGTAACACTGAACTAACGAATCCCCTCGGGTCTCCAGCTGCGGCTCCGTCCCAGGTAACAGCCCAGTACACATGGAAGCGGCCCGAACCCTCGCCGAAGAGTTCCACAAACACAATGTGCAACTAGTCTACGGCGGCGGCACAACGGGCCTGATGGGCGAATTAGCGCGCACACTGGTCGCACTCTCAGGCCCGAAAGCCGTACACGGCATCATCCCACGCGCACTAGTTAAAATCGCAACCGTCAGCGGCATGCGCGGGCAACAGGAAGGCCGGGCTGCTACCGAAGCACCTGGCAAAGCCGCTGAGCGGGTTATTGATGCTGATGATGTTGATGGAATTCCGGAGTCCGAGTACGGCGTCACGACCATCGTCGCCGATATGCATACGCGTAAGCGTATGATGGCGGAGAAGGTCCTTGAGGGTGGACCTGGGTCTGGGTTTGTTTCGCTGGCTGGTGGGTTTGGAACTATTGAGGAGGTTATGGAGATGACGACGTGGAACCAGTTGGGGATTCATCATGTTGGTGTTGTGTTGTTGAATATCAATGGGTACTGGGATGGGTTGTTGGCTTGGGTGCGCAATGCTGTGAAGGAGGGATATATCAGTGCTAGCAATGGGGGGATTCTTGCCGAGGCCAAGGAGGTTTCTGAGGTCTGGCCGAAGTTGCTGGCTTATCAAGTCAGTAATGGGCGGATGCAGTTGAACTGGGGAGAAGAGTGAATTTGCTCTGCTTGATCATCAAACAAATGGGGCATTTGGATATAGATGTCGCCGTGTTTATTTCGGGTTTGTTTCGGGGGTTTTCTTGGGTTTCGGTGATGGAAAACTTCAGTGGGCATATCAACATACACAAGTAGATTACTTCGTTAGAAGGGGCTTATGAATTGATGATTGAATAACTTAGATAATTGGACGCAAACACAAGACAAAGCATAATCAGGATTTCATGTCTATGCGAATCATTAAACCAAATCAAACAATTATGAATCAACCTCCATGGACTCGGCCTCCGCACCAGCGGATTCACGCTGCTCCAACACCTCAAGCAGCGCAGCCGTGTCCTGGCCCTCATACAGCTTGAAGCTCTCCTTCTTGCCATTAGTCACGCCGACAACACCAACAGAGGTATTGTCCACTGTAAGCTCCTTATCCTGAGACAGCGTCTCCTTTAGCGCGCTCAACCCATGCTGGATCAGCTCATCGCGACTGCAGTCTTCGAACTTGTCGAGATTTCGCTCCAAATACGTACGCGCCATCTGCGAGCGGGCTCCGATGGCACAAGCAACCATCTCGTGTGTCAGCCCGGAGGGTTGGAACTCAAACAGATGGGGGCCAGCCTCGTCAACACCGGCAACCAACAGACCCACACCGTACGGCCGTTTCCCGTAGTGCTGGGTGTTGGTCTGCGCGCGGTCGCCGATCTGGGCAACGATTCGGTCCAGGGGAATGGGCCGGCCGTAGGTCATCTTCGATCCGAGGGACTGCTGCTTCATGAAGTTTGAGAGGACGCGAGCGTCTGATGCAAGGCCGGCGATGGCGATCGCCATGTGCGAGTCGATCTCGATGATCTTCTTCTGGTACGAGGAGAGCTCTTCGGCGTTGCGCTAGGGGGTATTCAAATGTTAGCTTTGACGGTTTGATCTGTTCGTTTTCTGTTGTAGGTCTGCGAACCTTGAGTCCAACCAGCACGGCATGTGTCTTATTCACCAATCCCACGACGACGGATCCTTGCTTCACTGCTTCCTGTGCATATTCCACTTGAAATATCCGACCCTGTGGAGAGCTGGTATCCTTCGAGTTAGCATCTGATGAATCCGAGGAAGGTCGGGGACCTGGTCTTACAAGGTGACGGCATCGTTGTCGTAATTGTTTCTGAACATCGTAGCGGAAAGGGTTGAATGGATATCAAAGCAAACAGAGAAAGTGGATTATTGTTGATAAATAAAGATTCAGGAACAGCGACTCAAGAATCCGAGGGATAATCCGGTGATGGAGGGAGAATGGGGGAGCTGGAGCAGGCAGTAAAGTGACGCGGTGTGAAGCATGAGCTGTTGGTGCCTGAGGCCATAAATATCCAGTGACCTTCAGGCGCCAACGTCACTCATTCTCGAGCTCATCTCCAGCTTATCGCTGTACAGAACTTCTTTGATATCCTGCACTCGGCCAATGGGGCATTACTTTTTGATCTGCTCTTGATATTTTCTCCTGGTTTCACCCAGTCCAACAACTCCTACCCCTCCCACCTTTAGTCTCATTGAACGGGCTTCGGCGTCTCCGCAATCATGGCCGCTGGACTCAAGACCATCATCGCGCTCTCCTTTGTACGCTCCTATTCCATGTTTGCCTGGCTTCTAAATATTTTCTAATATCTGACCAGGTTCTCGCAATTGGCTTCCTCCTCGTTATTCTCTCTTCCGCGTTATGGCACCGATACTGGCCGCTGCTGGTGGTCGGCATCTACGTTGTTGCGCCGCTTCCCAACTGGATCTGCCAACGATGCGCAAACCCAGATGATTTCATGGACAGTTCGAGCAATTCCGCGATGGACTTTGGACGGTTCATGACCGGATTTTTGGTTCTTACTGGTATCGGTACGTCGTTGGTTCCGTCAACAATACCCCCTCTTGTGGGACAAATCATTCCTCGATTGATCGGCTCTTAATGTCTAGACTACAATGTGTCTATATTAATTGGCTCATCATTGCGCTGTTGATCAATATTCAACTGACCTCTTTCCTAGCACTTCCTATCGTCCTCGCCCACAGCGGCGCAATCGAGATCCCAGCGATGATCATGTCGATTTTCGGAGGCCTATTGATCTATGGCACCATTATTAGCTTCTCAATGTTCTTCCAGGAACAGGAAGAGTTCTGATCGCCCAGACTGGATGAGGCGCGGGGTTGCCAAGGACTAAACCTATACTGTAGCCCAGTTGGCCTCGCGGCATCAGGCCTTGTTCATGATGATTTCTGTTTTCCTACTGTTTCTTTTGATTTCAGCGTATGATTGATATGCTTTGTATGAGTGATTTGGTGCGGGGTGTGCCTCACTTTAAATGGCGATGGCTCCAACACCTGGCTGTGCTACTCTAGGTGTACTATAACCCAATGGATATAGAAAATTCTTCTGGAAATTGAGGAATGTAGATCTACCTAGCTCCTAGAAACATTCACAAATTCTTCCCTTTTAAACTGAGTTATTTGGTTTGATCTATGAAATGGTCCACGTGACCGCGCGCGGACTCGGCGCGTCTGTAGAGATTTGGAGATAGCAGCAGATCAGTTTAGAAACAACACAACTATACAAAATTTTATCACTATGCTGAACACATGAAACGTCTTTCCGGGATTCAGATTACAAGATGAATGTCTGGACAGGATCCATTCCTCTCAGCTTGGACTCCAAGTTAGAAGGTAAACCACACGCGTATCGCATCTTATTCTTCACTGACCACTTTACAAGGGATTCGGCTGGTCGATCCGAATTCCTACTGGCAGTCCGAGTTATCAAAAGAGTCCCGGCTTAATCTCCGCAGCTTCGTCAATCCAGCACTCATCCCACTGCATGCACGAGCCGGTCCCAACCTCGAGCTACACACATCCCATGCGGGAACATCAAAATGGCTTCAGAGGAAGCTAACAGGCGCCCTCTGGTTAAGTGAAGAAGACTCAACACTCCAGCAATCACTACAATGCCCAGTCGGTCTGCTGGTCAGCGTCGAAGGCAACACTAAATCAGGCAACGCAACCCCAACAAGCCTATTAGTCTACGGCGTGCTATCCAGCGCAGCATCATGCACACGTCCACCCACCCCGCCACATTCATCCCCCTCCGAGATTCCAGGTCACAGAAATACACCACAACGTGCTCCCTACGAACTCAGAATCTACGCCGCACCACTATCAACTTCACGACTCACCCAGGCCCAGGCCTACCCATCTCCACCACCATCCAACCCAGATCAACCTATCACCAACCCGCGCTGCGCAGAGTTCCTCCCAGACATAAGCTCTCCCAGCCCCAAACGCAAAAGAGTAGCAACACTCTTCGAAGTAGCCGCGCAGCACCACCGCCGCGTCCGCCAGCGAGGCGGCGAAGCCGTCTCACAACTAATGGCACCTTCACGACCTCTCTCCTCATCACAGAACCTGCAGACGCTACGCATTAAGCGCGAGCCTGAAGAAGACGGCCCCTCTCTCCTATCTCTCGACCGGATCGTCTCGCACCGTTCCCGATCCGTCTCTATCGGGGCAGGCCTACATCGACCAGGTAGCATGCGCGGCCGCGCAACGCCAGCCCTCAAC